CTAATAATTAGTTTTAATATAAAAACTTAAATAATATATCTTTATTTAACTTTATATTATATTATAATATTAAAATATTTAACTTTTTAACTATAATTTTAAATTATAAAACATTTAGTAAATACTTTATAATTTATATATATAACTTTTACTTTATTTTAAATTAATTAAATATAATTAATAAATTTATTTTTAAATTAAATCATATATAAAAATTTTATTCTAAATATACCTTTAATATTTAAAAGTATCTATTTAAAAAAGCTATTTAAAGTTATTTAAATTAATTATTTATACTTATTTTATTCTTTTTACTTTAAAAGTCTTAACTTTTTAATTATTATTTAAAACTATTTTAATAATTAACTCTTTCCCTAATAAACCTCTCTACTATTTTAATACTTAATTATTTATTTTAAAGTTTTAATACTTAATATATAAACTTATTTTAATAATAAATATATATCCCTTAAATTTAAGATTTTTATATAAGGATTTAATATAACTAAATCTACTTTTAAGGTATTAATTATAGAGACTAATTAGTACTAAATTAGCTACATTCCTTAAGCTTTAATAATCCCTTCTCTACTTAATTTATATAGTATTTTATTAATTATATAAAATATATTACTTATAAAATATATATCCTACTCCTTAAAGGTTTTATATTAAAGAACTTATAGCTCTTAAATTTTATTCTAAAAAAGGTTCTTTAAAAGTCTATAAGTATATTAATAGAACCTAACTTTAAATATTAATTTATATATTTAAATTAAATAAATATTTATAAAGTATATTAAATTATTTTTATTTCTTTTAATTTTTAATTAATATTTTATTTTAATTTTATCTTTAATAAAAAGTATCCTTTTATTTATTATAGTTTTTAAAATCTTATAGTTCTAAGTAATATATTTAATAACTCTATATATATAATAGAGTTATTAATTACTATCCTTTTAAAATTTATTAATTTATAAATAGTTAAGGCTTTTTTAATTACTATTTATAAATATTATTAAAATATTTTTATTTTAATTCTAAATTAACTTTTAAATATAAATAATATTATTTAATATAATAATTTATTTACTAATAAACTTTATAACTATAATTTTAAATTATAACTATTCTAATATAACTCTTTCCTTTATTAATAAATAAATTATTTTTTATATTATTAATTTTCTTTTAATAACTTTAATTATTAATTTTTAAACCTTTTATTTTTAAATTAATTTATTAATTATAAAGTTAATATTTTTAAAAATTAAAATTTTAAAATAATATTTTTACTAATATAACTATTAAATTTATTACTTTAACTATTATATTTAATTTAAGTTAAATAATTATATATATATTTACTTAAAACTAATAAAAATATTATAAAACTTATTATAATTATTAATATAAACTAAACTAATTAATATTTAATAATAATTTATTAATATTTATTAATTATAAAACCTATTTAAATATATTTAATTATATAAAATTAAATTATTTAACTATAAAATAATACTTTAATATAACTTTATATAAAAGATATTATTAATTTATTTAATTATAAAACTTAATTAATTAATTAAATTTATTATTATAATTACTATATATTTTATATAACTATTTTTAAAAATGTTTTTAAAACCTTAAAATTTTATTCTCCTTTTTTATACTTTTATATATATTTTAAAAATACTATTATAAATTAAAGTTATTTCTTATTTTATATTATCTTTTAGTTTTTAATAATTAATATAAAAGTAATATATTTAAATTAATAAAAACTTTTTAAAAATTTTATATTTTATAATTTTTTATTAATTTATTAATTTAAAATTTAATTAAACTTTAAAATTATATAATAAAAGTTTATAATTAATTTAATATATATATTTTTAAATAAATATTATAATTACTATTTGAATATATATATTTATTAAATATTTAAATTTTAATATACTTTTAAATTATTATTTTATTTCTTTTAAATATTAATATTTATTATAAAGAGTTAAATATTTATAAAATTTAAAATATATTTATAAAGCTTTTAAATATTTTTAATATTTATTTATTAAAATATTAAAATATTTTTAATAAACTTATATTTTATTAAATAATTTATTATATTATAGTTATTAAATAAATTAATTAAATTTATAAATTTATTTTTATAAGTATTTATATTTAACCTTTATAATAATTTCTTTATTATTTTATATATTATATTTTAACTCCTTAAAAGCTTATAAACTCTTATTTTAAATTACTATTTAATAATAATATTTTTTAAAAACTTTAAAATATTTATTTTAATAAATAATTAAATAAAGTATTAATATTATAACTTTTAATATCTATATTTATATAATTAATTCTTAAAATAATAATAATATTATTATTAAAATAATTTATTAAATAATAAATAGTATTATTTTATTATTTTTATTAATATTTTTATTTATTAAAATACTTTTATATTTAAACTATATAATACTATTTTTAAATAAATATATTTTTATTTTATAAGTTATTTTAAAGTATAATAAATTATACTTTTATATTAATTAGTTAAAAGTTAATAATTTTTATTTTTAATTATTTTTATTTAATAATTATTTATATAAGTTATTAAATTAATATATAATTAATTTAAATTATTACCTAAACTACTTTAACTCTTTAAATAATATAGAATAAAGTTAAACCTATTTAACTTTATTACTATTTAAATAACTCTTTAATTAAAGAAATAAATATAAAGAAATTATTTTTAATAATCTCTTAAACTTTAAAGTTTTTATATTTACTTAAAAGTAAAATAAAATTTTTAAGTATTAGTTTATTTTCCTTATTTATTTAAAGTAAAATATTTTAAATTATTAAAATTTATAATAGTTTTATTATTAATTAGTTATTATAACTTTAACTTTTAACTAAATTATTATTAATTTTATAATTATCTATTATATAAAGTTAGGAATAAAGACTTTATATTTAGAGTTAAAGGTTCTTTATTTTTAACTTTTATAGTTAACTATTTATTTATAATAAATAAAAAAGAAAATAAAATAATTACTTTTAAGTATTAATTAAATAAGAATAAGAAAAAATAAATTATTAATAAAGTCCTTTAAGGGAGAGGTATTTATTTATATAATCTATATTTAGAACTATTACTAATAGCTGCTAAGATAATAGAGTGTGGTTACCTTACCTAGCTATCTTTTAGTTTATATAGTAGGCTAAGTGACTGCTTTTAACTAGTTTTACTTGTGGAGCTAATAGATAGGTGTTTACTTATAGAACCTTAGTTAGGGGAATAGTAACTTTATCTTCACCTATTTTAATTAACTTACTTAAGTTATATAGTGAATTTAGTACTTATATATAATATTTACTAGTATTAAACTAAATAGCCTATAGTTTATAATAACTTTAACCTTTAATATATTAGTTTAAATTAATTAAATATAATCTAATATATTAATATAAGAAGATATCTTTTAATAATAAATAGTATTATAAATATAATAAATTATAAAGTTATTATAAAAGTTTTATATAATAAACTTAATTAAGTTAATCTTTAAAAGATATATTATATTTTATTCTTTTAAAACCTTAACTATTTACTTTTAGTTTAATAATAAAATTAAAAAATATAAATAGTTTATAATTTATATATTATTAATAAATATTTTTATAATAATTTAAAGTTTATAAAAATATTTCTTATATTTAATAAAGAAACTTTAAAAAAGGATTTTTAATTTTTAATAATTCTTTTAAAAGTATTAACTTTTCTTTTAATATAAAAGTATTTCTATATATAAATAAAATATAAAGATTTTAATAAAATAACTTATTTTTTATAAAGTATTTTAATATATTTATTTATTAATTAAATTATAAATTCTATATAATTTAATTTATTATTATTAATATAAATATTAATAAAATTATTTTTATTTTATTATATATTATTTAAATAAACTAATATTATAAATTTAATATAGATTTTTAAAATATATATAGAATTAATAATAATATATTATATATTTTAGAAATGATGTGTGTTGGTGGGGATGTGCGCAGACCGGTCCACTAACTTATGTTTGGCCTGGCCATGTATAGGCCCTCCGACACCCGAGGAAGAGTGATAGCAGACATCTCGAGTGGTCGGTCTCCAGCTATCAGCTAGCCATAGCGTGTAAAGCTAGTTAGGTAATTGGGCTGAGGCAGGCCATGGCCAAGAACGTTGAGCTTTTGTTAAGATGGAATAACTCAGAGGAGTTGCACGTGAATGAATGTACTAGACGCTAGATCTTGGCTTCAAACCACAAAAAGGGCCAGACCGCCTGGGTCTACCCATCCAAAATGAATATTGCCCGGGATACAGTGAATATGCCTCAAGCTCCAGGTTCCCATCATCATGCTGCGCACCTGCCATGACTGGCACCAACAAGTTGACAGCCATCACACGCCCAGGTTGAGGTCTGGTTGCACACAGCTTAGCTACCCAGGTGGTTTTGGTTGGCTTGTAGTGCCGAGTTTCCGCTGCTGCCTGCCTGCTTTGGACCTTGGTAGGAAGCGCCACTACAGATGTTGGACCGTCCAAGACGCCACCTGTTTTCATCCCAGGCTTGAGAGCAATCACAATCACAAGAAGAAGAGCAGATGAGTTTACCAATTGTAAGCCCATTCCAAACTGGATCAAACTAACTAGGTGGTAATAACGATATGACAATCCCCCTTAGGGAAATGTATACAAAACTTGTTGCCGTAAATCCATATAGCAAGTGGATGTGGGCTAAATCCGATCCTAGTTGGAAACTTTTGGCTAACATGCCGTTTGATATGATGCCGAAGGATGACGGTACACGTACCCAGGTAGTCCAGATATGTCCGGGAGAGACAGGGATTCATGTGCATCTCCCCGTCCTGCGCCACGCAGCCCCACCACGCGCTGACTAACAAGAAACAACGTCGTCCATCAATGATCAGACGCCGTTTGTTTACAGGTACTCAATCCGATCCTTCGAGCAACTCTAAACCCCAATGCAACAAACTCGACATCCTACCCTCATTCCCGTACAATGGGCTTGTTAATAGGGGTGAACCTTCTCATCGTCTCCGCCGTCGTTTGGCGGTCGGTAGGCTCACTGTCCTCAACCTTTTGAAGAAGCTGGGCTGGGCTGTCGATGGTGTCGGCCTCGCCCTGACCAATCTGGGCCTTGCTGTCTGCCGTGACCGGCGCAGGCTGATCCATAGGCCAGCGGTGGGTCACATCCCCATGCTCATTCCTTTCAAAAAGCTCAACCAGGGGCTCAGGCTCAGGACCGCCGAGTCCGTATCTCTTCCAGTGCTGTCTGAGGTTGTCTCGACGCGAGAGCCAGCGGCCACATACGTTGCACTGGTACTCCTTCCTCACACGCTTATGCTGTGTTTCAACATGCCTCTTGAGATGGTCCGGGCGCGCGTACGATTGGCCACATATGTTGCACTTGGTGTTCTTTTCTTTCTTTGCCGTCTCCTTCCGTGGCTTTCCTTCCTCTGGTTCTCCTGGGCCTTTCTTCCGCTTCCTACTTACCACGGCCTTCTTTATCTCGTCCTCCGTCCCCTCTTCAATGAACCTTCGCTTGGGCTCAATGTCTTCGGAACTCGGCGGTGGCGGTGGTAGATTAGTGCCGGCAGACTCCCCCGACGCCTTCGAGGCCTTGAGCATGAGCAACCCCTCAGCCGCTGCGAACTTGCGACCTCGCGACGCCCAGAGACTATCTTTGCTCTCGGAGTGTGACGGGCATGTTTTGGGATGGTTGAACTGGCGGCCGCTGTTCACCATCGCAATAGCCCCTTCTCGATCCTTGTCCGCCTCTGCTGTCGTGCGATATGGCGGCGGATCTGCTTTGTTGATATAAGGCATCGAGATCCGCCGCTCCATGGCCGCGGACTGGGGGCCGGGCACTGCAGAAGATGGAGAACGAGACTGTTGATTCTGGCGGCTTCGGCACCCGTCGGGCAGTGGGTGCCTCCCGGCCGCGTCGGAGGGGCGTATCAGTGTCGGTATGCTCGTGTTGTCTATGCGCTCCATGATGCAAGGCTTTACCTGAGTATCTCGATGTCAGCCGTCGGCAGTGTACGATAAGACGCACACTCAAACTTGGGGAGTGCCCCGAATCGGGTGGAGACCTTTCAAGGGGCTCCTGAAAGCTGGAAGGGGGTTAAAGCAGTTTTCTTCTCGTTCGTTGTGTATGAATTGTCTTAGTCAGGGCACATTTGTTCTGGTTGTGCTGTGTCTTTGAATCAGTGACACTTACGAGGGATGATGTGTGGCGATGCGCTCTAGCCCCTGAGTCTTGTGTGCAACCTTCCAAGTCTCCCCCTCTCTGCAAAGTTGCCAGAGGATAGAGCAGGGGTTTTCTTATACTCCAAATTTGCACAATTTTGTTAGTGTACTAATTGCTAAATAGCTCGTGTTAGGAAGTTGGGTGGAAATCCTCTTTTATTGGAGGTTTCACATCGAAAATTGTTTTTTTTTGGCCTGTCCTTTGCCGTTAGTTGCTGTCCAGCAGTGCAGCTACGCGATCTAGCGCTCTCATGGTCTGGCGACGAGATATACAACACAACGATTCTGGTTCCAGGAAATAAGGAAGCGTCAACTAGCAACCCGCCGCCCAAACCCGCCAGCCCCAAGCAACAGTGAGCCTATGAACGACAGGAACCGGAGACCGGTGGGAGAACTGGGGCGGTCGGGCGAGAATTCGAACAGCTGAGTGGAAAGGGGGCCGGCACCAGGATAGCGCCATTAGAGCCATCGGCGATAGGCCATCGCTGGGAAGCGAGGTAAGGCACCAAAGGAAGGGGGATATTTTTTTTTAAAAAAAAAATTTGGGTGCACAGGCTTGACTGGACTGTCTCTGTTTCTGGTGGTTTCGCGACCAGGAAGGGGTGAGGGTGAGTACACTTGCACCGGCCGACTGACAGAACTGGCGGCAACCCAGCTGGAGGAGGGCCCCTGGAAAGGTTTCCCATGGAGGCGATCTCATGCATTATGCTGTGTGGCTTGAATCCCGAGCATAGCTGGATGGCGACGAGGGTGTCTTGACAAGCCGTTCGGGAAAAGCACAGGCAGGGAGTGATGCGAAGAGTGACAACTATTGGCCTTGTTCAAACTTTCGACTCGACCAGCTTCCAAGCAGGAATGGCAACGCAATTGTCTGGTGTGGGCCGTGGGAAGGGAAGCAGAATCGGGATGACTTACTAACGATTGCAGAATACCGATGTAGAGTGCAGAAGGCCGACGGATTCTCCGCGAGGATGATTCTTGGAGGCCACGCAGGCGAAGGTGGTCGAGACAAGAAACTAACGAGATGGCGGGCCCCTGGCCGATGATGGAAGAGGGAGGCGACTGTGTCTGCTTCGGGACGCTGTCGTGAGAGCGCGGGGTGGGGGGCGTTTGCAAGAAGAAGGGAAAGTGGAGGGAAATGGGAAAGTGTGAGGAGTTAGGTAGAGAAGAAGGCGAGTTACATGTGTAGCTAGGTACCTACCAACTTACCTAGGTTGGTAGGTACCTAGCTTACCTGCGAGTAGGTAGAAGAGGAAGGGAAGCCAGAGGGGACAGGGGGGAGGGGAGGGGAGGCAGCCGGAATGTCGCATGCCAACCTACTTAGTAAGTACCTAGGTAGGTAGGTATTTATATGGTTAATATCATCAATGATCTATTTGAAGGCTCTCCGGCCAGAATGTGCCTCGCCCACAACAGGTGACGATCGGGGGCTCAAGCTCAAGGCCGCAGACTTGATATATCTGACCTCGCAGCGTCTTGGCTGCACATGGACGCTCGCATCGTCCTCAACCAATCATCCGCTCGATTGACGGCAGGACTCGCCGCCAACACAGGAAAAGACCGAATGGTTTGGGAATCTAAATTCGAATCGCCCTTCTTCCCATGCGAGTCTTGTCATTAAGGGTATCCCAACTGCCGCTGGTTCGAGTGGCGCTCGCGAGCCTAAAGAATACGTCCCGCGGCATCTGCACCACCACCAAGATGGCCAAGCCAGACCACTCCGAGAGGACCGCAGCCGAGCCTCGCGACCCTGTAAGAAATAGTGCAGCTGGATCCCCTTGATGAGAATGGCTAGGTACTTACTCGGTGGTTCGCGCGCCCTAACAGTCGCTCCACACGGTCATCCTCAAGCAGATTGATGAGGTCAACCCCTCAATCCGCACCTTCCGACTCTCCATCCCGCCGTCGGTCGGGAGCATCAAGGTGAGCACCCATGCACCATCCCTGACCGATCATCTCGTGAGAGGCATGCTGCATCCATCGAAACACCACCGTCCTTTTCCACCCAGTAGAGCTCTGCTCGGGTGGCTGCTATGCTGCCACGGTGTCCCGGCCGCTCACCCCCCTCCCCCCCACCCGACTCCTACGGGACACCCTCCTGTAGAAGGTAATCATATGGACAGGAAGCCTTCCAGCCACGGAGACTCTGCTACAGCCTATCGTCATCTTTGAAGGTGTGGCTGTGGGACGGGAGTATTTAGATGTGATCCTGACACAATTACCTGCGTCCATTAGTTCCTCCCAGGCCAGTGGCTGGACGTCTTCGTGCCGGGCATCAGCAAGCCAGGGGGGTTCACCATCACCTCTGCGCCTTCCAAGGCCTCCAGCGCCGCCGCCCCAACAGGCCAAGGCACGGCCCCCTCTGCTTCCCCAACACCACCACCCGACGCGCCAGGGGAGCCCTACCTCGAGCTTGCCGTCCAGAAGTCTCCAGACAACCCGCCCGCCCAGTACCTCTGGAGGCCCGCGGGCGAGATCATATCCTCGGAGCTGCGTGTCCGCGTCGGCGGCAGCTTCGTCTGGCCGCCCCCGGGGATTCAGCCCATGGTGAGTTCGCCGTGGCCCTCCCCCCATCCATTTCCTCCTCCCCTGCGGTGAATCGTCCCTCGTCTCCAATAACCCCCCGATCTCAGCCGCAACAACCAAGGTCCACTAACGCCGGCCTCATGATCCAAGACCCTCCGCAAGATCGTCTTCGTCGCCGGCGGCGTCGGGATCAACCCCCTGATGAGCATCGTGAGCCACCTCGCCGAGCGTCCGGACCCACGGCACAATGTCGAGTTCCTGTATGCGACGCGGGACCCGGGCGAAGGCCGGCGCAACCGCAGCAGGATACTGTATCTGGACCGACTGCACGGCATCTTCAACCACGACGGCGCACTCAAGGGGCGTCTTCGGCTGTTCCTGACGCCCGGAGGTGAGGGCCATGGGAAGAAGGATGTCTTGGAGGAGGGGAGCGTGGATGAAGACCGCCTGGGCATGGCGTTCAAGCGGCGGCGGATCACCATCGACGACATTGCAGACGCGATCGGTGACGACAAGCGGTTCGCCGCCGTCTACATCTGTGGGGTGCCTACGATGACGGACGAGTTCGTTAATAAGTTGACTTCTCCACGGGGACTGGCCTTGGAGCCGCATCGAGTGCTTTACGAGAAATGGTGGTAGTCACTGTGGAAGGAATGACATGCAATCACAGAGTCCCTTTTATTCTTGTTGCAAAGTTTTCTAACCTCGATTGGACAAGAAACTAGCGTCTGCTTCGCATTGTACAGTGTTCCCTCACCCGCGATGACGGTCGGAGATATTTCGCGCAACTACTATGTTGAGGAACGGTCACGCTCCGGGGCTTCCCCTCGTCTCCTTCCGACTCTTGCAGGTTTGAACCACACTAGATCCAATTGCCATACTTCTCGTTTCCGTCTTGGCCAGGAAGTTGAGGTGTTGACAAGTTGCGACTCGGTGCCTCGCGCAGAGGCTGTCTGAGTGGTGAGCGAGACCGGTTGCGGCGCAGCGTATCCCAGAGCCGACCAAGCCTCGGGCTCAGCACCCGGCGGGGCGAGGCCTTCGGAGAAGGCGACCGGCGAATCCAGTCGAACTCGTCCAGCTGAAGGTGCGGAAATTTTGAAAAATCGATGCATCTGTCCCCGATGTTCACAACGGGCTTGCTAGCCTGCAGACCGGCAGCCTTGGAGTCTTCCTCAGGTGGTGAGCCATCTTTGCTGTCTAGGAGATCCGTGTGGTTGGGCAGTACATGTCCACTGCCAACTATGTGCTTGCCCAGAGAGGCTGGTTGGGACTGCTTGACTTTTGAGTCATCATCCGACGACAAATAGTTCTCATAGTCGGATACCGGTAGGTCGTCTAGGTCATGTTGGTAATGTTGAGTGGGCAAGGCATCTGCCTTGGCCTTGTGCACGGTGACCTCCTGGGCATGGCCGTACTCGACAGATTCGTCCAGGAACGAGCTGTCTTTGACGTAGCTCAGAAGTGAGGTTGCGATCGAAACAGTGGATGTCTTTCGCGACGGTACGCCGACGGGCAGGTCGGGAAGTGGACGATCAGGTAAGGGCCGTTGAAGATAGGAGTCCGGAATCCCCTCCGTAGAACCGTCCCTAAGAGATTTGCTAGGCTGAGGCAGGTTATGGCTGGTTCCTGAGCCTGGTCGCAACTGCGGAGGAGTCCTGAGGACGAATACCTTTTCTGCCCGCGGCTTGCCAAGCCGAGTCCGACTCAGCTGATCATCACCAGAACTGCTGTCATCATCAAAGACCGACTCGTCAGGTACAGGTCGTGAGCCTGGATATGGACTCGGGTCCTTTTGAATTGGATCCTCATCGATGCTGTCCGTAAATGTGCTGGTAGAGAATGTATCGAAGATGCTCGATTCGTCGGTAGGGATCAGGTTCAGCTGACGCAGGTTTTCCAGGGAACGGTAATGGAACCGAAAGCTCGCAAAGGGCTCGTCTTTGGGGTCGATGAGGTGGAAGTCGAAGAAAGCGACGTCTTGTGGATTGTCTAGTAACCCACCGCTGGGTGTGCTGGTCGTCTGAAGTTAGCGGGGTACCATCTGGAACGCGCAGGACTAGAAGAAGCGTACGCAATTCCGTATTTATCCTGATGCCTGTACCGGTCCAGCTGAGCAGCCCTCCTCTTTCGGCCTCTGGCCCGGAAGACCAGAATCTCAATGAGACCACCGTCCTCGGCCACAGACTTCTTCTGCTGGTCTCCCGTGAAGTGGAAGTACCTGGCCTCAATTCCCTCGGGCTTTATTGTCGTCCCGCCCTCTTCATGGTTCCACCGATCGCTGGGCTCGTATAGTGCCTTCTCGACTCTGCCTTTGGCCTTGACCTTGGGGTTGATGCCCCATGAGGTGATGTGTCTTCCATCCATGAACAATTTGAAGAAAAGGTGACCTGGGGGTATCGGCTCCCGTTCTACAACGTAGTTGATACAGAACTGGGCACCTGTTCGAGATTAGGAGCTTCCAGAACCGAGACTGGAGTAGGGGTTTCCGAACCTGGCACGGAGGGAATGTACACTGAAACCCTTGGGTTAATCTTTCGTACTCGAGATGGATCCTCATTGTTGTCTTTGCAGGTGCCCAGCTGGACGGAAGCCCCCTCGGGATGAAGATACTCAGGCAGCTTGCCGACCTCTGACGGTGCGAGGATGGAAATGTCTATGCCGCGAAATGAAGGCATCTTGGGCTGAATCACCGGCTGCCAAGTGTGATTTAGGAGAGCCAGTTAACCCATCTGACATGTGAATTCGACAGGAGGGTCTAGCATCAAGCAGCAGGTGACATGGTGGGGATGGGTCGTCCAAGGGTGTAGTGTAGATCGAGAGTAGACTGACCCTGGAGTAAGCAAGTCCACCCGCAGAGCTGTTGCTAATTTCAAACAATATTTTTGGGGCAAAGGAGGTTCGGATGAGGGGTGGGGGAAACACAGGTGTCGGTTTTCGTTTGAGAGCACTTGCCCCTGCAGTCAGTGCTGCAGCCTCGGCCTACAAGTATTGTGTGCCTGGGGAGGAAGCTTCGACCCTGCCAGGCCCCTCCCCAATTGGTGCACAATTCGAAGGAGATGAGAAAGTGGTTGGGCTCTGGCAAGGACGCGTGGAATGACGCAACATCTCATGGCTCCATGATCATTAACTTGCTTCCACCAGAGCAACCCCGGCCAGGTATCTTCACACATGCAGATAGATGCGAATGCAAGACCAGACAGGCATGGACTTCTCGGTCTTCTTGAACCCCCAAAGAGCTCCCCATTTTCTATTCGAATCATGGTGGTGTCTGTCTCGAACTGTTCAACGAGGTGGTGGCACCTCCCGACGTCTATGAGCTCGCCCCGAGAACCTTCTTCGTGTCCTCGTCCTTGTTCAGCAGGCCGAGGTTCCGTATTTGCCCCGCGGTTGGCGCGTTTTCTCGCCCCTGGTTGATCTCTGCCTTCCGGTACGCTGCCTGTAATGCCATCACTCGAGCGGCCTGCAAAACATGCGGTGTTAGCCCTGGTGTCCTACTGCGTCCCCGCTCTTCTGGGCTAGGCGGACCTCTTTCTTGTGGTGCATGCACTCGTAGTAGTCCTCCAGTGCAGGAACACACTTCTTCTTGCCCGAGGCATCGTCAGAGCTCGTGTTGACGACGTAGCATGCGAGCAACTCCTGCCAGAATGGGAAGCATCGGGACGGACCTGGCGGGCAGCAGGGTCAGTGGGGCGTCTCTATCTCTTCCGGCAGGGCCCATTGGTGTCCCTGGGTCGACTCACCCCCGTTCAGTCCGTATCCTGATGCCATGGCTTAGGTGTGGTTGTGGTATCCAAGGGTTTGCTTGAGATGTCGCCGGCGATGTCACCTGTGTCGCATCGCCAAATGATGGCATGAAGTCGAATCCGGGCCTCGCGATTGGCAATGGTGGAGCTCCACCGGCGCCCCTCCTGCCTGCCGAGGGTTGCACAGTGCCCGGGGTGCCAGGGTTGCTGTGCTTGGTTGCCTTTCCCACTAGCCACAGGCGCCACCTTGACACGACCGGGGTCTTGATTGCCTCCAAGGAATGCGACAGCTATACATACGTACGGAGCTCAGCGCCAAGCTCCTGGCATCCCCCGACTTCTATTCCCGCCGGGAGACTCATCCTAGCCATGAGGCTGCTCTCCTGATCGAAGCTCTCTAAGGAAAAACGGGAGAGCATGTGTTGCGCTCATCTCCCACCATGAGTCTCGTTCTTTCAGCCCCGAAGATTGTCCTTCTCGCCGCGCACCTCGCCGCCAAAGCGGATCTCGACAGCCTGTCCTTCGTCGCAGCGCAACATGGATCCGTGTTGCGAAAGGAACTGCTCCTGCGCATTTTGCTCACATACCTTCCCGAGACCCTGAAGTCCGAGGAGTACGTCTCGTTCATCGACGAGGTCGAAAAGGAGGAACACGTCACACATGAGCATTGGGACGTGGACACATCGCCCGTGGAACACCTTAGCGAGGAGGAAGCAGTCAAGAAGGTCCGCAAGCTGCACCTGCAGAAATTGTCATGGCCACAAGCACCGGACGAGGCTGGGGATGACCCACTCACTTTATTCTTGCTGCGCCGGGCGCACAACGTGGACGAGGAGGCTGGGCTCCTATCCCAATTACCTGACTTGCTAGTGCCTTTCCTAGACCACTCGCCTTGCATCCGAACCTGGACGATATCGGTACTGCTGCCTCTGCTTAGAAGAAACCACGAATACTACCCCGAAAACAGCATCTCGGTGACACTCTCTGCGTTTGAGCATCTGGGCGACCGCGCGGCTGTCGACTTGCTCCTGTCACAGACCGGTCAGCGGGACGAGGACCATCGTTACATTGCTCGGGATCTCCGAGGTCTGCTGGGGCCGTGGCTTTATAGTGAAAGGAGGTGGATTACCAAGAGCGCGGTCGAAGCAGAAGCAGAGGACGCCGACGAGGATGGACTCATATGCCCTGGCTGGGAACAGATGCTAGTGTGGCTCACTGCGCATGCATCAAGCACCTGGAGGGTCGCGGTCGAAGCAATAGATCACTGGCACTCCCCAGAGGACGCCGACCTGGGTGGATATGGAAAGATGTGGCTAAATGAGGACAAGCAACAGTACCTGGAGCGCAGATATGCTCGCGCTGCTATGGCCTCGGCATACCTTATTTCAGAAGCAACAACGGAGGCGCTTACGGGCGCATACACCATTGTTGCCGAGGTTGCAAAACTTCTAGACGACCCGCTGCCGCCATTACAGACTGCGGCCTCCAACCTGACCCCAGTCCCGGACCTTGGTAGCACGAATATCATGTTCGCAAAGAATGTCACTCACCTTCGAAATAATCTCCTCGACGAAAGCAACGTCCTCACAAAACCATCCAAGCTAGCCACGACCCTCTTATCCGCGCTGGTCGTCAGTGCTTTCCTTGCGACTCGCGCCGGGCTGCCTTGCACTCTCAGAAGGGCTGGCGAACTAGCTCTACTACAGGACGAGCGTGAACAGAAGACGGAGGCTCTGAAACTGATTCATGCCATCAGTGAGAATGGTCCGAACTCGGACGATAGATTCTGGCTCAGAGCCAGGAATGAGATTCTCTGGCTGAGAGACTGGGGCGCAGAAGAAGACTCGGTTCCGGGGGAAGACCAGCACTGTTCCGGGATATTCGGACGCGTCAGTCGTGAATTCCTGGAAGTTGAGATCTTAAAGGCCCTCTTGGCGCATACTCGTTCGTAGTACCAGTGTTTCCTCCGAGGGTGGCTGCCATGGTCTGACTTTTACGAACAGGATATTCGCTGGCACAATCTCTCTACGAGGACTCGACAGAACAGCCCCTCTCAAAAAAGGTGCTACAGGATACGATATACGCCGCTGCTATGAGTGCCTATGACAATGCATCTAACCCCAACCGCACGAGGGGAGGCGTGAAGAAGTGTGACGACATGTAAGTAAGGTGGGAAGTGGGTCGCCCAAGATAGGCGCAACTGACAGTTCATCAGATTGCACGCATTCCCCAAGAGCATAGAACGGTCTTTTGTGGCGACTCAGCGGATCGAAGCCCTCCTCAAGGCGACCCATGCTTTAAGTGACTATCGGCTCGTGCTAAAGCAGGGAGAGCCATTTACACCGGTTGTCCTACGTGTTCATCAGGATCCTATCTCAATAATCGGAAAGGTTCTGGAACAAAATCCGAAGAGCTATACCAACATCCAAGACCTTGTCGAGGTGGGCCGTAACATGGTGGTTGCAGGCCTGACTGTTCGTGACAAGTCAGGTCATTGCGCACTCACCCCTGAAATGGAGCCGCAAGAGATACTGCACGCTGAGAGGCGCATCACAGCGATGTGCATTGATTCAGCCTTGACGGAGGACGACTTCGAAACTGCGTATTCCTACGTCGTCAACCGCGTGGCAGCCCTGGGCAAACCGCCACAACACTTGAGTCACAAGCCCAGCAACGGCTCTCTTGTGAGCAAGGCTGCTTCGGCTTCGGCTCAACGGGATGACTGGTCCTGGAGGGCGGCACTACAAGCTGGCAAATATCGCCGCACTTCGCGAACCGTCCGTCCCACTCATCTGGGCACCGCGAGCGGCAACCCCGACATCCGACACCTGGAGCAGAGGATCGAGTGCCTGGCTACCGCTCTCCGGGTTGCCCCTTCCGCAACGTTATCAGAGATCCTCAACACATACCGCCGCACTGAGGAGGAACTGAATGTGGCCATAAGTGCCGAGCAGGAGCAGGAGAATGCTTGGGATGAGGCCGCGGACATGCACACCATGCCCGGCGGGTTTAATGCGCCCGCTCGCAGAGTCACAGCCCCGGCCAGGCAGCCGGCGTCGGCCTCGACGCGCCACACTTCCGAGGAGGCGCCGATGTCGCTCTTTGATTTGTCCAGGGCCAGCATGCGCTCCGCACAGCGCAACCTCACGGCATTGTCGAATTTCAACACCACGGCGCAGGGCAGGAATTTCGAGGCGTCGGCGTCTGGTGATGAGTCGGCGGAGCAGCAGCAACAGAGGGCTAGGAAGAGGGACCAGCTCAGGGATGCAGCCGTGGGTGGTCTGACGGCAGGAGTTGGGTGGTTGATAGGGGCTCAGCCAGCTCCCCGCGGTCCTGAGAGAGAGTGATAGGTCCCTTACGGGGCGAAATCGTGAGACGGGGCGGTGGGGGTACAGAAAAATGATACCAGTTTCTATTTGGCAACGCAGTCGTGACGTGGGACTGTCTGCCTGCTTAGATAGGTACTTACTTTGCCTTGGGTATCCTAAATGCCTACACGGAATGCGCTTCGCAGAAAGGATGGCCCAATTTTCCCGTTCTTCACGAAAAGGTGCACAGTCAGGCACGCACGGTATTGACATCAAGTCAGAATGGCAGTGTGTCAGCTTGACCATCCCTCCCTGTTTTAATTGACTTTTTGGTCGAAAAGGACCGAAATTGCGTTGCCGCCCTGGGGTTGGGCCGGTCATGATCTAAGAGCTTTGCAAGTCAAACGGCTGATGGGCTGTGACTGTTTGCCACTGAGTGTCCAAGGGTCCTCACCCCACAGCCACCACCCACCCTACCCCCAGCCAGAACAAGCTGTGGCCCGTGCCAAAGCTGGGAGGGAAGTGCGGCTCCAGCTCCCCTCCAAAGGTACTTAGGCACCTTCTAGCCTGGCGGCAGGCCCGTCGCATCATCGTCGCCTTGCTCGAGTCTGAACGACACCACTTTCTTCTACTTCAACATTCCTGCCACCTCGCCTCACCTCACCTCACCGCCCCTTCACCCAACCCGCCCCCCAAGGCCAGCCTCCACGCACCCGTTATCCTCACCACAGTACTGTGGACCGGCTTTCTATTTCTTTTTGGAGTTCGTCTCGTGTGTACAAACCTGTGCGACTTCGGATTGCCACTAGTGCCAGCCATCCTCAAACCGCTGCCTCGCTGACGCTTGCATTCGGTTTTTCTCTAAAATCGGCCATATTTATCGTGCCGTACAGTATCTTTTTCTTTTGCGACTCGAACGAGTACCATCGCAAGCAACCCTCAACACGGCGGCAACCTTGCCAACGACGCGACGATGGGTGTTCCCAAGTTCTTCAGATGGCTCTCGGAGCGGTACCCCTCCATCTCCCAGCTCATAGCAGAGAATCGAATCCCCGAGTTCGACTGCCTCTACCTCGACATGAACGGAATCATCCATAACTGCACCCACAAGGACTCGGGCGATACCCAGTTCCGCCTGAGCGAGGATGAGATGTTTATTCGCATCTTCAATTACATTGAACACTTGTTTGGCAAAATCAAACCGAAGCAGCTCTTCTTCATGGCTGTGGATGGTGTTGCGCCACGCGCAAAGATGAACCAGCAGCGTGCGCGGCGTTTCAGGACCGCGCTGGACGCTGAGCAGGCGAGAGACAAGGCGGTCCGAGAGGGCAAAGAACTGCCCAAGGAGGAACCATTCGACAGCAACTGCATCACGCCGGGAACTGAGTTCATGGCCAAGCTGTCGCTGCAGCTCAGATACTTCATCAACAAGAAGGTTTCCGAGGACAAGGAATGGCAAGGCTGTGAAATTGTGCTTTCCGGCCACGAGGTCCCCGGCGAGGGTGAACACAAGATCATGGAGTACATTCGCAACGCAAGAGCGCAGCCGGACTACCACCCAAACATGCGGCATTGTTTATACGGCCTCGATGCCGACCTGATCATGCTGGGTCTGCTCAGCCATGACCCTCACTTCTGCCTCCTCCGTGAGGAGGTCACCTTCGGCCGCCAGTCCAAGGTGCAGTCGAAGGAGTTGGAGCATCAGAACTTCTATCTTATGCATCTGTGCATTGTCAGAGAATATCTTGAGTTGGAATTTCAAGACTTCAAACAGGACGGCGCGAATAAGCTGGGCTTTCCATTCGACATGGAGCGAGTAATCGACGATTTCATTCTCATGGCGTTCTTTGTTGGCAACGATTTCTTGCCCAATCTGCCGCGGATACACATCAACGAGGGCGCTTTGTCGATGATGTTCAGAATTTACAAGTCCGTCTTGCCGAAATGCGACGGCTACATCAACGAGGGCGGTGCTATGAACTTGAAGCGTTTGGGCATCTTCCTTGAAGAGCTCAGCAAGGAGGAGTACCGTTTCTTTGAGCACGAGGTCGAGAGCTCTAAGTGGTTTCAGGCCAAGCGAAAGATCGGGAACGGGGATGCAGCGCCCAAGCCGAAGGGCAAACTCGTCGTCACATCAGAGCAAAAGAAGCTGTGGAGGGAACAAATCAAGCCATTCCTTACTAAGAGGGCTTCTGAGACACTGGATCTTGGCATCAGCCTGAAGGCCGCTGATCGCAAGTTCGTCCAAGAATTTGCCGATAGCGCTCGTATTAATTGGAAGACAAAGGAAGACGACGATGGGCACCGGCATCTGGTGCTGACCTTCCCCGAGAGTCCTGAAATGGGCGACGGTGATGGCGCCGACGATTTCGAAGAAGAATCCCAACTCGCTATTAATCGTATTGTCAAAAAGTACGACAACGCTGAGGTCCAGGACGTGACGGCAGAAGAAGCTCAGGCTCAGTATGATGTTCTGTACGAACAGAAGTTCCAAGAGTGGAAGGACAAGTACTATGAAGAGAAATTCCCTGAGTGGGCAGGAAACAAGGAAGTTGAGCTGAGAAAGCTCGCCGAGAATTACGTGCAGGGACTGCAATGGGTGTTATTCTACTACTATCGCGGCATCTGCTCATGGCCCTGGTTCTACCAGTACCATTACTCCCCGTTGATCTCGGACGTTATCAAGGGGTTGAATGCCGACATGAACTTCAGGCTGGGCCAGCCTTTCCGGCCGTTTGAGCAGCTGATGGGCGTGCTTCCCGACCGAAGCAAAAAGATCGTACCCAACATCTACTGGGATCTCATGACGAACCCCAACTCACCTATAGTCGACTTTTACCCCAGAGACTTTGAACTGGACATGAATGGCAAGAAGCAGGACTGGGAGGCTGTGATCAAGATTCCCTTCATCGACGAGAAGCGGCTGCTCGACGCAATGGCGACCAAGAACGACTTGCTATCCGATGATGAAAAGTCGAGGAACGGGTTCAATGTCCCTATCAAGTTCACATACTCGGGTGAATACGACTTCGTCTATCCGTCTTCCTTGGTGGGCATCTTCCCTGATATTCCCCACTGCCACTGTGTGGAGAATATATTCGACCTCCCACCTACGGACGGTTTGGATTATCGGCAGGGTCTAATGGAAGGAGCCATGCTTAGCGTCTCGGCTCTAGCTGGCTTCCCAAGCCTGGCAACTCTCCCTTACACTGCGACACTGGGCTTCCACGGGGTAAATGTCTTCCAGCAGGACAGCCGCAACGAGAGTATGGTCGTCACGCTATCCGACTCGGCCGTGCGGACTAAAGTCGAGAATGCCAAACAGAAACTTGGCAAGCGGTGTTATGTCGGGTACCCATTCCTCCAAGAAGCCAAGATCGTCCGTGTCTCTGACGAGTTGTTCGACTTTACCCTGTCAGAAGACGGGTCCGGACAAGTCGTCGTGAAAGACCACTCCAACAGGGAGATTGATGACTGGCTGAAGAATTCCAGGTACTGGGAGGACTTTTACAGCAAGCGTTTGGGCATCTTAATCGGAGACGTGGAGTCCATGGTCCACGTTGAGATGCTCAAGGGGTTGATCAAGACCGACGAAGGCGCCACCGTTAAGGAGTTTGGCGAGATACCGGGCATGCGGGACTTCTACGCGTCACAGACCATTGTCGACGACGTCGTCAACGAGGATGAGCGTTTTACAGAAAGAGCAGCCCTGCCTGTCGAGGAGGAATTCCCTGTTGGTTCTCACGCCTTCTATTTGGGGGACGTGGCATACGGTCGGCCTCTTGCGGTTACTGGCCACAGCGACAAGAAGTTGGACGTCGCAATCTCCAAGATGAAGAACAAGGAACCCGACTTTGCGAGGCAGATCATTCAAAAGAGCGAGCGTGAGAACAAGTACATGCCGTCGTATCAGGTTGCCAAGGATCTACACCTCCACCCCCTGGCCTTCAGCAAGATAACCTCATCGTACCAAGTTCTCAGCGTGGGCGATCTCAAAGTCAATCTAGGGCTGAACTTGAAGTTTGATTCGAAGAAGTTGAAGGTGCTCGGCTTCACCCGCAAGTCCGAGTCGGGCTGGGAGTTCAGCAGGGCGGCGATCAAGCTGGTCACAGATTACATGGTCTTGTTTCCAGACTTCTTTGCCGGGCTGCAGAAGAATGTGCAGAGTCGGGACGTCCAAGCAACTGATATCTGGCCTGATGAGACCACAGCAACGACCAGAGTCAAGGAAATTGGTCAGTGGCTGAAGTCAGTTGGGACAAACAGCTTTGTGAAGGTGCCACTGGAAGCTGAACAGCTCGACTCGAATGTTGTCATGGAGCTCGCTCAAGCATCCGAGGCGGCATTGAACGCTTGTAAAGACACCTCTACGCTGAATGTCAAGAGTGTGCCGCGTAGCGCGCTTTTGAAGCCTGGGGATGCAGAGACCCGACTCGGGAACCAGCGGTTCCACTTGGGAGATCGGATTGTCTACGCGCATGATTCCGGCAAGGTTCCCATCGCGTCCCGAGGAACCGTAGTCGGCATCAGCAGGACGGGCAGCCAGAACCTCCTCGATGTCCTGTTTGACATAACATTCATGAGTGGGACTACGCTGGATGGGCGCTGCCCTCTTTTCCGCGGCCAGACGGTTTCATCCTCGTCTGTTCTCAACTTGACGGATAAACAGGTTGTCATTGGCTCAAAGGCTGCTATGGCGCGGGCCCCTCACTCATCGCTTACCACGCTCGTCGCGAGCGGTGGCTATGGCGTGCCTGGAGGTAGACAATTCCGCGACTCTGCGCCTCCTCCGCCGCTGACTGGCTCATGGCGCGGTGCACTCAATGGATCCAACGGCACCGGTCGTGGTCGCGGTGGTCACAACGGCCACCCACCACAACGTGGGACCCTCAACATCCAGCCAAGCAACCTGGTGTACCGACCCTCGCCGAACCATAAACCCCAGCAGGATTACCAGCGAGGCGGGCGCGGAGGTCCCCAGAACGGCGTGGCTCGAGGCGGGCGAGGCGGCATCCAACGCGGGCGAGGCGGCAATGGTGCAGCACCAAATGCTGTCAGCCAAACTGCGCAGCAGCCGTCGTACAACGCCTATCCACCGCCCGCGGGCTTGGACGGCAACGGTAGAGGCCGTGGCCGTGGAAGAGGAGGGCGCGGGCGAGGATCCTCGACCCCGCGTGGCAATAGAGGTAGCGGAAGACCACAGCAGTCACCTGCTGCTGCTCAGAGCTAGGCGTTCCGAGATCACTATGAACCTTTGGTTTAGACCGACGCCGTAGGGCCTCAATTTAGCAGCATTCCCAGGCACATTTCAAAGACAATTCCATCCACCGATCATCAGCTCAACCGCAGGAACCAACCCTCATGCTTTCACCCATGCTTGCACCCGTAGCCTTGCGTGTCGCAGGACGATGAGGGGAAGTATTTTGGTGCGCAAATGCAGATATTCCTCGCTTAGGGAAGTCTGCCGGGATACACAAAAGCCACGGCCTCGCCCACCGTGCCGGAGACAGCGGTCACTCAGTAGAAACTATACGGTTCATCACGCAGGCCAAAAAGACCCCAATGGAGCGAGGCGACAAGCAAAAGACAGGGGTTGGGATCCGGGGGGGGGATGCGGATGAGGAGGAAGACAGGGGCGACTTCATCATGTGGTCCACAAACCATTGTGGACACTTGGCTGACGAACGGGGTGTTCCCTTTTGGAATCAATGCCGTATTGTTGCGGATGCTGGGTCGGTTCCTTCGATATTGAAATCATGTCTTCCGGGGACAGGATTAAAATTTCAACAGCGATGGGAGACGGAAGATTTGTGATAGAGTACAGACAAGCGAAAAGTTGGACAGCAATAGTAGTGGCATGCTACATGGCAATTGTAAACAGCATTTCTCGGGATATCTGGGCAATACTTGTGATACAAGCGGCGGGATTTTCCTCGCTGGCCTCGTCCACACCGAGAACCGCTCTTCCCCCTTCCATCGAGAAATCTTGCGACCTAAACGAGATGGCCAACCATCAATGGGCCGGCCTGGCAGCCTACGCCCTAGGCTTGGCCGTGCCCTTCTTCTTGGTGTCGCCGGCACTCTCCTTCTTCTTAATGGCGGGCAGGGCGAAGGCTTTGCTCCCGCCGCCGGCCATGGCCTTCCACATGCCGTAGTCTCGGCCTTGGTCCCAGGTCAGGGCGCCGACCCACGGCTGGACGTTGTAGTGCACGCGCAGCTTCACGTCATCGGTGTTGGCGATGCGCGACGAGGGGTGTGTGATCTGGTACTTTGGGCGCTGGTTCTTTATGGAGAGCTTGCCTCTGTTGTGTTTGAATTGTCCGTGTTAGCGCATGGGTCTGTCTCCCTCTTGGCTCTCCTCTTGGCTCTCATGCCTGTCTGTGGCTGCTTACCTGTTTGGGTCTATGGGCTTCCCGGCGGCACTCTTCCTCAGCTTCTTGAGCGTGGCAGGCCCATACCTGGCGAGGTGGTCTGAGCTGGGGGCGGTGATGATCTGGTCCCAGATGACGGCCTGGTTGGTGACGTTGGCGTTCGCACTGCCCCCCGCGGCCGAGGGCCACTCGGCCGTGACGTAGACAAAGACCTGCTTGGTGTTCCACGTGAAGAGGGAGCTGAGGTCGGCGTCGAGGCTGAACTTGATGGTGGCGTACTCCTCCTTCTTGTTCGAGTAGTAGTGCGGCCTGCCCATGACGACCTGGGTGTTGGTGGGCTTGATGGTGCCCGACGGCGTGCGCGGGGCCAGCAAGTCGGTGGCGGCTATGAAGGCGGCGACGGCAAAGGCGACGGTGGTGAAGAAGCCGAAGACATTCTGCGCCCGTACGAGAGAGGTGTACATGATGGATGGGGCCTTTCTCGGTGGCTGATGTGTGGTGTTGGGCGTGGGCTCTCCCTGCTAGTGATGTTGGCGGTCGGTGTTTCGGCTGCACTTTGACTGGTCGCGCTTCAAGGATTTCTTCTGCCGTCTATTCCACGGTCATTGCCGCAGGCGTATGCCAGGATTGGGCAAGGAGATATCGAATGCCTGGGTGCCCGGGTAGTTAGTTGGTCGTCTGGGGAACGTGGCTTCTTGTCCCCATCGCCAGGCAGTAAGATGAAGAAGCTCAGGCCACGTTAGAGCTCAGGGTAGTGGCGTTCCCTACCGCTGTGCAGTGGTAGTCTAGTCGGTCCCTGGCTGATGGCTTATCGGTTCCCCTTATCGATCGAAATGCAAGGGTCCAAGTGTCTAAGTTCATACAACTCCCCAAGTTAAACATAACCTCCTTCGTTTCAGCAATCAGAACACCTGCCCGAATGACGTAAATTGTTTGTGAATCGACTCTTGGGCACTGGGGCATTTCGTGAGCTGTGGCATCCAAACCTTTAAAGACAAGTCCTCCAACTGATCGGCCGCCTTTAGAATCAGAAACAACGTGCTCAGTGCCCCACCTTATTATGTATGGTAGACAGGTCCCACATATTGGCTGCGCAGAGGTGCCGTTGCAGGAATCCAGACATCCTCCACATCCCTCATGTTGAGATTGCTGGAACTCTGGAGCGGATGTACTCGCGACTTAAATTTCGCTTTGTTCCTGTTCAGAGTCCATCAGCCGCCCAGTGCTTTCATCATAAATGATCTCTCTGCGCTTGATAATCTCCTTAGTTGACCACCCTAGGGTATCTCTAAGTTGTGGCTCTACGAATAAGCCCAATTATTACTCTATATATATTAACATACCTCAGCTGCTATAATGAGCTGTTAAAACTTTATAGCGACAGCCTAGGTGAGCGTTATCGCCCCCCATAGTGACTCGGACCAATTCAATGGATAACAACAATTTAGACAGCATTGGGCTTTAGTCACAAATACCAAACCTGATGTTGCCCCGATGGAAGAGTCCTACCAGAAATGGCAGGGAACTCTGGATAAGGCGAAGGATTCGGGGGAGGGGGTTTATTTTCTTCTTCGGAATTCATCCCAATAATAAAGCTGTTCTGGAACAATCCTAGAAAGCTGGGGGAAATGTGATGAATATCCCGCCGCCTGATAGACCACTAGTTATTGTCCTCGTTAGTGGTTTCGTTTTTAATCCCCATACATGTAAAATGTACGTGGCGCCTTCCTACAGTGATTGTCCTCGTTAATAGGTATTGCCTGGAAGCTGGCCAAAGGTGATACCCATATCTTTGCAGAAGTCGATGGCCTTGTGAATAGACTGAGGGACCTCGCTCATAACAAGGGTCTGCTGCATCGTTACACATCCACTCACACGGCTATTCAAGGGCGATGTAATATCAGGATAAAGGGAGGATACTAAGTGTTTCCAGACTCAGGTCCGCTAGTCAGAAGTACCATCCGTCGGGTGTTTTCCAAACCGCCGTTCCAGGTGGCTTCAAGGTTTAACAACATTTGAACCTTGTCCTCAAATGGTTAGCAGCAGAAAACGGGAAAGTTAAAGACTTCAGTGGCCAGCAATGTGTATTTAGAGCCGGTGATATGTATACATGAAATTGTTTGTTTTTTGCTCGGTCCGAAATAGCACTTCTTTTGTTCAGTCTCCAAATGCCCTATTTCAATTAGAACACCTGGATGTGATGCAAGCCTGTCTCAGCTCAGCCCCTGTCGATGCCAAGCTGGCGCGAAGGATGACCATCTCAAAGTGCTTTTGAGGTTGGGGTAGTGTAGTGCTTACTCTGCCGTCTGCACATGTGGCCGCTCGTTGCTTGAGATTACTTCTCCTCCCTCTCCTGAATTTTACCTTGAGTAACCAGTTCATCTATAAACATCTTCAAGTCATCAATTATGGGTATTATTGATTCTATTACTACCATGCTCGGCTGGGGACCGGCAATTGTCGAACCCCAGCGCGTGCCCACCGATGAGGTGTTGCCTATGCACTATCTTGACGACAACTCACTGAACCGCTCCATTTTTCTCGCGTGGACTTTGCGCTTCAATGACGTTCTTGACGCCGACAAGCTCCACAACGGTTTGTCACGGTTGCTGGAGATTGGCGACTGGCGAAAACTCGGGGGGAGAATCAGGAAAGGTGTAAGTTGTTTTCGTGCTTGACATTGATCGGATTGAGCACATGTCTGCGGGGATGCACTCTCCTCGTGTAACTTGTCTAACATGTTCCAGTCCAATGGCAAGCTCGAGATCCACGTTCCGTCGGAGTTCACGCCAGAACGACCTGCGGTACGGTTCACCAAGGAGACCTTTGGTGTCTCGTTCGCTGAGCACCCACTGGCCTCACAAATGCCCGAGGCGACGAGTGACATCCATATTTATGACAGCCCTGAGAGGTTCCGGGAGTTTGTCGGACCCGCGGACACGACACCTGGGGGCATGGATGACTACTTGTACACCGATACGCCTCAGCTCGGTCTGCATGTGGTAACCTTTTTAGATGCAACTTTGGTCTCAATCAACTGGCCGCACACAATGACGGATGGTTTTGGCCGACGGGCCATCATCAATAATTGGTGCAAGGTTCTCGCTGGGAAGGAGGACGAAGTTGCCCCTCTCATGGGCACGCGCGAGGACCCCTTGGCCAGCGTGGGGACCGGCCCGCCACATGAGAAGGAGGAGCCATATGCCCTCAAGGACCAGAATCTGAGCGGCCTCGGCTTGGCCCGATTTGTTGCGCTCTCCATTTGGGATAGTTTTTGGGTCCCCGAGCAGATGCTCAAGACGGTCTTCCTCCCCGCAAGAGCCATGGCTATTCTAAAGCAGCAAGCAGCAGATCACCTGGCAGAGGCCGACGTCAACGAACACGGCACAGCTGTGAGCAGCCGGGCAGCCATACCGACAACGCCATTTGTCAGCGACAGTGATGTCTTGACAGCCTGGCTGACCCAGATCACCTGCCGTGCCTCCGGGTCCTCGAGCCGCCCGATCGCCTTGGGCAATGTCTTCGAGCTGCGCAGCCGCCTCCCAGACGTCTTTGACTCTTCCGCCGCCTATGTGGGCAATTTCGTCTGCTCAGCTCCGGCCCATTTGACCGCAGATGAGGCACGCTCTTTGCCACTGGGCCAAATCGCCCTTCGGTTACGCCAGTCGCTCGCGAGCCAGGTGACCGAGGGCCAGGTCAGGGGTCGGATGCGCTTTACCCGCGAGGCCGGGAACAGTCCGGTCCTGCCCATCAAGCCAAACAGCATCCTTTTGTCATGCAGTAACTGGACCAAGGCTAAGTTCTTCGACGCCATCGACTTTGCCCCTGCCGTCGTCAAGCCAGGCCCCAAGAGCGACATCGCGCCTGTCCCAGGAAAGCCGGTTTACTTCCATGCCATCAGTACTAAGCAGGACCCACCCTGGATCAGGAACGTATTTAATGTGCTGGGGAAGGACCACGCGGATAATTATTGGATAACAGCGAAGCTGCCGCCCGTGGTCTGGGAGAACATTCATAAGGAGATTGCAAAGCTATATCAATAGTTTCTTTCTTCTTTGAAACTATGATAAACCTTCATTATAGTATTTCGACTGGTCTATTCATTCTTACATAAAATTAGTGTTAAAACAAATAGCTATCATTACAAGAGCGTATACTTATAGTACATAATGAATTGAAATATTCTAATTTAAAGCAATACTTCCTGGTAGGCTAGGTACTGGCTCATGAGCAACGACTCGGACTTTCGCACACACATTACTTAATGCGAAGGGATGAAACGTTTGGCGATCATGCGAGAGCAGTGGTAGGGCTCGTGGAGGTCCTCGTCAAGCTCAAGAGCAACCGTGCTGCAGATTCTGCATTGAGACTAGCTTTGGCTTGGAGACGTGACGAGGGATCCATCATGGAGAAGTTCGACAAGATCAAGCGCCTGAAGATCTCGACTCAAAAGGCTGTGTTCCTAGACCACCTGTGGATTCTTCGACTTGAGTATGAATCCGCCACCCGAGTGCCGCCTAGCTTGTTTCCTGAAATACAGAAGGCCGTCACCTCGCGCCATAAAATTATTAATAAAATGGGAGAACATTTAAAAATTATCGAATACCCTTTAATACTATTATTTATAATAAGTGGAGAATGTTAGCACAACAAGTCTGTCCTTCACAATCACGCAATTGTGATGGGACGACACAATTGCACTGCTTGAACTTGAGAGTATCTCCACGGACATGGATAATATGGGAAAGGTTCACAGACGACACGTGGAAGCTTTGTTGAAGTGCCGCCGAGCTTACCGGAATCACTTCCAACGGCGGCGCATCAATAGATATCCGGGTGCGCCGCATTTTGCAGCAGAGGGGTGGTGCCACCTCGGCACACACTTTAGAATCCCTTGCAATCCCTTGCAAAGCACATGTATCCAAGGGCTTAACATACCTATCCACCGTATGAAGGCGTCACTTACCCTAGGGTATGTCCTCGGACGTGTGCGGAATAGAAGCGAAACCAGTAAGCAAGAGTACCTAGGTACCTAGGTATAAATGCTATTCGAAAGAAAACTAACATGCTGACTCGGTGTTAACGGATCGAGATGTCTGAAACCCGGATGCCCTTGCTGGCAAATTCCACATTGGTATCCTACATATGTACCTAGGCACACACCGCCCATAGCAAGCCTGAGAAATACATCTACACTTGAACAGTAGATAGCCTCCATCTGCAGCGCATCTGCTGGTCAAGACAAAACCAAGGTCATCCTTGTGCGAAGTGTTGTACCCCAAAAGGAGTGCACGAGGCTCGCCCATTGGACACTTGATCCCTGTGAGCCTAAGATCTTAATCCCCGTGGCCCCCGACAACGAGACCTGTCCGACAACTTTGTTCAATGTCACCCGTCTGCTGCCTCGGTTGTTGTTCAAGATATTGAAACGAACTGAGAACACCACATTCCGAACTGCTTCATTTGATGGCTTCATGTGTGTGCGCTATGCTGTTGAACAGTATTACAAAGAATAGGAGTCCTTCTTCCCCACTCCGGAAATCATCATGGGTATGACGCCTTCATTTGGCCCGTGGAAGCTTCCCCCAATTATCCACCCGTCCATCCTTTTTTCCCGTCGCCCAAATGCGCGTGATCAATTGTTGCTTGTATGCCGTATGCATGCTGGAGAAATATGGTATCGTTGACAAAGGGAAGTCGTGCGGTTGTTGTTCTCGTCTCTTCTGCGTCATGGACCAGAGCCAGAGGTAGGGACCGCGGCTCACTTGGTGTCCTCCGAGTCCTCCTTGGGTGCCGTCACCAGGACGACGGTATCAGGAGTGCCCTCTCTAATGGACCGTTCTTCCTCCCACTCCTCCTCGGGCTTCAGTGGTTGGGGCGACATCGAAGGGGACGCCACCTCGGGTTCCTTGCCCTTGGGGCTGGAAGGCGGCTGTGACGCAACCTGGGTCCGGGAGCTGTCGCCTTGCTCGAGGATCGGCCGTGGCGGTGGCATCAGGCCGCCGTCACCCCCAGCTGGCCCATCCGGGGCCGCCACTCCCTCCATGGGGACGGTGTTGTCTGCGTCCGCCGTCGAGGTCCAGAACCGCCCGTTGGCCTTCAGCAACTCAGCAGAGAGGCCCCTCAGGCCGGTCAGGATGACGTGCGGCCTCTCCCAGGCCAGCAGGCCCGGCACCCCGCGTACCCGCTGCGAGAACAGGACGCTGTAGTGTGCGTTGGCCCACGCCGGGCACACATAGCCCGTGCCTGCATCGGCTTTGGTGGGCGCATCTACCTGGACCGTCGTCTCACCTGCTTCCAGAGCGGCGGTGGTGTCAGATCCCCCGCCCTCTCCTCCTGTCTCCGCCTCCGTCTCCGTCTCCGTCTCCCCAAGGAAGACGGTGATGCCGACTCTCGGTCTTGCCGCCGGCTTCTTGGGCGCCTCCCTCTTGTCGTCGCTGTCGTCATGCGTGGCGCAATGCGCCCAGAAGCGCATTGCGTACTCTGGTCCCGGCAGCCACGCCAGGTTGGTGAAGGTGATGATCTGTTGCGGCGTGAACGGCAGCCGGGGTGCGAGAAGGCGCAGGCCCTTGAGGGCGAAGACGAGAAGCCCCGTGGGGGAGTCGCACATTGCGTATCTGCGGCCACGTCAGTCCACGGGTCACTGACAGTGTTGAACATGCATGCGGGCAGCTGCTTACGCCAGTGTGTTTGGCTCCTTCAGCCCTACATTGTCCAGGCCGAACTCAGACGGCGTGAGGGCCTTCTTCTTGTGCGCCAGAGCCACGGTCGCCTGCCAGTGCTTGTGCGCGGAAAGATCCTCCTTGCTGTACCCCAGGATCGGCGCGTTGAGCACATTGGCGATGGTCCACTTGGCCCACTCCAGGGGCGACTCGGACAGCTTCGGTGAGCACAGCGGCGGGGAGATGAGGTGGGCGCCGAGGCATGAGCTCGGGTAGCCAGACGAGAGGCTCTCGATGAGCTTCCAGTCGATCCTGGCGGGCGAGGACTGCGCGGCGCCCGAGTTGCTGACCAGGTAGTGCTCGTACCCGAGGCGCAGCATCAGCGTGTTGAGCATCTCGGCCGTCGCCGGGATCACGGGCGTGTTGTTTGGGAAGGGGTCGCTGAAGCCGAGCCCCGGCAGGGCCGGTATGACCAGGTGGAACGGCTGGTCCACGGACGCATCCTCGGGCTCGGTGAAGGGCTTCACCAGATGGGCGAGGGCGAGGTTGGAGAATGGGAAAGGGGGTATCAACAGGAGCGGCAGGGCATGGCTATGAGGCGAGGGAACATGGATCAAGTGGAGCCGAAGGGGCGTCTCTGAGGATGGGATGGATATCGACGTGCGGAACTGGGGAGTCTTGTTCAGGCTCTCCTCCTGCTCGCGCCACGAGTACTTCTCGAGCCTGCCGTCATGTCAGCCCGGCCCTCGGGTACGAGGCCATCCCGCCAGCGAACAGCGTATTTACGACTTACCAAAAATCAATGAGCGGTTCTACCTGGGGTTTGGGCTCCCACCAGTCCTCGGACGGAGGCTGTGTGCTCTCGTGGGGAAGACGGGTCAGCTCCAGCTTCTGCCTGGTGAGGTCCAGGTACCTGCTCGAGACCTGTAGGTGGCGTTAGCAGTCTGTCATGGCCGGCACGAGGAGAAGAGAGGCAAAGGGGGCAAACTCACGTGGATTTTGTACGGCTTGACCTCGTCGCCGGGCGCCACCGGTGGGGACTCTTCAGTGTCTACCATGATGCTACCACAATGCTACACACATTGTCCACTCTGGCGAGCAGATCTTGGCACAAGGATCAAGAGCAAGAAAACAAGATGCAGTTACCCAGAAGCGAGCGTGAGTTTCTTCGAGTTGCAGACGAGAATATGCATGTGCTATGTTGATGCGACGCGAAACCGGTTTTGTAAATGGCAAAATAATTTCACAGGCACCTATAACGACAAGGAGATAATGGGATAATAAACACGCGCGCTGTCTCCTTCTCCTTCTTGCCTTTTCGACGACCCGTCAAAAAAGGAAAGGCGCCTACCAGACTATCATATTCAAGGGTCCAGATTGACTGGGCTGCTGGGCATCTATCATCCTTGCGACGTGGCTTGACAGATCCCGACCGCAGATGTGGCGTCAATTCCATACAAAATGTCCCCTCCCAGTAGCGACGGACCAGCATATCCGCTCGAGAACGGCACTGACGTGGCTGTGCTGCATGCCCGCTAACGAGACTCCGGAAATGATCGACCCCTTTCTGGTGCCTCGCGCCGGTCGTGATCCTCGAGGGTCCCCCATCCTTCCCGCGCCGCCGTGGGTCAGGAATCCAAGCAAGGCCGCCGTTACTATAACGAGAGTGCCGGTGTGCTACAAGCGCGGACAGAAAACTTGGAAGGGTAAGAAGCCAATACACCATGTGGCCATCTTGCTCGGGCGAGAGTGGCAAAAATATGCACGGCATCTCAAACAAAAAGATAGAGCAAATAGACACGCGCACACACACACACACAGCTATTCAACCACTACGTACCGGTAGTCCAGACCACCCAGCTCCTGGTGGGCTGCCTCCCGAGACATGCAGGTTGCGACTCGTACGCCGTTGCCATCTACACCACACCTCAACTGACACCTGACCATACGCTTCTACAAAGGGAGAGCGCAGAGGTGTGCCCGGCTCGTGGGGGCAGTGGCGACATTTCCCTGCCACCCCAATGCGATGCGCACGCGCTGGGGACAGGTCCCTTGGATACGCAGATTTGTCCGCGTCTCATTGGGGTGCAGGGCGACTTTGCTGTGGGCCCAAGGTTCAACAAATAAGCTTATTGCTCTGCACGACGCCTTGCTGCCGTCATTGGACCTGGGCGCCTGGGCGCTAGCTGTCAGTGGCGACGTCGGGAGCCAAGGCGAGGTATTCACTTCAGTAGCCTGACGTTTTGGCAAGTGAAACGTGCAACTGCACGGCTCTGCACGGCTCTGTCCCTTGGGTACCGACTCGTCGCTCAAGCCATCGGTCTGATACTGATAGCTGGACCCGGTTTAGCGACGATCTCGAGAGAAGACCAACACCAAGAAGGAGTATTGTTGCTCTCGGTATAGCCGTATATGTTCCAATAGCTGGTATCGCAATGGTCTCCAGATGAGGGAGCAGCGGCACACCCTTATAGGTCGGTGTTCAATCCCGCCTCGGCAGGGAGGAGGCCGAAAGGGCTCCATTACGCCCGCCCTTATTAGAATCAAAAGCAACCCGCCCACTCGTTGTACTGACTGAATATGACCCGGCCACTACTGGCCCCGTAACGAAACAGCTACGTGTGTAATACAGTCGCTATGCTTTATCTCCCAAAATTCCCGCCGCCGCCTGTCTTTACGCCGCGTGCTGTTTGTGGCATATATCCACGACCCACTCCAGCACAATGTCAAGATCCGCTCAGCCCTACGTCCCCAGCATCGCCCGATCCTTAGCCCCGTGAAGATGGGTTTGGTGAGCCGGCGCCACCCCCGCCCTGACCGACCTGATTGTAGCCCTGCTGCGCGGGCCCGCGCAGGTTCATTGCGCCGATTCTGGACACGATGTTGCTGCCGACCGCGTCGACAGCGCCTCGGGGGCTGGTCAGCGTCGGGCCTTCTGGCGCCGTCTCCTGCACGCGGAACAGCTTGATGCCCGTGCCGTTCCAGATGCCCACCGTGCCCTTTGAGATCTGCATCTCGCTGCTGAAAATGAAGCTCCAGATCAGGGACTCGTACCACCCCAACGCCAGCGGAGACCACTCGAACGAGTGCACCCGCACCGGCGACGGGTCCACCCCGACCAGCTTCACTTGGCTGATCTTGCGCAGCGTCTCGGGCGACGCGTGGTCCGCGATCAGCGCCTGCCGCGTCACCAGGGCCGATACCTGCGGGATCGCGCTCAGGATAGTGTGCAGGGGCAGTTCTGGGAGCCAGCTGTCGATCCACTGCGGTGTGGGCTCGAATTGGCCGTTCACCGACTGGCCGGACATGGAGTACCCGCTGAGGCTGGTCATGCTGTTCTGCCTGGAGAAGTTCTGGATTCCAGCCGGCATCTTGCCCCTGGCCTTCTCCGACATGCCGCGCAGCTGTGTTGGCACTGCGTCCTCGACGTTTGACACCACCGAAGATGCCCGCGATGGGTTCTCGCTTGGATCGGATTGCGAGGGCGTGGGGCGCTCCTCGTCGCTGTCGTCCTCATCATCGCCGATGGTAAATGTGCCGTCCTCTTCGGGGACGTTGCTGAGTGCTGTTGGCCGCGAGTGGCCCGTCACGGGGCTCCTCAAGCTCTCTGCGGAACTCCTCGTGGAGTCCATGTCTGAGGAAGCCCGAGCATCCTTTCTCCGTCGATTGCGCCGCTCGATTTCTTCCTGGCCGCTTTCCAAGGTAAAGTTGCGAAGCGCCTCAAAACGTTTCCTGTTTCGCAGCACTGCCGCGACAAACTCGGGGTTTTCTGCAAATTGTCAAATCAGAGCCCCATCACATCAGGCCGGTAAACAACTCACTTTTGAACTGGTGCTCAAGTATGGAGTTCATGGACTCGAGCAGTGACCGCAGAAGGGCATGGTTCGTATCATTCGCCAACAGGAACGAGGGAGAAGACATTGAGTTGAAGAGCTGCATCATCTTTGCGCCGGTCGCCACACTGAGTCCCTCGACGTAGTAGGCGATATTGTTGATGATTGCCAACAGGGCAGGGTATATGGCCGTAAGCTTTCCATTGCTCGTGGTGATGAGGTTGTAGATAGACTAAGTGGTATTAGAGACGGATCTTCACCTTCAACTACTCCCTCAACTTACCTGTATGAGGAAGTCCGCGTAGGTGCCCCTGAAACCTTGTATGCGGATCACAGGTGGCAGCGTCTCTTGTGCTTCAAAAGACTTGTTGAGATTGACACCGAAGTTCTTCTCCACGCTCAAGGTCTGTAGAAGGAATGCGCACATCCGCACGACCCCTTGCTTTGAAGCGTCGCTCTTATACTCCAGAGCGTAAAACAAGATCAGGATAGTGAAGTCGTGTGCCCTCTCAGTATCGACAATGAAGGACCGGAACCGCTTGTTGCATTGCGTTATTTCCCAGAACAACATTATCATTTCGGGGGCAAAACGTATGGACGACTGTGTTCCGGGGATATACGACGCATTAGCCTGCAAGGGTTGGTTCAGGATGCGCGTCATACCATCGACGATGAACTGAAAGTCCTGTGGCCGATGTATCCGTCCGAGAAAGTGGCGGAACCAGTTCTTTTGCGGATCGCCATTAAGCTCAGGAACAGGATACAGAAGCGTGACAAGGAGTAGTTGCAAGGAATAGGTAACAAGGATCTGTCTTGGGTCCTTGAAGACGAGCGTGTTGTATGGCACTCTCCAACTGGCAGGGTTGTATTTCATGGTCTGGAAGTTGGTTAGCATATCCCGCACGAAGAACGTGGGCTATTCGAGGCCTTACAGTATTCAGCAGAGAGCAGAGAAGAGACAAGACGACCTGCTTGTCCGCACAGGTGCAGATGTGCGTCAGGGCTTTGGTACCGTTCCGTGGGAGCACCGCGGCGGACATGTACAGGCTCTGGCCGGTGATAGCGAGCAGCAGGCGTAAGACTTCGATGCGGTTGCTCTCAAACTCCTTGGTCGTAGCAACGGCCTGATTGCAGCCGACCCCGCTCTGCCATATTGCGTAGGTGACCTTGGGCTTGCCGTGTTGTTGTTTTGAGACTGTGAAGTCGGAGAAGAACAGCAAGTCGATGAGGGTGTCGATCAGCTCCTCAGCCAGGGGCCTGACCTCCTCGAATTCTTCTGATTTTCTGGTCCTCGCCGCTTCCTCCTCGCCGTCGTCGAACAAGACCTCGCTAGCTATTGCTGACTCCCGTGTCCTCTTCCGCCGGATGCCCCAGAAAAAGCGGTCCTCCCACTCATGGAGATTGTCGGCTTCGTATATGTAAGGCAGAACCCTGGTGAGGACCCTGATGCAGTTGAGAGCATCGCGCTCGGGGGCAATCTCGGGGTCGGGAAACGATGGATGGTGTCGCAGGTTGAAGAGACGCGAGGTGACGGCCAGTATCAAGGTCTCGAGGTTCTCGATCGCATGGTCTCGCGTGCGCCGGATATCTGCAGCGGCAAACAGGCTGAAGACATCATCGGAGGATTCGGGCAGCTCCCAGAACTGTTGATGACTGTCAGCGACAAGGCGGCCCGGCCGAGCTTAGGGGAGACAGGACGGGCTACGGACAGAGGTCCAGTATGGATCGTCAGCAGCGATGCTGCGCTCTCCACTGAGCCTAAAGATGCCCTTTTTGAAGACAAGCTTCGAGTCGCTTGCACCCATGTTGGCGGCGACCCGATAGCATGTCTTAAGCCTGCTCTTGCACTGGTCGCGGGACGAAGATGGATCTGCAGGGATTCACTGGTGACGGGCTGCAGGTGGAGGGCGTGTAGGTTTGGACGTTGATGCTTTGGAGTTCCTGATGCCGGCAACTGGGCAGGCCTGCAGGCGGCAGTGATATCACTCCCTGCTAGCCGCGGCCCTCGGGACACCTAACCCTTTCAGCTTGCAGATCAAGGCACGCTGTGGTGGTCCCTCCATTGAATATTCAAATGGTCACGACTGGCCCCGGCATGACCAGGTATGCAATACGTGCGTTTTAGAGGTCTCAATTGTTACATATTCTGCTCTGCTGTCAAACAGCCTGGCCAATGCCAACCAAAGCCCCAGCTCGTTGCGACGGGGTGAACGTGAGACTGCAAGGCGTCCTGCTGCTTGTGGTGTCTGCACTGTCTGCACTGTCTGCACTGTCTGTACCCTGGCGCTCACTCTATGATAACCAGATATGTTTGGTCATTTCAGCGCAGCATCACTCCGAATTACATGACGTGGAGTTGCGCAAGAATTCCACTGCCGCTTCGTGGATTCTTGAGGCTGCATGACCAGAGCCCCTGCAGAATTTCGCAGCCCCAAAGCCCCGTGTCTGTGCCTATCCCCTGTGCCTCTGCCTTTCTTTTGCTCTGTAATGCCCTGTCCAGTCTGTTCTTGACAAAGATCAGACGAACGGGCAAAAGCACCGGGTACCGGCTCGACTGCCCATGCTACTTTGCCACCTCACCCCATGTCCGTGTGCAATCGTTTCATACCTCGACTTTATCCACCTCACGACCAGACGTTGCCCGACGATCGACGGCTCCTGTCGTACAGCCACTTGTTGTTCAGGCCAACACTGATCCTTTTCCCGCCGGTCGGGCTGGGGGTCGGTGGAGGTTCGGAGAAGATGCTAGAAGCAGTGCTAAGGTTGAAAGAGCTCGTGCTCGCGTTGAATGGGCTCGGCGACCCATACGACGACCGCCGTCCCCCGCTGTAGCCCACAGCTTTCTGAAGCAAGGGGCTTGCTGCGGGAGAGTACGGAGACCCATTGAGCCGTGTGGTGGAGGAAGGACTGCCATTTCCAGACAGAGGAGAACTGGCTGGGCTTGGCTTCCCGATAGATCCGTTGATCGAAGGCGTGCGGGCGTATCTTGGAGGCGTGCTGTAGACTGAGTTCGGTGTGGGCGGGGCTGAACTTGGGGGCAGGCCAAGGAGCGCACGCTGGGCTTTTGTCAAGGGGATATCGCAAAGATCGTCTCTGGGCCGTATCAATGGAAGACAGGCGCGGCCCATGTTCAACAGAGGAATAAGATGAGCGACCAAGACGGTCCAGTAGAGGTACTCTTTCGCATCACTTGACCTGGGGTTCCGAGTTAGCTTCAAGAAGGCCCTGCGCCTCACCGCGGATCGAGCTTACAGTGGCGATGGGCCGTATTGGGCAGCGGCTAAGCGTATAAGATGGATGACAAAAACGGCGGCAATGTTGTAGAATATAGTCTTGACATTGTCACTGTCGAACGTTGTTGCTTGTTGACGGCGAGTGATCTCTTTGATGCGCGGGTGCTGCCAGTTCCCTGGAGAGTCGGTCGCCGGGGCTGGGCTGGCCTTGTTGGGTGTTGTGAGGGCTCCGTAGTTTCGCGTCTTGTTGAGCGCAAGGGCTGTGGTGGAAGACATAACAGGCCTTTGGTGCTGCGCAGCCTCGGGGATGCGCGGTTGGTGATGTCGATGCAGCGATGCTACGAGATGTCGAGACTGGAGAAGGCGTAGTCCGGTGGGTGAATCTGCTGTGGTTAGTAGGAGCCTGGGAACAGTGGCGATGGCGAGGCAAGCCCGCGCGGGTGGTCGTGGTCGTGGTCGTCGGCGCTTCGTGGGTTGGATTGAGGAAGGGGACCCGGGAGAGGAGCTTAAATCGCGGCCTGGGTTGGTTGGTGCATGAAAACAAAGCGCGGCTTCCCAGGCGACCACAACCCTGTCGCCAGCCTCTTGGATCTCGGCATCAGCCGCTAGCCCGTTCGACATTGGGAGCTAGGTACCTTCTCGAGTACCTAGGTACTTGGGTATGTTGGACCCTCGGGCGTGTGGGGCTACCTGACTACTGTAGGTACACACGTACCCAGCCCCGCTACTCAGTGACAGCTCAGCCCCCCCGAGGCTTCCAGGACCAGACTACCTACCCAAGTACTTATTAGCTACAGCTGACGCCCACCTTAGAACCAACTACGTATTTGGCTGACAGTCAGTCAAGGCCTCGAAGGCTACATTACCCGACAGCATTGAAATCTCGTCTCCTCACCCATCCTCAACTCAGCCCAACAAAGGTAGCCACTGCGTGTGCCCCAATGATCTCTACGGTCCACCAACCGCGCCTCTAAAACCCGACCCGATCCTCACCATCGCGCCCGTCGGAGCCGCCGGCCCATCTTGTTCTCACCATGGGGTTCTACGAGAGGACCATGTGGCAGTTCGACGAGGGCGTGACCGGCCTGTTCTCACAATGGAACGCCTGGTCCACCGCCATCACCACTTTCCTCGTCATATACCTGAGCTATACGCTCTTCTCGCGCCGCGACCCCGATACCCATCCTCTGCTGCTGGCCCGCCAAGCCCAGGCCTCACCCGTGCGATACCCAAACGAGTCGTCCATCTACCGGTCACACTCCGCCCCGCATGGCATGCCCCTGAACGCTGGGCTCAACGTCAAGGAGCCCGGTGCCTCCAAGTGGTCGAGGGGCCGAGATGGCGACCTCAGGGACGTCTGGCGGCAGGCCGTCAGCGGCACTTCCCAGGAGGGCAAACCAGTCGGCAAGGGCAAGATCCTGACTGTCTTGGGTGCCGAGAAGGTCCTGGAGCACAAGCTTGGTATGTGTCTTTCTAGACGTAGACGTAGACGTCTCCGGTTCCCATCCATCAGCGGCTAACATTTGCAGACGATGTGACCCGGCAGATCAACCTCATCGGCAAGCACATCCTCGACCAGGGCGGTGCTCGCGTCGCAATCTACCTCCCCAACTCGGTCGAGTTCATCGCTGGCCTTTTCGCCTGCTCCTTCCACAACCTGACTGCGATTCTCATTCCTTTCGACCAGTCCGATGAGGCTGTCATTTCCATGTTGCGGCGCTCTGCTGCCGATACCGTTGTCGCCCTGCCTGGCTCCTTCCCCTTGGACCTCGTGGTCAAGAACTATCCGTCCCTGAGACAGGTCATATGGGTTGTTGACGAGGGCAACAGGCATCTGGACTGGACAGAGGTTCCCGAGGGCGTGGGAGGCAGCCTTAACGTTTCAACCTGGCAGGATATCGTACAGGACAGCCCTGTGGATGCCGGCGCTGAAGTTCTTCCCGCCCAGGGCCAGTTGGAGGCTCGGGATGTCACTGTCTTCTGGAAATCGAAGCCGGGTGTCACCGAGGAGATGGTCCGCTTTACAAGCGCCAACTTCGTGTCCGCAATCGCCGGGCAGCTCTTTGCTGTTCCGCAAACCCAGCGCATGAGCCCGTCGGACCTGTTCCTGCCTGCTGACGCCCTGACCAACACGCACACCCTCGTCCTCACCCTGACTGCCCTCTTCTCCAACGCCTCGGTGGCATTCAACTCCTCGGCAAGCGAGGAAATGGACCTCACTCTCGCCACTCGCGGAATCTCCCCCACCATCGTCGTCGCATCACCCAACACTCTTCTCAAGACGCATGCTGAGGCTACTCGCAACGTCAGCTCATTCCTGCCCAGCAAGATTCACTGGCTGCAGACCCGAACCCTCACTCAGAACGGCGTCATGCCCGCCGCGTCCCTGCTTACCAGCCTCAACGACAGTCTGCGGCCGGCCGTCGGCCGCACCCCGGGAAAACTCCGCCTCGTGTACACGGCCGAGCGCGCCGGGGCAGGCACGCCGCCCCTGTCGTCCGCCGTGCTGTCTGACCTACGTATCTTCCTCGGCGCGAGGATTCTCTACGCGCTGAGCGCACCCAAGGTCGCCGGTGCTGTGGCGCAGACGCAGTTCTATGACTATCGGGTCTTTGAGGACAAACAATCGCACTTCGGCCCCCCTCTGACTTGTACGGAGATACTCCTGAAGGACTCGGGTGACCACAAGGTTACGGATGACAAGGCTGAAGGAGAGGCAAGTTGCTGTCCTCCCGTTGGATGGCTGGCGGATCATCTTTTGCTGACACCGAATCTCATAGATATATGCCCGCGGCCCTTGCGTGGCAGGCGGCGAGGCTTCGCTGGGTGTAACGGGCACAATCCGCTTCGACAACACGCTCACATACATTTGATGCTAAAATCAAAATGTACCCTGTTTAAAATCGGTCTCCTGCGTTTTATGTAGACTAAGAATTGAATTTCGAGGACACTGATGATTGACAACTTCTCTAGGGCATTGCAGTGTGAAGAATAAAGACGAATAGCAGAGCCAAGACGAGAGAAAACAAACACTACGCGTCGTTAAACCGTACAATGCCATTACTGTGGATTATAAAACCATCACGCAAACAGACCGTGAAATGCACTACACTAGTTTACCGTCCTGGGATATCCCAACGCCTGTATTCCATAAACCACGCTACACCCAGCGTTCCTCTCAAGCCAGTGCACAGACACACCCATATGCTCCAAATCCGAGGCAACAAACATACTCACACGCGCACATCAGGCCCCGTTCCTATAGACCTGCGCGCCCTGGTTCCGGAACATGATAGTGTCCCGTCTCTGCATGAGCATGAGCGTGCGGTTGAGGGCCTGCTCGCTGAAGCCCTTGCCCTCGACCATCTCCCTACGGAGGGTAGCGAGGCTGGTGCTCCAGCCGATGGGCAGGCGGCGCTTGAGCTCGGCCTCGACGCGCGCGACCTCCTCGCTCAGCTCGCGCCCGCCCTGGTTCGCGCCGCCCTGGTTGACGGCGTCCATGGTCGAGCACAGGAACAGCCGGATCGCCTCGTCCACGTGCGCCTCGGTTGCCACGGGCGACAGCGTCAGCTTCGCGAGCGACTCGGTGATACGCACGATGGCCTCCAGCTGCCGCACCGTGATGGGGATCGACGACCGCGTGTTCGCCTCAAGCTCCGACGCGTGCACCTGCTTGCGGATCTGCACAAAGTGCGACGACAACTTCTCTGCTGCCTCTGGGCTAAGGCGGGGGGCGCAGCGTCTGGAGGTTTCGGCTTGGTTAGCTCTTGTGGAAATTGGCTTGGGGAAAGGATATGCGTAGGGTTGGTGGTGATGCCAGGAACTTACGATTTACAGTAGCTCAAGTATCGCTTCATCATCTCCACTGGGATTTCGGACTCGACTTCTGCCTCGGCTGCGGTGCTGCCCTTGTGGATGCCCATGACGTGCTTGGCGATGCTCTCGTCACGACCACGCTCGTGCGCGTCCTTGACGATGAAGATCATGTCGAAACGGGACAGGATCGTTGTTTGGAAATCAATGTTCTCGCCGGGTGTTTTCATGTCATCGTAGCGACCGAAGATGGGGTTGGCAGCTGCAAGGACTGATGTCCTCGCGTTGAGGATGGTGGTGATGCCTGCCTTGGCGATCGAGATGGTCTGTTGCTCCATGGCCTCGTGGATGGCAACCCTGTCTTCGTCGCGCATCTTGTCGAACTCGTCGATGCACACGACGCCACCGTCCGCGAGAACCATGGCGCCGCCCTCCAGGTAGAACTCCCTAGTGGATTGATCCCGTTGCACTGAGGCAGTGAGACCGGCTGCCGACGAACCCTTGCCCGACGTGTAAATACAGATGGGAGCCGCCTTCTCGACAAATTTCAAGAGTTGCGATTTGGCAGTACCCGGGTCACCAAGAAGGAGCACGTTGATATCACCTCTGAGCTTCATCCCGTCTGGGAGAATCTTTTTTGAGCCACCAGCAAGCAGGCACAGAATGGCCTTCTTGATATCCTCGTTTCCGTAGATGGATGGCGCGATGCACCTAGCCATGACCTGGTACAGGTCCGGCCTCCTGCTGAGCTCCAGGAACTCCTGTTCTTCCTCCTCAGAGAAAATGGCATGGCCCTTCGCGGTCTGGTCGATGTCCGTCTGGATGCCGGTCGCTCGGAGATACGGTGTGCGAATGGCAACGGCGCCACCTGTGGATGAATTCTTACTGCCCTTGTTCTGGTAGATAGAGAAGATGCCCATAACAGTACATCTCGATCCGGGAACAACGCGGTTTGTCAAGTAGCGATCAGCAGAGATCAGGACGTGGCGTGGCAGCTCTCCGACAGGGACCTGGTCAGGCGCCTCCTGAAGCTTGATGACTTGTTGGTCGACGAACTTTGAGCTCTCGTGGACGACGAAGTAGGGGTCGAGCGGACACGGGTCAGTCGGGTCGCCCTTTGGCCTTTCTCTGCCGCACCTTCTGGGAAGAGTCACACCGGCGAAACCACCATCGATACGTATGTCCTGGCTGTGACCACAATTCCGGCACGAGAGGTGGAGCTCGGTCGCCTTTGATGACATTACAGAGGCACCAATGACAATTCCAGGCACCCGCACAAGTCGAGATATTGTGAGGGAGTCCAGATTTCGGATAGACACATCTTCGGCATTTGAGTGAAGCAGAAGTTGGTGCGGTGGGAGGTTGATCTTGGCTTCGTGTGGGAAGACGATTCTCTGCGTGCATTTTCGCAGAGCATTCTCAAACTGTGAGCGGGGCGAACAGCGTCAGCGTCAGCGTCAGAGACATGATTCAACATGAACATTGGTCTAGAGAGGGCCACAACGCACCAGTGGTATTATCTCTGCTGGCTCCGTGACCAAGCGATGCGCCAACTCCTCGTTGTATTTGATCAGGTCGCCGATATTGACGTCACAGTAATATTTTTGGAGCAGCGCGTTCTCGCGCAATTGGTCTCTGGACGGGGCGATCATCAGTCAGTAGTCTTTGTGGGGACGGTGTTACCGAGGTCTGCGCATACCTGTAGACGAAGACGTTGTCGAGCCTGAACTCCAGGATGAAGGTCTCGAGCTGCTTCTGAACCTGGAGCAGTGTGTCCTCCCCTTCCTCCTGGGGAAAGACGTGAAGAGTATGTACAGACCCGCGATCCATGATGCAGTGTTGGGGCAAAATGATGTGAAAGAATGGTCAAGGTATCGGGAGAGAAAGGCTGGAGCTGCGGCGGGGTGGTATGTATGGAGGGGAAGAAGCCGAGCAAAATGTCGAGAGGAACCGATAAACCACTTTACGCGCTGCAAGACGCGACTTTCGCGCATGGAGACGCGAGACCCCTGCCATTGGCGTAAAGTGATCTCGGCATGCGCCACAGAAAGTGGCAGGGGTGCAGGGATTCTCGGGCGGCAGGGGTACGTGAGCGGCTGCGCCACACCGCGACCTGTCTCTCTGTCTTTCTGGGGATTGAGCTTCTGTTTGGGTTTAGCTGTTCTTCTCAGTTGGAGACGATCCCGTCTCCGTCTCGAGCTTCAACGACCCCGGTCCAAGGAGGGAATGCGCAACCGGGCATCCCTCTGCAACATTGCTCTTCGTGTGCTTCCTTTTCTCGTCATATATCTGCCAGCGACCGAGTGCCCGTGAATCCGCAGTCCATAATTCTCTCATGTGCATCTCACTCCGCCCAGCAATGATTCCTCGGTAGCAGCGCCGTTATCGATCTCACGTTGATAGCAGCGCCGGTCTCCCTGTTGCCGTTCTCAGGGGCCGTGTCGTCAACCCCGTGTCCTGTCGCATCCTCTTGCTCCCCACGGCCACCATGTACTCGAATCCAGCTGCTCGCAAGTCCATCGACAGCCTTGCTTCGCCCACCTCGCCTCTAACCCATCGTTCGGACTTCCCCTTTCACAGTGGGAGGCATGGCTCCGTCAGCACCAGGCGAGGCTCGACCGCGAGCTCCTTGCACTCGGTCGGCGGTGCCCTGGACCAGGGCAGCTGGACCAGCAGCAATACCATGCTGGAAGCAGGGCAGAATGGTTCGTGCCCTTCCCTCCTTTCCTCCAAGCTATGCGCCATGGCCCTGCTTGCGTGCATGGGTTGGCATCCTCGCCGCTGACCATTCGTAAAGCCATATCCACGCTCTTGCAACCGCCTATCGTCCGAACCGGCCTCGTTCCTCACACGTCCGCTCCAGCCTCCAGTGCCCACAGGCCACCGACAATCAGGGACATACCTCCGGTCACCCTCACCAATATCCAGAAAGTGAACCCTGCCGAATTCCAGCCTTACCTTAAACAGGTCGGCGCCCTGTATACGCAACTGAAACAGGTCAAGGCGAGCGAGGAGGAGGACACGTTGCACCGGAACAGCCGCGCGAAACCAGACGAGCTCTTGGAGCCCTTTGAGGACAACCGACTGCGTCCCGGCAGGCGGCCGCAAGGGTCTCGAAAAGCGTCTGTGTCGTCGATATCGTCCTGGACCAACACGGAAGCGCCAAGCCCAGTGCGAAGGTCCAGCTCGAGTTATGCTAGGAAATCCGCCCAAGGGCCGCCGCCTCTCTCTACAATCCCGCTGGTCTACTTCGAGGAAGACTTCCATCTGGAGAATCCCAGGACGTTCGATGTCGTGAGCGAGAGGTCAGAGGTGGTGCGCAAGGAAGATAAGAACTCCAATGGAGATGCGCCCGCGCCTCGCAAGACCTTGTCAACGAACGCAATCCTACAAGAGAAGCTGTCATGGTATATGGACACCATTGAGATGCACCTCATCTCCTCTATATCTACGGCTTCGACAACCTTTTTCAGTGCTCTGGGCTCGTTGAGGGAGCTCCATACAGAGGCAGCGGAATCCGTCGACAAGATCAAAACGTTAAGGCGAGAACTCGAAGCTCTGGATGAGGAAATAGTAATGACCGGGCTCAACACCATACAGCAGCAACGACGGCGTGAGAACGTCCAGCAGCTCCACCACGCTGTTCTGCAGCTCAAAGAGATATTGAGCCAGCTGGTGAAATGCGAATCCCTCGTTGACGAGGGGAACGTCGACGCTGCACTTGATAGCATTGATTCTCTCGAGAGGCTCATAGCCGGCGAAGAGGACGAGTTCAGGCCCCCGGCTCCGTCGCTGCGGGATGTTCAGCTTATCGACCTTCGAAGTGCGAATGCGCTTCAGGGTGTCAGTGATGACGTGTATACCTTGCGATCACGGATTGGCAAGGCGTACGAAACCAAATTCGTGACAAGCCTCATGGCCGACCTTCGGCGCCATGTTGGGGAAGTATCAAATCAAGAAGTTCTGACGCGCTGGCATACCGCGGCCATGCGAGCTAGAGGCGGCCGGACTCGCGAGGCATCGGCCTTCCCCTCATACTTGAGCTCTACCGATGATGTGAGGACGAAACTTATTGAGAGTCTGGCAGGCCTCTACAGAGCAAAACAGATCGGCGTCGCCGTCACAGCATACAGGGAATCTGTGATTAAGGAGATCAAAAGTCTTGTGAAGCAAGGCCTGCCCAGCTCGAATGACGACGACAATGTATCCATGATGTCTGCTTCGACTGCCACTGGTGGGCGTCATCTTTCCCAAAGGGAGAAGTCGTCCATCCTCGCACGAAACCTGCGTGCTCTGGATCCTGGCGATGCGGAGGATCTGTTGGTGAAAATATACGTCAGTGTAACTGAAACCCTACGGAGGGCGTCGATACAGGTCAAAGTGATGCTAGATGTTGCAGCATCCATTGAAGATGGTTCGATCCCATCTGGTCTCAAGTCGCCACCCCTCAAATCACCACCCTTGAGCCCCGCGGCAAGACGGCAGTCCCTCGCTGGCCTCGAGGCTCAAGAGGAGATCCACAAGGTCATGGATCTATCGTCGCTACTCGGAAACTGCATCGACATAGCTCAAGACAAAGTCGTGAGAGTGCTCAGGGTACGGTCGGAGCAGAGCACCCATCTAGAACTGGTCTGGTTCCTCCGCTACTTCACCCTGAACCTCCACTTCGCCAACGAGTGCGAGTCAATATCTGGGCGGGGAGGTACACAATTAAAAGACGAGGTCAATGACCACATCAAAAGATTTGTCGCGAGCAATGGAGATCGCGAGCAGCAAAAGCTTGCCCAAGGCATGGAATCTGACCAGTGGGGCGCGATCGACTTTACCGAGAAGCACACTGCTCAGCTGAACCTGATCCTGGAGTGCAGTACAAGCGATCCACCCGACTGGACCCTGGGAACACAAGTCTGGATACCATATCCTGATGGGGACGAGGAGTTGAACGGCGTCGAGAACCCACCTCCGAGCAACGGGTCAGGAAAGGCAAAGGCCGTCATCGATTCCGAATCGTTTGTGCTACCGAATTCCGCCGTATACTGCTTGGAGGGAATGTCGAACTTCCTCCACCTGATTGTCGGCATTCCGTCCATCACATCAGACGTCGCAAAGTCCCTCGTGAAATATCTACAATTTTTCGACTCCCGCTGTAAGCAGCTAATCCTCGGTGCCGGCGCCACAAAATCCGCCGGCCTGAAAAACATTACTACTCGGCATCTCGCCTCGTCCTCGCAAGCCTTGTCGTTCATAGCCACGTTGATACCCTATGTCCGCGAGTTCATCCGTCGGCATGGCGGCTCAGGTGGAGCTGCGTTAATGACAGATTTTGACAAGGTCAAACGGGATTACCAGGAACATATGCAAACTATTTTCGATAAGCTCGTGGAAATAATGAGTGGGAGAGCTGGTGCACACGCCAAGACGGCGAAGGCGATCGTATGGGACCAGGACCAGAAGAGCCCACACGGTTACATCGAGACACTGGTCAAGGAGACGTCACTGCTGCACCGCAACCTCGTCAAGCACTTGTCCGAAGACACGGTGCGCATGATCATGATCCCAGTCTTCGCCAGCTTCAAGGAACAATTCGGATCCGCATTCCAAGAGGCGGATCCAAAGACCGAGGCTGGCCGGGATAGGTATGTGCTCTTCACGACCTTGAAACATGCGTGAAAATACTGACACTAGACCTAGTATGCTGCACGATGTGCAACTCTTCAAAGCGAAGCTGGAACACATAGACGGCTTCGGAGACACAGGTGACTACTTGATGGGAATCATCAACTCGAAGAAGGTGAAGAGCACATCCCCGCCTCCGAGTGAGAACAAGGGGGAGGGAAAGGCCGCTGCGGAGGACACGACAGAATCGAAAGACAAAAACGGCGGCAGTGAGGAAAAGAAGCCTGCAGAGGCGGGGTCTAGTTGAGCAAGATAGAAGCTAGCATGACGGCGTCACCCGCATCACATTCGGTGATAGTGGGAGGTAGCGGTCTCCCCTGGGAGAAAGGTGGTTTGAGTCCGTCCAACAGGGCAGGACAATATACTCTCATCTGGTCCTCTCCATCGCGGACCCTGATCACCCAAATCATCATCAATTAGACGTTCGTGTGTTGAGGCTATCCACTCGCACTGCCGTTGTTTACTTTGCAACTCGTAAAATATGATTGAATGATACAATTGTTGATGATACAATTGTTGATGATACAATTGTTCAGCGTACATGTTGCAGTCAATGAAGAGGCAGATCATCAGTACTAGTATCCCATCCAGGTATCATCCAAGAAACCCTTCGCCAACATCTTCAAGTCTCTCAAAAGGCAGTGGCTTCTTGATTTCGCCGGTACTAACAGATGGTAAGAAATCTAATGACCTATTGTCAATTTCACCCACAGCTGATGATTCTGTTCATTTTATACCAAGACTTTTATTAGGTGACCACCCTGGGGTACACAACCATGTGCGTGAGACGGGGCTGGGGGTTTCCAAGCTTTCTTTGTTATGTCCGACGCTCCCATACCTGCATACGTTGCTGTGCACGTTCTCTTATTATACCTCTCTGAGCCTCAACACTGAGCCATCCATTGTATGATCTGCCTTGATAACATGTCTCAGGTAAAAAGCTACAATGGAAAGTAATATACTACTGCCAGTCCTGTAGCGCTAGAGAGAGCTGCCGCCATGTATCTATCTCTCCTCATGTCTATCCTGGGATAGAGACGGGGTTATGCAGAAAGTTCAACATGAATCTTTTCTAACCACAGAGACGTCGGACGGAAGTCCTTCGGGTTGGGCTTTTGCTTCCTGAAAGTATTGTGCTGAGCCGGTTTGGGCTGAGCGTAGCTCTCTGCCAACGCGAACTTTCGAAAGCACCTGGTCTCATTTGTCTCAAGTGCTTGCAGCCGCGATAAATACGGGGAAGTAGATTTCAAGAACATATGTAGAGAATTGGATCATCGATATGATATATATTATATACAAACAACTCTGGAGGCCTATGAAACAAGATTTCTCTAATGGCCGCCAGAAGAGGGGGTGACGGAGTTGTCGGCGCAGGACCACGCCGCCGAGCCACCTGACTGCCGATACGAGTCAATGATGCCGACGATGGATCCATAGGTACCAGCAATCATCAAAAAGGTACCGATGACGATGACGAAGACACTCCAGAGTACCATGAGCATCCATGTAACCGACCGGTCCCCGTTCTTGCCCCTGTGCCAGTTATCGTACAGCCACATGCATCCCATGGGTTGGAAGCACATGAGAGTGCCCAGTAGGGCGCCGATGAGGGAGATGAGACCACCAAAGCCCGGGATGGCACTCGCGATGATGTAGGCCGCCAGCGTGATGCCGCCCGTGCAGCCGAGCCAGGTGATCCAGTGCTTGGCCGTATTCTTGGTCAGGTGTTTGGAGCCACGGAGGATGCGGATGAAGAGGTATTTGGCAGGCAGCTTCGAGAGAGATGTAATGTCAGCCAAAGTGTTCTGGGTAGTGATATTCCTGTCTTTTTATTTGTCGGGAGTGAGAGGGGGGTGCTTACATGGGTGACAAGACACGTTGTGACAATCAAGGCGGGCAGGGCAAAGCCGTACGCGACCTTCTTCATCAGCGGGCCAGCGGACCCGAGAGCAGGCGAAGAAACGTAGGAACCACAGAAGTAGTAGACGACGATGCCGATGGAGATGTAGATGGCCGTCATCAGGGACTGGCAGATGATGAGGGCTCGGGTGTAGTGGCGGGGCTCGCGCATCTCGGCCACAATGGAGAAGAACGCAGGCGTGCCGGCATAAGCGAAGATCAGTGAGGACAGGGCGGAGGCGGCCGAGGTAAAGCTAGGATTCTGGACGAGTTTGTAGTCGGAGACGAAGACGCCCTCTTGCGGAGCAGCAGCCGGACGGTCCTGGACGCCTACGGCTACGGTCACCGAGAGGACTGTAGTCTTCTGTCAGCCCACGTCCTCTCTCCATCGTGAAATAGCAGGAAGTAGCCGGGACACCTACCGGAGATGATAATACATGTGGCGCCAACCCACGCCAGCCAGGTGAGTTTGGCAAGTGTCTGGATGCTAGCCAAGCTGAATCCAATTATTGCAGCAACAGCAACAAATACAGCCGTACAAGTCGCGTGGCTGGATACGGCATTGAGCCCGATGGAGATACCCAGCATGCCTGAACCGGCAACGAAAATCCAGTCTGCAAACATTTCACGTATGAGCGTGCGGTTCCCGCTGTTTTGGAAGGAGGGTCTTCTCACAGAGACAGAACGCCGCGGCGAAGAACTCTTTGCCAATGCGACCGAACATCAACCCACCAGCGTCATCAATGCCGTATACCGCCCGGTGGCGAAGCTTGAAGACTCCGACAATGTAGTTGGACCAGGTGGTGATGATGGCAATGAGAATCAAGCAAATGACTCCCGGAATCATGCCGAGAACGTGGAAGGCCGAGGGGATAGAAAGCACGCCCAGCCCGATTTGTGTCTTTACCATTAGGGCGACTGTCCCAAGCCAGCCAACCTATACACGAAGATTAGCATCAATTCAAAGTGTCACGCAAATTGACATCACACTGGCGAGCTGACATTTCGGTAGTTGGGCCCGTCCTCTGAAATTTCGCCGAATACGGCATCGTGGGCACATGCTGGGTCATCTTCGACCTCGCCGACGCGTGATGGGCTTTGGTCGAGGTGGTTGGAATACTTTTTCTCAATTTGGTCCTTCATGTTGAGACTGTCATCAATGTGATTCCTGATCTTGAGTCCTGAAGTCCGAATACACAAGTTGGACAGTTATGGCCCCAGAAGAGACGGTATTATTTTCATTAGTTTACCAGAAGGTAGGAAAAGATATAAAGAAAACACGAGCAGAGAAAACGAAGGCAAGAACCGATGGAAACTCTGGGTGTCTACTTAATGGTGTAAGTCGGGCATATAAACAAGTATGTACCTCTCCCTGGCAATCCGGGGTGGTCGGACGACTACGTCACCCGGTGAGAGTGTCTCTGGGCAAGCCTCTCTTCCCATATGTTAAGTGGAACTTGTGGATCCAATAACTAAAGTGAAGATAGTGTACATCGTGCACCCCCCCTCTCCCGGTGGGGACAGGACCCTCTGCTGTCAGGCCGTGTCTGGGGAAGCGCATAGTTGTGGGGTGGAGGAGTTGCCGCGAACAGTCCAGCTGGGATCCCCCAACGTTAATCGCGCACTTTTTTGTGTTTTCTTTACTCATGTCCCTGTTCAAAGAAGGCCAGGCTGAGTCGAGAGTTGCCAATTGAAGTGCGGTATAACCCAGTTCAAGGCCTGGGATCCCGGCAGTGCTGCACCCGGGTGGACACCAGCATTGCGGGGAGGTGGTTTCACTAGTCACCACCCTGCACACAAGCGACCCAGCCGTATCTCTCCAAAGGGGCGCGCCCGGGGCCGCAGGGACTAGGGAGGCACAGATGCGCTGGACAGGCACGGCACTCTGGGAAGGGCCGAGTGCCACGCCGTGGGTGGTATCTACAATACGTGTATATCCCTACAATGATACCGGAGCGTCCGAGGCAGGATGGACAGAGTTTCACGCATGCTACGCAGCTCGAGAAAAAAAAAAGAAAAAAACCGATGCGGCTCTACGCGGTGGCACCAGACCGGAGCTTTACGGAGTTTGCATGTTATAGCGCCCTGGGTGTCCAATGGCAGTGGCAACAGGATTGCATGACACGGCCTAGTGCGCGAATTTGTTTGTTTTTGGTGCCTGCTCGTGGTGATGGCATCTAGGTGAAAATGCGAGACTTTCCCGAGCGCTGTCCGGCTGCCAAGCCGAGGGCTGTGGAAATAAGGCGGTCACACGACTACGCGCGGATCATGTCATCAGGTAAGGTAATACGGAGTACTGAGGAACGACCAGCGACACAAGATCTCGTTGTACCTGGGGTGCGTATCTTACAGGAAGATAAGCCGGTAGATTGATAACACTTTCCAACGATACGAGATCAGACATGACCTTTTTGAAGGGATCACGTTGATACGGTGTCATTGAAATCGGCTGGAAACCCGTACACGGCACCGCTCCCGGTGTCGTTGAAATGCAGCAAGCAGGGTCTTCCGGGGTGGGGGGGAGGATGACGGGCAGACGGGGTGTTGCCAGACCAGGTGGCCAGATAGGATCCTTGCCGAGACAATTGAGTTGTGTTGGTAATGCATGTCATCAGCGTGAGGAATTCGGCGTGCCGATTTCCATATCTGAGGAGATTGGGTTCCGGTTCATAATCCTCTATGGCAACGTGGGTTTTTCACTGAGGGCCGGCATGGTAAAGTGGCCAACAGGAATCTAAGTCTCCCTGCCAGTGGGTAGATATCATGAAATGTATACTTATAGTACATTCATCGGGTTTCCAAACTGGGCAGAAACTTGGTTTTGTCCGAGTAAGCTAGCCCGCCAAGTTCATGGATGATCGATGCGTAGTGCTTCTCACCCATGGCCCCCTGCAACGGAAAAGCCGATGATTGTCAGCTGTTGTACGGGATCGTTGCCGATGTTGCAGTCGCACGTGATAACGTCCTTTGTGCCGCAGTTATACCGCCTCTGTACATTGTTCGTTGTTTGCTGTCATGGCATGCACTACGCTCATCTGCTCGAACCTCGAGAGCCGTGCCCAAGTCACTTGTCCCGAGCCACTGGCAGATCCAGTTCGACATTCTCTTAGGGACTACACTAGCACGGTATACGGTTTGGTGAGTGCTCTTGCGAGAAAGAGGATCTAGTGAAAGGGGAAAGATAGAGTGCCAGCACGGCGTACTTATACCTCTGGCTCAAGCCTCAGGAAAACGACGATATCGGGCCACGTGCTTCATTGACGTCATCACTGTGGATTCGAGATGGCCGGCGGTGCGATATCGGGTCACTGACCATAGGTGTCACAGGACAAGACTGTCAACTCAGTCGACCGGCCATGTATAACCTCAGTTTTCCGCCCGGCAGCCAGGCTAGGCATGCCTAGGTAGCATGTCTAGATTCCAGCTACCTACCTAGGTATGTATACACACGGACACAAGGCCTAAAACTCAGGAATCATGATCCCGATATCCCTCTTCTCGGCCAGCCCCAAGATGGCGTTTCCGGCTGCAAGGTCCGTCATACCGACCCCGATGCTCTTATAAACCAGGAGCCCGTCCTGAAGCCAGTGCAAGAGCTCTGGGTTGTCCGCCCGCCTCCGCAGCTCCTCGACCTCGCCGAGCTCGGCCAGGCTCTCAGCCCCCAGCTTGCTCTCGACTACCTCGCCGGCGTGGTGCAGGGTGCCTTCGCGATCGTCCACGAGCACCGTGCCGCCTTGGGAACCCTCGGCCCACTTGAAGCCGTGGTGGGCGTGGCCAGCCACGTGCTGCAGCAGAGCAGGATCCAGCTCTATCATGTTGGGCTGCCAGGAGCCGACGGCTGAAATGTAGGGCTGGCGCTCCCTCGGCTCCCCCGTTATATACCTGGCCGGGAACAAGGGCGCCGTCGTGCCCACCGTGCAAAAGACGGCATCTGCCACGGCCAGGTGGCTTTCTAGCCAGGATTCGTAGTCCTCCCGGGCAGGGTCCACGTACTCGAGGGTGGCGGCCGACTTCCAGCGGGCCTGGTTCTCCCTGGTGATGGTCTCGATCAGCTGCCTGGCACGGGCGGCGGTGCGGTTCACCACGCTGATCCGACGGATCTCGTCACCCCTGAGGGCCAAGGCGAGTCGGAGGTGCCACAGAGCCTGCCTGCCGGCGCCGAAGACGACCATGTCATCAGTGCGGCGGCGCCACAGCCACGGGATCAGCGCGCTGAAGGAGGTGCGGTAGCCAGTGAGCTCCTCTGCGTTTAGCACGCCGGCTGGCAGCCCGTCCTGGTCGCACAGGGCCAACATGCCGTGCAGGCCGCCGGCTGCTGGGGACGAGGGCGAGGGGGTAACAATCAGCTTGGTCCCGACACTGGTAGCCGAGGTGAAGGGCCGGAACAGGCACCGCTGGCCCTCAGGGCGGTTCACGATGCCGGGGGCGGGCTGGTGCTTTCGCTCCGAGCCGGTGGAGAAGTCGACCAGGCACTGCGCCAGTACATCGCGGAACGCGAGTATGTCTGACCTGGGTAGGTCGATCAGAATATCATGCACAGCCCTGTCGCTGAGGACTCGGAAGCCACCCATTCTTTGTTGCTGGTTCCGGCCGGGGGCCAGGGCGGGGGGGGGGTTGGACGAGGACGGGGTGTAGGCGTATGTAGTATGTATAGCACGGCGTGGTGGTGGCGGGTGTCTAGGTAGCCTCGGGTTTGCCCGTTTCTTCCCCAAGAACCTCAAATAGTAATGTCTGGTTTCACAATTATTATGGCAAGCGGACGGCGCCGGACTCGATGTTTTATTGGGCTACGAGCGGCTGTCCCGAGCTCCGTTCCGAGCGGCTTCGGCGATCAACCCGAAGCAGAGCAGGCCAGTCAGGGGAGTGCCCAAACTTACCAGACCGAGCTACTACAGGCAACAGTTACGGATCTCTCGCTCACGGTCGATGTCGGTGTCTCCTCGGCCGGCTACCAGTGCTGTAACTCTGCACACTCTGCACTTGCTGTGTATCGACAAAGCTCCATTGCGCACTTAAAGGCCAAGGACATCAATATCCTGCCGATCTCGGGCAAACTCACATGTGTTGAAGCTTTATAAGCTTATACTACTATAAAACTAAGTTAAAACTTAAACTAAGTTATAATATAATTAAATAATTAAATAAAATTAAGTTAAAATTATAATTATAAATCTTTTAATTTTATAATTAAAAAGATTTAAAATATTTTATAAAAATTATTTATATTTTTAAAAAATAATTAATTAATTATATTATTATTTAATATAATATTTAAAATATATTAAATTTAAAAGCCTTATTATAAATATATATAATTATATATAGTTTTACTTCTATTCTATATATATTTAAAGATATATATAGTACCTTTATATAGTAATAAGTATTTAAAATTTAATATTTAAAAGAATATAATATTATTAATAATAATTATAATATAATAAGTATTTATAACCTTAACCTTATAATATATAAATAAAGTTAAAGGGTATTATTTTAATAATAGTATTAATTAAAATATTATAAAGAAGTTATATAATAAGATTAAGTTTAAAAATAATTACTATATAAATAAATTATATTAAAAAACTTAATTAAAAATTATCCTTTTAAATATATATATATATATATATATATATACCTTATAATAAGATTTTATTAAGTAAGTATTATAGTTTTATTTAAATATATAATTATTAATTTTAAAAGAATTTAAAATAAAGAAATAATTTATAATATATTACCTTTAAAACTTTTATAATAAAATATTAAAACTTTTAAAGAGAGTTTTAAAAGCAATTTATAAGAAGATAAAGAGAGGGTATAATAAACATCCTTCTTTAAGTCTATACTTTTATTATTAATAATTATTAACTTCTTAATAATATAGAAAAATATAATAAAAATAAAGAAAGAATAGATTTAAAGTTTCTTTTTAAGAGAACTATAAGGATATATATAAAGCTATTTAAAACTTTATATTTAAACTTTAAACTATTAAGGAAGAAATAAATAGTTATATAATATAAAGGAAAAATATAGTATAGTTAAAGCTTTATAAATATATATTTTATAAAAATAAAAATATTTAAAAACTTAAAATAAAATTTAAATTAAATTATAAATTAAATTAAATAAATAATTAAATTAAATTATAATAATATAAACTAATTAAATAGAAATTAATTAAAAAATTATAATTATAAATCTTTTAGCTTTATATTTAGAAGAAGTATAAAGTAGTTAGAATTAAAGGGTAGTTAGATTATAGGCCGGGTATACTAATATAATTTACCTTCTAAGAGTTAAGAATGATATTTAAGAGTGGTTTCTTCTATCTGTCTTCTTAATAGGTAGTGTGATAACATTAAGGATATCCCCGCTTCCCGTAGTTACTATATTATTTGTCGCCGTTAAGTTCTACTACCTCATAGGAAACCACTATTGCCTCAATCATACAGTGATCATGACCTTCGGACGGACTTTCAACGTCGTTGGCGCCCACGTCGGCGGCGAGGTGTGCGACGTTATCACAGGCGGGGTCCTCGACGCCCCAGGCACATGCACCACCATGTTTGAGAAGATGATGCACTTCTGGAAGAAGGAGGACCACCTGCGCAACTTGCTGTTGAACGAGCCCCGGGGCAACTCTGCAATGTGCACCAACCTGATCCTCGCACCGTGCAACCCCGAGGCTGATGCCGGCTTCATCATCATGGAGCACGAGGAGTATCCTCCCATGTCGGGGGCAAACACCATGGCTGTCGCCACGGTTCTCCTCGAGACGGGCATGGTACCAATGAAGGAGCCGACCACCACGCTGAAGCTGGACGCTCCGGCGGGCCTGGTGACGGTGACGGCCGAGTGCGCCGCGGGCAAGGCAAGGTTTATCGAGTTCCGCAACGTCCCGGCCTTTGTGTACGCCTTGGACCTAGAGATCAACGTCCCAGGGTTCGACCACAAGGTGAAGGTCGACATTGCGTATGGCGGAATGTGGTATTGCCTGGTTGACGCCGCGTCGGTCGGACTGGCGATCGAGAGCGCCAACGGCAGGGACCTCGTGGATGTGGGCGAGCGCATCAAGCGCGCTGTACAGGCCCAGACCGACCCCATCCACCCAGAGAACCCTGAGATCCGTGGGGTCACCATCCTTGAGTTCACCGCACCCGTCTCGCGTACCGACGGCGGCGGCGATAGGGTGGCTACCAACACGGTTGTTGTGTCGCCGGGCCGCCTAGATCGTAGCCCCTGCGGCACGGGCACATGCGCCCGCCTCGCCGTACTGCACAAGCGAGGCGAACTGGCCGTGGGCGAGTCGTTCCGCCATAGGAGCGTCACCGGTGCCGAGTTCGTAGGCACGGTCTACGCAGCGGCTAAGGCTGGGAAATACGACGCCATCATCCCCGCGGTCAAAGGTACTGCCTTCATATCGGCTTTTAAGCAAGTTGTCCTCCACCCCGAGGACCCCTTCCCAGAGGGACTGAGAGTTGGAGACAAGTGGCATGTTAGCTAGAATGAACAGCAATCAATTTTGCATCGTTTGGGTAACTAGGCTGGGCCATGATATGATTGTGATCGGAAAGACTACGGTGGGAGATGTAATCGATCGGTCGCTTGTTGACTTTGATGCTTTCAATAGGTCTCCTCTTACAAGGAAGCCTCAGCTGGCCAATTCTTGCTCAAAATCTTGTCATTGAGCTATGGTTGAATATATGGTTTCAATCCGAGATCCTTCATTAAGAAACGTTCGACTTTTGTTCGACTCACGGCCTCTGTGGCTTGGTAGCAGGTACGGCATATACAAGCCGACCAGGCTCTTCCGACGACTGGCCATCTTTGGTACACTCTGCTCCGCTACCATACTGTGTAAATGTCTCTGACCAATTTCGAGACCGTAATGTTCTGCTGCGTGCAGTGATGTGATGCCCAGGAAAGAGTTTGGTGACTAACGGGATACCAGTTCCCACTCGCTTCGGAACATTACCCAATTTGATTAAGGCCTTCGTACTAAGGAACTCATCCCAACATAATAAGATTTATACCTCAAGGGGGAACTATTTGAGACGAGGGTTCCTCTAGATGAGTATTTTCATGCATGAATCAAAGTTTTCACCCAGAAGGAAAATGTGTGGCGGATCAACTCGTATCGTTCGTTGATGAGGCACCCTACTAGTATTTGGAGTCAATTGGTGGATCCAAGTTGACTGGCCATGTAGTCGACACTAGGAATAGGAATATGGAAGGATCCTCTGGGACCTAGATTTCCGTGAAATATAGTTTCGCCTCTATTCTTTATACATTTAAGGATATATATAGCGCCTTTATATAGTAGTAAGTACTTAAGACCTAACATTTAGAAAGAACATAATATTAATAGCACTTATTGTATTATAACTATCGTTTTCGGTATCGTATTCTTTCCAAGCGCTAGGTCTTGAGTGCTTACCACCGTATGAAGGCGCCATGTATGTCCTCGGACGTATACGGAATAGAAGCGAAACCACAATGGTGCTGGACAACTTGGTCGTGTTGGCTGAGAAGCATATACAAGCGGGAAAAGAAGCAAGGGCTTCCCTGCTTCACGCTGAAAAGATGGCGCTTCGAGAGGATCTCGAATTCTGTGACCAGGAACTTGAGCGGCTCGGGTCATACACCAAGGCTGACCAGTAGATATTGCGACAACACTTTAAGCTTTCTCAAGACCTGACACTGTTCAGGTTGACGTTGTTGGCCGGCATTTTACTCCCGCTGTCTTTCGCGACTAGTTTGTTTGGCATGAACATGAGAGGTCAGCCTGAAGGTCTCGAATCTCTTTCGCAAATGACGAATGATACCCTGGGCAACATCACGGACACAGATCTTCGCCACAGTTCTCGGGCCATCGTCTTCATGATCGCAAGTTCTGGGAACTACCAATACGACTGGCCAGTATTTGCCGGGACGGCTGTTGGGCTTCTTTTCATCCTCCCGTTGACTCTCGCCGTGGGAAATATACCTAGGTAATGCGTGTTTAGTATGTAAAGTGCTAGCGGGCAGTGACCTGCTAGGAGGGGGCTTTCTCCTGTCGGCCTTCGTGATAACCACCTGGACAGCATCACGGGGGCCATGGTTCCTCGTTCTTTGATTTATGGATACTGGGGTTCCAATGGCATTCTGCTTTTGGTACTCTTTTATTCGGTATACCAGAGTTGGAGCCACGGAATGGAATAATTCTTCTGGGCCTTTCAGCTTGTCATTGCAGGCCTCCCCCCCCCTTTCTGGCTACGTCCGGTTACGTCCGGCTATGGACTTCCCTGCCCTCTTACGATAGTCCCTTGGCTGTGGCTGGGACTTTTCAACGAGTGGGCCAGACGACGGTGGTGGACATCTTTTTTTTTTTTTTTTTGGCAAGGTGGGGGTAAGAAGGAATGAGTGCTTGATTGGGAGCAAACAGCACCACGGAAAGATAGCTTACCCATCGAGCCAGTTCATGTGATAGGTCCATGTCAATAATCTAATTGTCAAAGTACTTCATCCCCGTTCCCGGAACAAGCCTCTGTATCGTTAATTTCGCCTCCAAGCTAGGTTTGCTTACTTCTTCTCTTGGAGCTAGCATGATCCCGGGGGTATAAGAGACGTTCCGGCTATCTAGAAGACGGTACCCTGCGGTGAGATTCTTTTCTTCCGTTGGAAGCTTGATAACCCAGAAAGGTCCCAAAAGCGCAACAAGAATACCAACCATCTTGCTACCATCCACTTTGCTTTTGCGAGGGCCGGGTGCGCTTGTGTATCGGACAGAGCATGGGCGGCGGTAAAGTCTTCTCACCCGCCTGCCTCGTGACTCGACTTGCGCAGCAGGCAGTCAACTGCAAGTGCAAGGTCAGATCAGGTCGAATCGCCTCAAAGGAGCTCGTGCGACCACAACGACTGGGTACGAGCCCGCATACAGAACTTATCACGCAGAGAGTGAGTGGCGAGAGAGGGCGAGAAGCGGAGGGCCCTGCCCTGGCTGAAGCCACGAGGTTTCAAGCTCATGCGGTTGTGGCACGAGAACGGACGAGCGCGGCCGCGACCTGTCATAGTATACATAAGTGCACTTGTACTTGTACACTCTATCCCCCCCAAGGTGTGCCATGGTTCATTCCAAGGCAGGCGTGTGCGATGAAGCACCGCAGCATGTCGGCGCCGTGTCACCGCGGGTCGGGTGTCCCAGCAGGTCGGACCAGCGGGTCTGTCAGACTGCCAGACTGCCAGCCAGCTGGCTGGTCACGTCTTCCCTGGCTCACCAGTCTCAGGCTCAACCTCCCGTCGGCTGGCTTCACTGGCGACCACTGATGAGGTGTCCATATGTGCGCACCCGGCGTGGCGGCCCTCAGCCCTAGACACACAGCAGCTCCGACAGAGCCTTGGAAAAGGCTGAGCGGTGAAGAGGCGTGACTCTTTGATTCGCTCGCTCGCCGGTCACCTTGGTCTCCGGCTCGGCAGTGGATACGGTCTCAACGGGAGACCCCCTCTCTCACTTCTGGGGAGATTGTACACTGGTTGACTGGTACTCCGTACTTCCCCCTCAGCCAGCAGCCAGCTGTGGGGGTTGGTTGGGTGAGACAAAGGAACATAGAAGAAGGCGGCTGACTGCATTGCCGCTGGGGTGCCCTGCCAACCACGGGCAGTTATCCAAGGGAGGTGGCGTCATCTGGGATCTGACTGCGCCGGCAGCCAACGTCAGACGGGATACCGCCAGAGGATTCTATTCTTTCCTCCTGGTTGTCCTCATCCCCCTTTCTGTGCGTGTGTGTTTGTATGTATGTATGTATGTATGTATGTATGTATGTCTTGTGTGATATTAGTACCGGTATAGTCTCACTCGGCACTGCATGTTGGTTTGTGGCATTTCGCAGCTGGGCGGTCGGTCGGTTCGTTGGTTGCCTCGCAACAGACAGCTGCTATTCCTGTACGGGCTTGCCGTGACAATGTGTGTTGTGTTGGCTTCCCCGTGGCTGTTCCTGTTTTCGACAAGATCAGACAAATCGTGATCCGAAAACAGCACAAGTGATGGTCACCCGGCCATCGGCAGTTCATCTCATGTCTGTAATCTCCCCAAAGCGTGTCTAAATAAAATGGACTAAACACTTTTTTGCGACAAAACCCTAAATCCACATTTCGTATACACTTTTTAATACCTATACTTACCCCTATAGGGTACTTTTTACACCCCCCCTTCAACTTAACTTCTTTTTATACCCTCTCTTTAACTTAACTTCTTTTAATACTTTTTTTTTAACTTAACTTTTTTAATTATTAATATTATTTATTTATTTATTTATTTATTTATTTATTTATTTATTTATTTATTTATTTATTTATTTATTTATTTATTTATTTATTTATTTATTTATTTATTTATTTATTTATTTATTTATTTATTTATTTATTTATTTATTTATTTATTTATTTATATTATAAATAAACTTTATTAATTAAATTAAAATTTAAATATATTTTTAATATTAATATTAAATAATAAAAATATAATAATTATATATAATTAATTATATATAAAACTTTTAAATTATTAAAATATTTAATTTTTATAAATTAAAATTAAATTAAATTTAATAAATAATTATTATTTTAATTAATAATTAATATTTTAATTATAAATTTTATATATAAATTTTATATATATAATTTATTAATTTAAAATTATAATATAATAATTAAATATTAAACTATTTTTATTTATTTAAATATATAAAAGTATAAATTTAACTTTTATTAATATTACTTTTAATTAATTTAAAAATAATTTTTTATTAATTTAAAAATAGTTTTTATTAAAATTTTATTATATTTTATTATTATAAGTTTTATTTAATAAATAAATAAATATAAATATTATTAATTATTATAAAATTATAAAGTAATTTAAATACTTTAATTTCTTTTATAAAATAAAAATAATTTATTAAAACTTAAATATTAAATATAAAAATTATATTATATATTTAAATTTATATTTATTTTAATTTTAATTATATAATAATATATAACTTAATAAAATATATAAAAAAGTTTTAATTTATAATTTATTAATTTAAAATTAATTAATAATAATAATAATAATAATAATAATAATAATAATAATAATAATAATAATAATAATAATAATAATAATAATAATAATAATAATAATAATAATAATAATAATAATAATAATAATAATAATAATAATAATAATAATAATAATAATAATAATAATAATAATAATAATAATAATAATAATAATAATAATAATAATAATAATAATAATAATAATAATAATAATAATAATAATAATAATAATAATAATAATAATAATAATAATAATAATAATAATAATAATATAATATATTAAAAATTATTATTTTTAATATTTAATAATATTTATAATTTATAATATATTAAATATTTTATAATATTTTATTATATAATACTTTTATTTAATAATAATTTAATAATTAATATTTTTAATTTAAATTTATTTTTTAATAATATATATTAAATATATTATTATTAAAATTATATAAAAAATTAAAATTTAATTTTTATATTAAAATACTTTTAAATAAATATAATTTTAAAATAATATATATTTAAATAATTAATATTAAAATAAATATATATTTTTAATTAAATATAATATTTTAATAATTTAAATTTATATATTATATTATTTATTTAATTATATATATAATCTTTTATATAAATTATTTTAATTATATATTTTTAAAAGTTAATATTTATATATTAATTGAATTATTATTTAATATATATTAAAATATATAATTTAATAATTAAAATATTTATTATTTTAAAAATGAAATTTATATATATATATAATTTATATTTTTATTAAATTAAAATTAATAAATAAAGTTTTTAAAAAAGAATAATATAATTTTAAAATTTAATTTAATTAAAATTATAATATAAAACTTTTATAATAACTTTATAATTATTTTTAATATTATTTAATATTAAAAATAGTTTTTATATTAATATATTAAATTATATTTAATTAATTCAAATTAATATTATTTATTTATTAAAAATAAAAATTAATATATTATAATAAAATAATTATTATTATTAATTAATTATTTAAATTATTTAATTAAAAATTATAATAATTAATTTATTTAATTAATTATTTTAATAATATATAAGATTTATATTATTATTACTTTTAAAATCTTTTATAAAACTTTAAATATATAATAAAAGTTTAAATAATTTTAAAATAATATATTATTAAATTAATTTATAGTTTTATAAAAGTTTAAAAATTTTAAATAATATAAGTTTTTAATAATTTAATTAAATTACTTTATTTAAAATAAATATTATTTTTAATAATATAATTATAACTTCTTTTAAGTTTAAATAAAACTTTTAAATATAAAGGTTTAAATTTATATTTTTAAATTAATTATTATAATAAAAGTAATAATTACTATTAATTAGTTATTTAAATTATTTAATTAAAAATTATAATAATAAATTTATTTAATTAATTATTTATAATAATATATAAGATTTATATTATTATTTATATTTTATATATTATTTAATTTTAAAATTAATTTATTTTATATATTATTTAATTTTAAAATTATTTAATATTATATATAAAACTATTATATATTTAAAATATATTATTTAAAATAAATAAAAACATTATTTTTAAAAGTTTTAAACTTTATTTAAATAATTATTTATTTAATAAATTTAAAATAATTATATTTTATTATTAATTTAAATTTATAATTTTAATAATTTTATTATAAAATAAATACTTATTAATAATTAAATATATAATTATATAATAATAAATTTTATTTTAAAAGTTATTATTATTTAAAATAATTAATATATTTTAATAAAATTAAAATTTATAAATATTTTAATAAAATTAAAATTTATAAATATTTTAATTTTATTAAAATTAATATTAAATAAAGTTTAAAATATTAAATAAAATAAAATAAAATAAAATAAAATAGAATAAAATAAAATAAAATAAAATAAAATAAAATAAAATAAAATAAAATAAAATAAAATAAAATAAAATAAAATAAAATAAAATAAAATAAAATAAAATAAAATAAAATAAAATAAAATAAAATAAAATAAAATAAAATAAAATAAAATAAAATAAAATAAAATAAAATAAAATAAAATAAAATAAAATAATAATATAATAAATATAATAAATATAATAAATATAATAAATATAATAAATATAATAAATATAATAAATATAATAAATATAATAAATATAATAAATATAATAAATATAATAAATATAATAAATATAATAAATATAATAAATATAATAAATATAATAAATATAATAAATATAATAAATATAATAAATATAATAAATATAATAAATATAATAAATATAATAAATATAATAAATATAATAAATATAATAAATATAATAAATATAATAAATATAATAAATATAATAAATATAATAAATATAATAAATATAATAAATATAATAAATATAATAAATATAATAAATATAATAAATATAATAAATATAATAAATATAATAAATATAATAAATATAATAAATATAATAAATATATTAATTATTTTAAAATAAATTTTATTTATATATAATTAAAATTTTAATTATTAATAATTAATTTTTATTAAATATAAAATAATTATTTTAAATATTTTATAATAAATAAATAAATATTTATTTAAATAAAATTAAAATTTTAATAAAATAATAATAATTATATTTTATATAATATTTATATAATATTTTAAATAAAATAAATATATTTTAAAATTATTTATATTATATATTTTATTATTTTATTATTTTATTATTTTATTATTTTATTATTTTATTATTTTATTATTTTATTATTTTATTATTTTATTATTTATTATTTTATTATTTTATTATTTTATTATTATTATTTTATTATTTTATTATTTTATTATTTTATTATTTATTATTTTATTATTTTATTATTTTATTATTTTATTATTTTATTATTTTATTATTTTATTATTTTATTATTTTATTATTTTTATTATATTTTATTATTTTATTATTTTATTATTTTATTATTTTATTATTTTATTATTTTATTATTTTATTATTTTATTATTTTATTATTTTATTATTTTATTTTTTATTATTTTATTATTTTTTATTTTATTATTTTATTATTTTATTATTTTATTATTATTTATTATTTTATTATTTTATTATTTTATTATTTTATTATTATTATTTATTTTATTATTTATTATTTTATTATTTTATTATTTTATTATTTATTATTTTATTATTTTATTATTTTATTATTTTATTATTTTATTATTTTATTATTTTATTATTTTATTATTTTATTATTTTATTATTTTATTATTTTATTATTTTATTATTTTATTATTTTATTATTTTATTATTTTATTATTTTATTATTTTATTATTTTATTATTTTATTATTTTATTATTTTATTATTTTATTATTTTATTATTTTATTATTTTATTATTTTATTATTTTATTATTTTATTATTTTTAAAAATAATAAAAAAATAAAAGAATTTTTAAAATATTTTTTTATTATTATTTATTTAGTTTTAAAGGTTAACTTTTTTTTCTTAGGGTTAGGGTTATATAAAGTAGTGGGGTGGGTGTATTAAGGAAAGTGTGCATGAAATGTGGATTTAGGGTTTTGTCGTAAAAAAGCGTTTGGTCCAGTGTATCTAAAACACCACCGCTAATTTTGGGATGAACGCGGGCCAGACGGACATTGTCAGTCGAGCTAGATTATTAGCCCTTTTCCATCCCGTCTTGGCGGGTTGGGTGGCTGCTGCCTTTACAGCCTCACAAAATGGAGTGGTTGCGTGGCAGCGTGGGTGGCCCTGCCCTACCCTGACCCGCCAGCGAAGGCCCCCCCCGCCCAGTCCCAGCCGAGGCCGGGAAGGATGCAAATTACCGGCCGACGATGGAGTCATGTTGCGTTGGCTGCAAGCGAGGCCAAGCGAGCAGACAGGCGAGCCAGGCACGCCAGGCACGCCCGCAACGTGCTTCTTTTTGCGGTCCCGGGCTAGCTGCCCTGGGCCTAGCCGAGCCTTACCGGTGCGTGGCCCAGCAGACGACAACGTCGATCGATCGCGCAATCTGACCAGTCCCAGACAACAAGTCTGGCTACCACAGTAGACTACCGCCGCCTCGGATTGTCGGTTCCAGAAATAAAGCTGCCCTTTTTCTTCATCAGTGGGCAGAAATAGCTAGTGCGTGCATGCGGCTGAGACAAATTCTTCAACACGGACGGGAAAAAAAGAAAGGAGACAAAAGCAACATTTATTAGCACGCTCGCAACAAGCAAGAGACGGCTGGAAAAAGGAACAGGTTGCTGACTTCAGGGTGCTTGCTCACTGTTCAGCTCGCCTCGGCTGTCATTTGAGTTTACACAGTGCTGTGTGGCACATGGGGCCCCCTTCATCCTCCGCTTCGGTGATGAAGGACAGCGTCAGCCACACGGGGCCAATGACGCGTGCGGGTTCACCGCAGCGGGTTGGATGGGGCGCTGACGCCCCCCGATGATGAAGACTGCGTCTAATTCACCGGAGGGGCCCCACCTTTTACGAATGAAATCCATCCCCCCCCCCAGCAACAACCAGGGGCCAATTCAAGGCCGGTGAATAGGGTGCACACTTCACTACTCTAAGATCACTCTGTCTCGAATGTGAAGGATTGATGTCATCAAAAGACTCCAAAATTGAATGGTTCGTACTAGCTTTTATATGTACAAGTATCGAAAAGTTTGAATAAGGTGCAAGTGCTCATCTGAGCCTGGTAATGAGTGTAGCGAAGTGATAACTAAGACTTGTTGAAGCGAGTGCCGGTTGTCCTGGAGCTGCACCAGTCAGGTTCAGATAGACACAGCTCCAGGTCCGTGGTTTGTCTATACTCGTCAATCGTAGAACCGTCACCCCTTTTCTATCATCCTCCGGGAAAGATCAAAGCCCACGTCGCTGGCGTGCGACCCCTTGTTGCCCAAAAACTCCTCCTTCCTGTAGCCGCCTGCCTTGCGGGCGCTGAGGGAACGGGGTATCTCTATATATACACAAGACTCTTGGTTCCGGTCTTGTGCTGTGTGTGTGGTTGAATGTTAGGTGTTGTAGTTGGTCGTAGCTTCGTTGGAAACGCTGCGCCTCCAGAGCGCGCTGTTTCACCTCCACCGCCATCCTGCCTCGCTCATACCCTCAACTTGGCCGAGCTTAGATCCTGAACTGACGCGAGTGCAGGCGCGCCGGGGTCCAGTTGGCGTCGGTGACGGCAGCACGAGGGTAGACCTGCTGGTCAAGATCCCGAGTGGCCAGGGCGGCCTTGTACACGACCTGGTTGCCAGCGCCCAGGGTGGTGACCAGGTGCGTGCTGGTAGTGGCCTTGGTCTGGATGTCGTCAGGCAGGCGGTAGAGTGTGTCGCACAGGAAGCTCGTGCAGCCGGACACGGGTTGCTCGCTGTCGGCGGGGTACATCATGTAGACGCCATTGTGGTCATTCTCGTCGACGATGGCCGACACGTCGAAGTAGGTCAGACCACCCCAGCTGTTGAAGTTCACCTCGCCAAGCATACCAGGGATGTTGTCAGCGCCAGACGCGACGGCATAGTAGTTGCCGATCCAAGAGTCCGGGATGGTGACAGTGACGTTCTGCCCAGCGGGGATATCGGTAGACTCAACCAAGGGGAGGCCAGCGTTGGGGGTGAAGTGGACGGTGCGGTCGGTACCGTCCATGGACATGAAGGTGATCTGGTTGACGGCACCCGCCAGGGTGGCAGAGGCAAGGAGTGCGAGAGTGCTGTACTGCATGTTGACTGGTGTCGATATGTCTGAGGGTACAAATGTGTAGGTATATATTGTCAGAAGTAGACCGAAGCAGTTTCCAGAAGAGCTGTGCTTGGTGGAGTTCCTTTCGAAGGCTTCCTGATATCTGCAAACGATTGATCGTGGAGATCGGAATCAAAAGTCACCCGGGACTTCAGTTTGTCTAGTTGGTTTGCGCGTTGCAAAGAGTGAATAGCCTGTGGCTGGAAGGAGTGTATGTCCTGTGAGAAGGAAGGTGAAATCACAACGGCTTGCCGATTTGTGAAGATCAGTTGAAGGGAAGAACGCGAATACAGGGAATCGTGGGACAGGCTCCTTTATACCCACCCGTCTCCCACGCGCTGGCCATGCTGATGAGAGGGAAACAAATTAAAATGGAGGGTGTGATGGGGTTCCCGTTGTGAGAGAAACGCCCAGGCATCCTGGCAAAGCATGTCCTAGGTACCTGGGTACCTGGGTACCTGGTGACAAGGGCGGTCCAGACAACAGCAGTGGGTCTCTGGACATCCCAAAGCAGGCCGAGTCAAGACCCGACGGGGCACGCCACGATTTCCTCTGCCGGCACCAGATCGGATGCGCTAGCTGGCCAATGAGCTGGGGCTGTTTTCGGTGTTATTCGGTACCCGCCAAATCCTTCAGTCAGCAACTTTGTCTTCAACGGTCCAGGTACCCGCAACCTTGTTTTCCACCCTTTGACCCTCTTGGGCCTCTTCCCACTTGGGGCGACACTCGTCAGTGGACGGCCGAGAAGGCCAAGGCTACTAGGAAACAAGATTTACCTCCCTTTCTGACTCCAGCAGTCCAGGCACGCTACCGGGATTATGTACCCCCCCTCCACTAATAACTACACTATGACTCCCAGGACAATACCATTCTCTGAATGCCCGTCGTGCGGTCAGATTGGCAGACGTCTGCCGCTCGCGCAATGGTTCTTATGAGCCATACTATAGCGTCCATGCGGTCATCTCCTCGAGTCCTTGAAACAAATGCAGAGTAGCAAAGCGTGCGATCCTGTTGCATGAGCCATGAGCCTCGGTTGGGATAGGGAGTTGACGTCCTCAATAAGACAGCCACAAAAAAGAAATAAGAAACCCAGCAAGGATAGCCCCGTGGCCCGCCGCGTACTTGAGTACTTCTCAGTATTGTACTTCTGGGCTGGGCACAAGGGCAAGAACGCGGTGGTGCAGAAGGATAGGCACATGGCGGCGTTGGGACTCCTAGATTACACATCAAAGGGATTGGAACAGGCTACTGACGTGTTTCTTCGGGTGTACCAGGGGCGGCTGGGCCTGGACTGTGGTAAAAAAAAAACAAGGAAAAGAAAAAAAGAAAAAATAAGTTCGGCTAGGGAGTTTCGCCAAGCGCTAGGACCTTCCAGCTGAGGGTGGGGCGCCAGTCAGGTACTTCTCAGCTCTTATTGGCTGGGTATCGCTTCCGGTGACGGGTACCTGGGCGACCATAGGGCCAACCATGTGTCTGTTCCTGACAGGCCCGGCCGGCGAGGATTCTTGGGTGGGATCGGCTCAGGGGCAAGCCCACGTCTCTGCATGTGCCTGAGCCGGAAACAACACTGCTGTTTGGCTGGCGGGGTTTGTAGTGGAGGGTAGGACAACCCAACAGGACCTCGGACTTTGATTTCTCACCACCCTGACCACATGTGCCGTTGCAACCATCCTCGACAAGCCAGCGTGACAGACATGGATTCCCAGGGGCCCATGTGGATCCTCTCGCCAAGGCCTGGATTCATCAACACTCGCCTGGAAACAAGCGCGCAGTGGTTCGAGTGCATCGCGCCTTGTAGCAGGATTCCTTTTCTCGTCCGAAAAGGTTCGATGAATGCAGCTGAGGGGTACGAAAAGGCAGAAGGGACCGGCTAAACCTGCTGAAGATCCAGACACGCGGAAATGTTTGCAAGCACACTAACGCCGCGCCAAAGCCAAAGCCGCTGACTTGGTGTGCCCGGCGGTCGGGGCATTCAAGTCGTGTGGAACACTACCGACCGCGCACGTAAGCAGAGTTTTGTACAGCAGCAATCAGACTGGCTGGCACTGGCGGGCCCGGCGGACTGGCCACACCGGCTGGCCGGCAAGGTTTTCCCCTCTCGTTGTTGATGTTTGTCAGAGGTAGGAAAGATTGGGTCTGCTGTCAAGCTATAGTGGGGTGATGATGGTTCGGATGCCACTTGCCTCGAGGATAGCGATTCATCCAACCCTTGCCTCCTGGCAAATGGCTTCTAGCGTTCACCCATTATGAGTGGTAAATACTGCTGAGCACTCCCGAATGAGCCAGTGAACATGAAAGCTGGTTGGCATAACGTGCTACGTCTCATAGAAAGCCTGTGCCATGTCCAAGCGATGTTGTCCTGGGTGCTCTGCAGTTGGGGATTGGGGCCAACCGATCACAGAGGCGCATGTATCCGACGTGTCTTCGAATGGGGAGGCGTGGCCAGTCAGTAATTGCTGCCCAGCATTCGTCCCAGCGAAGTCGGCCCAGGTTCTTACACCGATGCCCTGCTTGCCTGCATCTAGCTGACCGTACGGAGTAATGGAGAGCAAGTTGTCTGGGTCCCGGCTTCAGAGTTTTCAGACTGCATGTGATTAGACCAGCAAACCAATGTCGCTCGATGTCACAGTACATTGGGCGGAAGCGTATCGCAGGATCTTGGGAAGCATTTTGCAGTGGCGGCGGGGGCACAAGCACCAAGCAACAGGAAATCGCGCATTCCAACTGCTGTTATTGGCGGGGTGCTTGTGGTGCGGCCTACTCAGTCAGCAAAGGTGTTGTCAAACTTGGAAGCCTTGCCAAGAACTTCCAGAACAGGGTTTTGACGGCGGACGGGACGGACGGGACGTGCGAATCGCGGATCGTTGCACCTCTCACAAACTAGGGTCCGGGTTCCCAAGGCCCTATCGATAGCGATGAGCGAATGGCACTGCAGGCCAACTGCGAACGTCAGAAGGTGTGCTGCGATGGGTCACGGATCGTCATTGATCGCCAGGCACGCTGGTACCACAGTAAAAGGTTGACTGACAGCCCTCCGGTCGCTTGAGATCCGTAAAAGCTTGTGTTGGCAATCCATCGCCGATCGCCTCCAAAACACCCACTCTTCGCTCTGGACCGAACAACCACACCACTCGGGACTGTAGAGTCGAGGCTCTGGGGGATAGTCTCATGGGGAGTTTGGTCCTGTCCACGTGTCCACTGCGACAACTCGGCTGGCCGAGATTCGGATGCTGCAGACTTCGCACAACATTACATCGTTATGATGTTTGAGGGCGCCCATGACGGAAAGGAGGTCGGGATTGGGATTGTGGGTAAATCCTCGGCCACAAGTCAACGGCCCGCTGTCTCTCGGTCCAGTAGCTCACACTCGACTACTTGGCGAACGTGATGATTCTGACTGTCATTTTGGGCGTGAGGCCAGGCTTCAAAGAACGCGACCCGATTAGGCAAGCAGTTCCGTGAAGCGTTCAAAAGATAGAGATCTAGAAGGCCGGTCGCTTCAGCTTGTCAAAAGACACCGCGCATGACAAATTGTGCGGTGATGAGGGGATGCGTTAGTCCTTCGGAAACGTATCCCTCAATCGTATGGGCTGCAGAATGCTGAAGCGCTATGCAACTAGCACCGAAATCCACGCCCAGAGAGTTGCTACCAAAGATTGCCCCGCTGCGACATCGTCCTTGCTGCGGGTAGTACCAATCGGGCGACCACATTTGCTATGACGGTGTACTGAAACAGCAGTACTGCTCCGCTGGTGCTGCAGCGTTAACGGTGAGAAGCGACGGGCAATGCGTCCTTTGGAACGTCATAAGCTTCGATGGCCAAATTCGATACCCCTGTGTTGACATGTCGCGCCAGACATGAAGGAGGGATTGTCTTCGCTTTTCCAGTTCGGGCCAACTTGTATAACCACGCTCCAACTGTCTTAAAAGGGTGGGAAAACTTCTCGCGCACCACCTGGGCACTGGTGTTCGAAACAGGCGTGGATGTTCCCCGTATCCGGAATGATTCCAAAAGCGACGTTGTTCAACCCATTTGCTGGTCCATTGATCCTGAATTGGCCGGGAGCCGGTCGGTGCATGTTTGCCCGGTAAAGGGAAAAATATGCGCTTGGCTTCTAGACCACCCTGTAGAAAGGTCTAGTGCTTCAGAGTTTCCCCGAAGAGTTCTTTTTTCCAGCTCCTGACGATTTCTGCGTGCCCACGACGGCGAACCGCCAAAGCGTGACTCTAGAAAGAATTGGTGCGAGACGGCGTCGGAAAGCCACGCGACGGCTTTGTCACTTTGACGTTCCGGGTAAAAGCGCCGGGCAAGAAATACACCGTCGTGATGCGGGCCGAAGCCATTTCGGGAATTCGCTTGGCGGTTGCGATCCGTCGCCGGGTGTGCCTCGGGGGTTTTGACATTTCCTGGGCAGTCTTAAGCTAACATAGTTGTTTCAACAATGTCCTTTTCCAAAAGCAGCCGAGTTGATCCTGTTTCGCAGGACTGCAATGCACATATTCAGCTCGTCCTCGTTTCGCATCCCCCTGGTTGATTAGTTCAGAGTAGCCGGAAAAATCAGAGCTGTTGAACTCGGTCGGCGCTTTCCACGGGCACTGCTCCGTACCGTTGCAAACTGGATCTGCCTAACTTTGACCCGGCGAAAAAGGACACAGACTAGGCAAGACGAAAGCCATGAGCCCGATGTCATGCCGGCATGGCCAGAAGCCTGGAGGCAACGACGGATTCCTAAGCCCCGTTCCTTCAACGTTGGCACACCGCATTCAGGACTTCGAACCAGACTTGACTCGAAAGAGGCGGCCAAGACGAGCGTGAAGAAGACTCGCACGAGCCTTGTTTCGGCCAAGCAGGCGCTGAAAGAAGGGAAGAAAAAGTTTCCTGGTCTCGGTGAGAAATTGGGAACTGGTCCTCCCAGCTCCAGGAGGTTTGGCGGTCTCGGTCCCTGATCCAGCTGGCTCAATGTCTGCTGGTGATGTAGCAATTTGATATCAGTCCGTAGTCGAGTTTGTGGCTGTCAGAATGGTGTGCAGAGCAGGATCAGAAGCCTGCAATGAACGGATTTCCGAAGGTGTCAGCAATTACAGGCTCCAGGTGGAGGTTGATCCGTGGTCATGGAGGATGAGCTCTTTCCTTTGGAGCAGACAAGGACACCAAGCTTCAAAGGGAACCGTGAAGGCATCCTCATGGGAACGGCTATCCTAGACCTAGGACTTTGGGTGATTATTCGACGAAGGCGATGGGAGTCTGCTGTGGATTGATTGAGAAATGACAAGTAATGTTATTCGGTGTCAAGACCACCCTGGGTTCGGTACCACCGCAAGACCTCTCACGGGGTCATGGATCGGCAGCAATGGCCGGAAAGCTTCCAGACTTCGCCTTGATTATCGTCGTGCCCTGCTTGCCGCAGGCTGGTTCAAGATGGAATCGCCAAAAAAAAAAGATTGTTGCAGAGGAAAACTTTCATAATGCGCTTCGTATCCAGCTCTCAGTCAACTTTCTCCAAAATAAGTGTTCTGAATGATTCTTGCAGATGAACAGCTCATCAGTCGAGGTTTTGAGCACCAACTAAGACCGCATGGGTAGTTTGATCTGGCAGACTTGCGGATTCAGACAAAAGTCTGTCTCGCAGATGGCTCCTGGAAAATTCCTGCATCCACATGGTCACATGTGTTGACCATTGCGATTGACTCGGTTTTGCTTCCTGCTCATCCTTAGTCGCGTCGTCGTCGATGCGTCGGTGACTGAGGCGACAATGCCTACCGACGCCTTTTGTCTCACTTGTGCAGTGAAGCTCTTTGGCGACAGATGTGTGTAGACCGGGATAGTCTCTTCCCTAAGGAAGCATTGTTGAGAGGCGAGGGAAAACGCCCACGGCGAGTTCGCAACGCCGAAGAGTCGACTGATCGTCACGATCACCCTGGTGTACCCAATAAGGCGACTTGGGCTCAACTTCTCAGATCCATACCCTGTTGCCTGGCGGCAGTTGCAACACCCGTCCACAGTAGCAATACCTCAACAGGTGCGAGGCACACACATGATGCTTTTGCCGAGGAGGACAAAGGATTTTGTCCGTACTCGCAATCAGCCCGTTGAGGTCCAGGCTCCGGCATGAACAAGTTGGCTGTGGGGGCGAATTCCCCTGGACTCTCTTCTGTGGTAATCAATGCAGCTTCAAGGTGAGGCCTGCCCATAAAAGCACAGCCCGCGTGTGTTGGAAGATGCTTCTGGTTTTGTAAGCATTGCCTGCGCTCGTTGCATGCCCGAAGAAATGGCCCTTGGTTGACTGGGGGGCACTGAACACGGCGATAAATCAGAAAAGTCGACAGTACCTGGAGCGGAAGTGACAATAAGCGTTGCTCCCACTGGGACGCAGAGGTCGTTGCGGGACTCTTCGTTGAGATGAGGTGCTCGGTAAGCCAACAACCCTGTGCGACGTCGAAGAGCGCTGCAGGTACGGGCAGTGCATGGGCTGAGCGAGTACCGAGGTTGCGAAGCTTGAGAGGCTCAACTAGCCAGCCTCTGTGTGTCATCATCAGCCACCGCGTCTGCAAGTTGCTGACATCGCCGTGATGCCGGGGATGCCGGGGATGCCGGGCTCACAAGTATTCAGTTCAACCAAGGCCCGAACAGTGTTCGGTGCCTCTCAGAAAGCTCGTTCTTATTTTGGACATTCGGCCCGGTTGAGTCTGTGAGGCGTTCGACCCGAGAAGCCCATCGTGTTCGATGCTGGTTTCCCAGAAGGCAATGTGATGAGGAGGATCAAAGGTAACGTTGGAACGAGGCCGGTAGTGTGCTGCCTCGCCGAACCATCAACGGTACCACAACTCAGACAGAGCCAGAACCGGGCGGGGCCAGTATGAGCCGGCGGATTGGGCCACAGACAGCATGGTGGCCGACACGAGGTGTTGCCTTCATCGTCGACTCGGTCAAACAGATTCGGTCGTGACTGACTGTGACGGACGGCGTTGAAGCAATTGATGGGAGGTGACAGGCTGGCAATGCTAACACGCTTGCGGCCGAGCAGGGATCCCCGCTCTGTGGACCAAAAAAAGGGACTATCGCCAGGCTGCAGGAGCCCTGTCTCCCAAAACCGTAGTTGAAATCGGGTCTAACCAATGACTGAGTGGTTGGCTGACAGTTTGGTCAAGGATTTCTCGTATTTGATCTTGATGATAAGTTGACTCGACACCATCACTGCCCTCGGGCCACTGCAGAACAAGCTGTCAACGGTACCTATTTGGGCGTCTGCATTACCCCAAGAATGACAAGAATGATTCCAAAGATCTCTTCGGCCCTGCGACGAGCTCAGACGTCACTCGGTGACCCCACGGACGATAAGGTGAGGCGAGATACGACATGGAGCGTACCATCGTGCAAGCTGGGTGGTATCAGCCATGGGAGCTTCCGCTGGTGGAGGCTCTCCACCGCCTCGGATGCCCAGGTAACGGCCAAAGAGTGATCGGGAAGATATGCTGGCAACCACCATGTCTTTTTTGATCACAGACGGCAACAGGTCACCTTCACTCTCCCATCGTGTATCCCCTCGGGCAAGTGGAGCCCCCAGCCGACCAGCTGCAAGATCAAGTAGGACAGTTCCCACCGCCGTTGAAGAGACGTGCATGGACCTCGGGAACAGAGGAGCGAGCAGGAGAGCCGCGACGGCGTCGATGGTTGCTTACTCCGGAATGGCATGTTGCTTGACATCGATACGGAAAGAGGCGGCTGACCCATGATAGTCTCAGCATTGGCTGGTTCAGGACTGGTCTGCCGTTTACTTTCCATGTTTGGCTCCTGCGAATTACTCATCGGGCAAGAAGGAGGCAGGGATGTGGGCAGGCAGGCCAAGTGGCAAGGCATCTATCTGTCTCTCTGTCTTTCTGTCTGTGTGTGTGTGTGTGTTCGGGTGTCTGCCAACGAATTCTTTCATCAGGGCAGGTAGGTGGTGTGGTGTGCCTTCCTCACTCCCCGGTTGGGATCGTGTCCGGCGCATCGTATCGAATTGCACCGAGCGCCTTCACCCGCTCCTTCCGTGGCCATATCGATGATGTGAGCTGACCTTGGGCGCCCACCTGCCCTGCTACTGCCCTGCCACTGCCCTTCTTGCCCTTCTTGCCCTTCTTGCCACGACCACCAACCTCAAGCACGCCGCGCTTGTGCCTGGTCCCTGCAGGCTCGGGAGCACCGCGGTTGTCGTCCCTCGCTCTCTTGCCCGTCTGTTGATATAACCCGATCCATCCCACATTTCCCCCCAGTTCTTCACCCACCCATCCCAACTCTTGCACCACTTTGCACGATCGTTATTGCACATCAGCACTTCGTTGGTACTCGCCGACCCTCACCTTCGTTACCGATTCCAAGGCCAAGCAAGGCCAGACCACTGATCACAGCCGTCAAGAAACACAACTCTCGCTGATCTCACCAGACAACCTTGGGAGGACCAAAATGAGACTCGTCCAGATCACCTCCTTTGCTGGGCTTCTCGCCTCTGCCCAGGCTGGCAAGCATTGGGGCACTGGCACTGGCACTGGAGCAGGCCCTACGGGCGGCACTCCTCCTACCAGCACTGAGTGGACGACCGTCGTCGTGCCGACTTACACAACCTACTGCCCGGTATGTCTTTCCGTGCCACAAACGGCCTCCTTCGGATCGCTGCTGACTGGTGTAAAACCCCCAGTCTCCCACTACCTGGGCTTGGAACAATGTGACCTACACTGTCACTTCTGCGACCACCATCACCCTGCGTGAGTACCACTGCCACCCCGGCTCCTTGCCCCCTGTCTCTTGGTGGCCTTGCACACGAAATTGTCCTGTACCAACCTTGGGGGGATGTCCCTGTTGACCTGTGGCTCTCTCTCGGGCATGGTCCCTGTGTGTTGGTCGAGGCTGACCATTCTTCATAGCTTGCCCGTGTACTCTGTCGGTCACCACTCCCGCGCCCATCACCACCACCTCTACCTACACGACTGAGGTGCCTTGTGAGACCACATCCACTCCGTCAGGCGGCGTTCCTTACCCCAGCGTTAACTCCACCGTCGTAATTCCTCCGCCTGTCACCATTCCAACCGGCCCTGGTTCCCCCGGTGTCACAACCACCCCCCTGCCGGGAGTCTCCTCTAGCACAGTGACCTCGACGACCGTGATTGTTAGCACCCCTCCGCCGTCGACATTCCTGTCCGGAACCACCCCTATCGGCGGCCCGGCTCCCACTCCTACCACTTTTGTCACGACTCCGCCAACGAACACGCCCGTGGCCCCCACTTCGTCTCCTGCTGGCGTCGTCACTGCTGGTGCTCCGAAGATGGGATCTCAGGCTGGTGCTCTCGGCCTGATTGCCGGTATTGCGGCCTTCGTTCTCTAATGTGTGATCGGTTGAAGGGGGGTTGTTGAGCAGGAATGTTTGAAATGATTCTTGGGCGATTTTGGACGTCTCATGATTGAGCAAGCTAATGATGGAGATGGATGCAAACTGTTTGTCACTACTTATACCCTTCTAGACTTTCCTTCACTGGACCAAGTGCATCGGCTGTCATTTACCATAACAATGTCGGGAGTAATGCATTGGCGAAAATGGTGGAACCCGTGGATTTGCTCTGCTAGCTACGAGGTGCAGCCTCAACACAACAATAGACCTTAATGTTTCACATCAGACCTCTTGGCATGAGCGAACCAAAGTGCTCTCAACGTGCGTCACCAATTCGGGCATCACCTTTTGCCGTACGCGGTATTTCCACGTCAAAGCTCGCAGGACTCATGGCATAGCTTCGCCTTCTGCAGAATCCGGGCGTGGCTGTGAGACCATCGTGCCCATACTTTACTGACCTACAGCTCCTGTACGACCGTAGGTGGTCAGGACTATCGGACTGCGGATTGAACTTGTCTCCCGTACCACCACACCGCATGCGGCCCAATCCACGGTAAGTGAGTCTTTCCGCGATGGAGTCCAATGTCAGCAAAAGTCAATTATGTTGCACGAGACGCACGAGATGTCTATATCTACTCGATATGACCAACGAAGATTCATGTGGAGATCTCGGCCCTCGGGGGTCCCCAGATAGACGCAGATAACAAAAGAATTCCCTGGCTGAGCCAAGTGTTCAAGCCAGAGAGTTACCAAACCGACACACAAAGGGGAAAGATAGGCTTGCGATGCCACCTCAAAATCGGACCGGATCACACCGAAAGCAATGCGAAGTGTACTGTGTAAGCAATATTCTGTTCCCGTCATCTGCCCTATGCCACGCCGCCAGGACTCAAGCCCACTAGCCTTGGGACACACCGAGGCCGTATAGCATAGTAATACGAGGTCTCCCGGCGCGGGATTTGCTCTTCACCATGACCCAGCTGTCAGGGCTTGTTCGGATACCCACCGATTGGCTACCTAGGTATTGCCTCCAATAATGTGCATGGTTGTCAGGCACTACCAGTTGGAACCGACAGCTTCTTTTCTCTGGGTTGCCAACACATGCGCCGAGCACCCCCACTGCAACACACCAACAGACGCGAGGGCTTTCTGTGCAGATGTACGTTGTATGAGCCAGCACACCCACCCTACCCGGCGCATCGTTTGAAAAGCGTGGCCCTAGTGAACTAGTCTTTGACAAGGCTGCAGACCCCCTTCCCTGTCGACATGACCACACCTGGGCACGCAGGGTGTGGTATTGCAGATCTGACTGCACCTCGTTCGGCTCTGGTCTCCGGACTGTTCCTGTGGAGGTATACGGCCTTTTCAATTCAAATGTTATGCTCCTGCAAGTCTAGGTTGTGCTTGGCTCTTTGTTTTCACAGCCTGGTCAACAGATGTCGGGGCTATTCGACTTGCCGGCGTTGACGTACTGCTGTGGAACATCATGGATGGCTGGGACCCAGGAACGGTACGCCGAGAGGGGTCATATGCCTGTATGTGGTTTTGTGGTTTCGCTTCTATTCCGTATACGTCCGAGGACATACATGGCGCCTTCATACGGTGGTAAACGCTCAAGACCCAGCGTTTAAAAAACATACAGTGTCGATAAAAGTGGTAAAAATACGAGAGATGGTATCACTGTATTTTTTCGGACGAATATGGAATAAAGCCGAAACTGGAGGGAAGGAAGTTATCAGTCTTATGAGAAACCAGAGCTGAACCTCTTTTCACTCTCCTATCTTATAGCATAATAGATCCTGCTGACCTTTCACCCTCTCTAGCCTCTTCCGAAAGCTTTCCATCTTGGTATTAATAGTTGCTCCTACCTTCTGGCAACACATTCCAGAGGTCCGAGCCCCATTCCAGTGGTGGCCTGGATTATTGCCTGAGAGACATTTGCCTGTTGGGTAATTGAATTGATAATCTCAAGTGTTACATGCGATAAGAATTGGCATTGGAAATGTATGTATTGCCAGAAACAGTGTAGGGGATCTATTTCAAATCAGGTCAAAGATGATGAGTACCGTTTCCGAGATTGTTGATCTAAGTCAATGGTTCTTCCCTGCACTGAGCTGAACAACTATGTATGTCCTATATGAAAACAGATAGTACAACTCAAAGACAGAAACGGTAAAATATATGATGTTTGGCCTCTCATAACACCTTCAAAATCTGCTTCTGTGAACTAATATTCTCTTAAGGGCCACCTCTTTACGTGAATGAGTCTCAGCATTAGGCTGTATCTATTCACACCAGTGCTAGCTGCCTTGGCTCAGATTAAACCATGAAGATTGAAGCTATGAACGTTTGAACTGATGCTGTCAACATGTATTAAAGAGCCTTCACCTTGTGGCTCAGGCCTTTGAACACAAATTGCCCAAAATGAACAGTGATAGAAGTGCTGAATGGTATCGTGTCATTGATGTGTGCCTTGGGAAGTACTGTACATTGAAGAGATGGTGGTACTATTAAGCAGAATTGAGAAAATCTAGTCTTGCTAAGAAAGAAGAGCATGAGGGTGGGTTAGGTCTACTCATGACCTCCCAGTCAGCACTCCACTGTCCCCAAGGCACTTGGGGAGTTCAGATGCCTTCTTGATTGAGACAGAGGATGTGAGCCCTTGGTCAGCCTTGCAGCAGGCCAGAGGTTCAATCTGGATGTCTACCCTCCCTCATAGTTAGGAGAGTTGATAGGCTGGAGCTTTGAAAGGGAAATTGAAGTGATTCAGAAGGTTTATTCCAAGTTCACTGCCTACTAAGCATCTGAAGCGGTCGTTTAGGCACACCCAGGATGTTGTTTGCCTGTGAAGGCCCTTCCTACACCCCAGTGCGTCACTACGAAGCTTTCAGCCAATTTATGTTCCTGTCAGAATACAACAGTGCCCTAAGCTGACTGGGCAGCAGACGCTAGCGCCTTGCTCATGTGTGGCCGTCCTTTGCTCACAAAACCCGAAGCCTGTCCCTCGCCCCCGACCCACCCTTCACCAACAACGCCGTCCTTCACCGTCCTTCGCCGTCCTTCGCCATCCTTAGCTCACGATGGACAACTCTCGAGATGACAGCGACCGGGGTGACCAGGATGCCTCTCCTGACCGCCATGATCATGCACGTCGTCGTGCAGTCCAACGAGCGGGCGAACGCACCCACGCTGTTCAACGAGCTGATGTGGCGCAGGGTCTGCTTCGGTACACCCACAACCCTGAAGTCTAGGAGGCTCTCCAGGTATGCTTATTACATACAATTTGTCTCATTTCGCAGCCCATGTATTGAAGTTATCAGGGTGTGGTTGCAAGAGGCTCTGTCGACCAAGCTCCCAACAGTCAGTCGCCAGCCCCCCTCGGTGCTGCCGATGACCGACAAGAACAACCTCGTGGCAACTCTCTGAACCTTGCTGTTCGTGGAGCTCGTCCTACCACCACAGTCAGTAGTGCCCAGGCACTTGGTCGCGATGATGATGGCTGGACTACCGGTTCTTTTGCTGCTATTCGTGCGGACCGAGCTCGAGCTCGAGCCCGAGCCCAAGCAGGAATCGGTTCTTCTCAGACCACCCGCAACGGTCAAGCTTCGAACAATGCCTTCATCGCAGACGGACCTCTTCCATCGGCTGATGGTGCTGCCCCTGCACAGGGAACTATGCCAGCGGTTGGTCACGAGGCCTGGATCACCGTGCAGTGCCCCAACGACCAGGTAAGCTTCCCAGGTGTGAGCAGTATTGGTTCATTTATTTACTGTGGTGGCCAGTTCTACACTGTCAGGGTGGACTTGAGTAATGCGATGCCTTCTGCTACATACAACATCACCATCAACATCCCAGCATGCCCGCCACAGTCGCCCCCGTTGCCTCGGTCCCCGCAACCCTCTCCATCCTCATCACGCTAGGTGGTGGGCAGGCAAACACTTTGCGAGACTCTTTGCGGCAAGGGATGGAGTTCATCATGGGACATGATGACGGAGGCATTGAATGAGAACACGAAGTTTCGGCATGTGCATACGAGGAATGAGGAATGAGGAATGAGGAATGAGGAATGAGCACATGGAACCTCACATGAGTAGTTCAGATAGCGGCATAAGCACCATAATCAGGTCAATGAACACCTGCCGTTTTTCAGAAGCAAATACAAATGCAATAGCACAAGTCCCTTGTGAAAGACATCTTTCACTACACCATTGGTGCATTTACCATGCCTTCATTGCTTGCTGAAGTGCCTGCAAATCTAGGCAAACTACAAGCTCTGCTCAGGTATTTGCTACACGGCCGTGGAATCTATCCCTCCAAACCTACTATGGTGCAACCCCCTGCAGGATGAGCTAGCTCCTAGGAGATCATCTCCTGGCCAAGTTGTCTTTGGGGGTCTAAATGGGCAGTCTACAGGACAACTTCTAACAAACTGAAGATGGGTGAGCCAGAGGGACTCCAGTGGGACATTGATACAGCATTTGAAGCCATGGTGGTGGTATCATAATAATGTATGTGAAATTTGATTGGGTATCATCTTCCCTAAGGCCCTGTTTTCTCTGCTAAATCTGTCAGGATGTCTTCCAGTGACAAAAGTATGCGCAGAGGGGCCCAAAGTATCGCAAACGACAAGCCTGCCTTGCCCCCAAGCAAAGGCTGTCATGGAGGTGGGGTCTAATCATGGCCACTGCTCTCTGGAAGACAATATGTGATGCCGCGTGTCTTCCAGCTATCTCAAGCTGGACCGGTGTCAGGCTTTGCTCAAGGTTCTGCCCTGCTCTCAAGAGGCAACAAGGGGCCCATCCAATAGAAAGTGACTGAAAGGCATGAAGGGCACCCAAGCCTTCACTCTTCATCTTATGCCCTCCCTCCCTTGGAAAAACATCCGCGCATTTATTGTGGCAGGAATCATGGACGCAAGGTATGACCCCTAGCCATCAGAACCTCCTGCATCGCCAGAAGAAAGGTCCAGCCTGGACCGTGCCTCGCGCATAATGGCCTTGGCCTCCTCCACATCTTGCCCGTCTTGGCAGAGCTCGTTGGCCAGGCGGTTGGCCGTTTCGTAATCCCCGTGGCGCATGGCATATCTGGCAAGCCACATCCTCGCCCTACTGGTTACGTTTGTGACACCGATCCCCTGATTCTGCTTCTCTCGCTGGTCGGCGTCCTCATCCTCGTCCGAGAGAGCATCGCTGTGCTTGGCAGCACCATCGCCCAGATTGTCAACGTTGCCGTCCTCCTGGACAATGCAAAGCTCCATGTATGCCCTGGCCTCCTCTTCTTCGTCTAGGCTTTCGTACATGAACGCGATCTGGACAAGAACCTCGGTGTCAAGACGGCCTAGTGCCGTGCGGTCGAATCCTGTGGCAGCGCTGCCGAAGCTGCTGGCCGAGGATTCATAGTAAGTGTCAGCCAGCAGAGCTCGCTTGAGGGCCTTTATGCCGTCTCGCTCGCGGCCCAGTTTCTGCAGGCAGGTGCCAACAGCCATCCACATCTTGCCGTCCCACGGCCGCAGCCCTGCGGCCTTCTTGTAGTACCATAGGGCGTATTGGTACATCTCCAGCATCTCGTACGTTTGACCTAGACCATACCAGGCCCGGTAGTCCCTCCTGTTGATATCGACTGCTCGTCGATAAGATTCAATAGCAGCATGCGTGTTCTTGAGCTCGACATATTCGTGTCCCAACAAGGTCCAAGCAGACAGGCACGACCTGTCAAGCGCCAAGGCCCGGCGGAAGTATTGCACAGCTTTCTCGTGCTGGGAGAGCAGGGAGTAGTAGTTACCGATGACAACGCATGATTCTGGTCGGAATTTGTCAACGCTTGAGCAAAGGTGAGCCAGAAAAGCCAGCTTGGGTCGTTCGTTGAGCACGTAGAGGATGTTGGAGTATATGTCGAGACTGTCTAGGCGGTGGGGGTGGAGAGACAGTAGGTGGCTGAATCGTGTAGAGGCATCTTTGAGTTCTTTGGTGTGGTAAGACAAGAGGGCTGAGCACGTGAGCAGGAATGGAGAGTCTGGGAAGATGCTCAGAAGCGAGTCCAAAGCTGTCGAAAGCTCATTTGTCGGTTGGTAGAGCTCCAGGGATGTATGGATGTGAAACATGTAAGAAACAATGTGTTGTGGTAAGCGTGGTACAATCTTGTTGAGCTGAACTCAGTCGTCAGCGAAGTGCTACTTCGGAGGGATGATGCATTCAAGGGACTTGCCATTTCGACCCTGGTGATGGCAGAAGTCATCTCGAGCCAACAGCCCCAGTTCATGGGGAACAAATGGACGCTTTTCAGGAACCACGCCATCGCCTCGTCCGTGTTCTTCTCCTTAGCCAGGACCATACCATACCTGTGATGATGTTAGCAACCCCCGGTCTTCAACTCTCAGTCTTAACACATACAGATACTCCAGCCAGCCTTGGCTACCCTCGGCAGACTGATCCTCGCCTCGCTCGTCGAACCAGGTTTGGAGATAGCGGCCCACGACAGGAAGCTGCTTATTGCCTACGGAGCCAATGTCCTGAGGGCCCATGACCATCTCCGAGTCCTCATCCTTCCTCTTCTCCCCTGAAAGCATCTTTGCATAGAGGGCCAAGAATAGGCTCTTCTGGCTCAACTCGGGCAGGATGCTGGCTCTTGGCTGAAATATAGTGTGACTTGGGACCAAGGACTCTTTGCCCTTGGTTGATTTCAGTTGGGAACTGAGTGGTGAGTCGTCGCCCTTGGGGGACAAGACACTGGAGAGGAGGGAATCAGGCAGGAAGACGGCCGTGCATCGGTCAAATTCTCGACAGTCGAAGAATGACTTGGCGAGCAGATACTTGTTGAACTCACGGGCCTCGAGCTGGGCCTCCTTCTCATCAGGGTTGGGAGTCAGAATAGCAGGCACATAGCCCCTGGGGGTGCTTTCTAGCTTGACCCCATCATCCTCCAAGGTTGTCTCTGGGAGCACATCGAGCAACTCAGCAGCCCTGCGATATGTGGTCAGCAGTGTGACTAAAGTCGAGATGGACGGGTGGTATGTGAGGACGGACCACTTTGCCGACTGGTATAGGCATCTCTCTGAGCATTTGACAACAGCGTCCTGGAGTGACGCCCGCAAATTGACGACATCCTGCTGGGTGAAGACCATGGTGCAAGTGGGTATGGCCTTCACTGACGGGTGCAAACACCCCTGGCGCACCAGGCTGGCAAGATTGGGACAATTTCAAGGACGCGGGCTGTGGTACCACCGTCAGTAGAAGTCAATACCTTTTTGGCTGACGTTGTCGATCCTTGCAGACCAGGTACCGAGGTAGGCTGTTGCTAGGGCTCCTCAGTGCCTGGAAATGTGGATGTTGTCGGGATGTCCGCAGCCAGCCTTGGGATGGAGCACGAGGCAGTCAACACCGGGTAGAGACCCAGGTACGGAGGTATGGTACCGTGTACGTTGGGTAGTAGGTACGGAGCATTGTCAAAGCACGCATCTAACGCGTTCCGCCCTGGAGGATCGGCCAGCCCAATAGCAAGGGTGCCCCCTGCACTACAGCTTCACCGGGCTGACAAGCAGCCAAGGTAACCCCGCCAAGGGTCTTTCCATAATTTTGTTTATCTCGAATTGGATCCGGGCAGGTGGTGTATTTCACGGCTGACTCTCGGTGACTATTTACTTGTGTCACGGCTCCCCAGAAGCATCTCACCTGTCCCGCATTCCCTTCCCCCCCATCCCTCTCTCTCCCGCCCTCTAGCGCCAGTGGGAACAGCCGCAGCACGAAATCATATCTCCGCCTGACACAGTCCTCAGCAAGCATGGCGCAAAGAACCACCCTGCAGGAATTCGAGGCCGTCTTCCCCAAGCTGGAGGCCGACCTCATCGAACATGCCAAGTCATACAAGCTGCCCCAGCAGCAGATTGACTGGTACAAGACGGTAGGTGTCCCAGCAGATGTGCCGCGGTCGTGGACACCACCATCGTGTTAGACATGTCCTTGATTCTAATCAATCCCGTCTTGCGGTACCGCAGAGCTTGAGGACGAACGCCGTGGGCGGCAAATGCAACCGCGGAATGTCCGTCCCCGATTCCGTGTCGCTGCTGCTGAACAAGCCCCTCTCTGAGGACGAGTACTTCAAGGCGGCGACACTGGGCTGGTTGACGGAGCTGCTCCAGGCCTTCTTCCTCGTGTCTGACGACATCATGGACACCAGCATCACGCGCCGCGGAAAGCCGTGCTGGTACCGGCAGGAGGGCGTGGGCATGATCGCCATCAACGACGCCTTCATGCTCGAGGCTGCTATTTACACCCTCCTCAAGAAATACTTCCGCTCCCACCCCGCCTACGTCGACCTGCTCGAGCTGTTCCACGAGACCTCGTACCAGACCGAGCTGGGCCAGCTGACGGACCTGCTCACCGCACCCGAGGACAACGTCGACCTGGACAATTTCTCCATGGAGAAATACCGCTTCATCGTCATCTACAAGACCTCCTACTACTCCTTCTTCCTGCCCGTCGCCCTTGCGCTGCACCAGCTCAACATCGGCACGGAAAAGAACCTGAAGCAGGCCGAGGACATCCTGATCCCCATGGGGGAGTACTTCCAGATCCAGGACGACTACCTCGACAACTTTGGCCTGCCAGAACACATTGGCAAGATCGGCACTGATATTATGGACAACAAGTGCTCGTGGCTGGTCAACCAGGCCCTGGCCGTCTGCACGCCCGAGCAGAAGAAGATCCTCGAGGACAACTATGGCCGCAAGGACAAGGACAAGGAGGCGGTCGTCAAGAAGCTCTACGACGAGCTGAACCTTGAGCAGATATACAGGGACTACGAGGAGAAGGTCGTCGGCGAGATCAGGGACAAGGTCGCCAAGATCGATGAGAGCGAGGGCCTGAAGAAGGGCGTCTTCGAGGCCTTCCTGGCCAAGATCTACAAGCGAAGCAAATAAGCGGTGAATTTGTGCCTATGGTATTTTTAGACGGTACATACACGCAAAACGATATTGCCTGACCCCCTAGCCTGTTGTGCCGGGAGGTTATTCAAAATAGAGTTGTAATAGACGTAGCTCGCTGAGCCTAATGCTTCATTTTTCTCAATACAACGAGATCGTCGGTCGAGTCGATCAAAACAACCCCATCTCAATGCTTCAGCGGGGAGGGGGCCGGTTCACGGTACAGCGCACAAATGGAAACTTGATAGAACATGAACGAACCCAAACTCCTGGCAATAACTATTCTCCCAACCAAACCTTTCTCATCAAAGAGGGCGGCACCGCAGCTTGTACAAGAGCCATCAGCTCCCGTCAGCTCCCGTCCGCCCTCGTTCTCGCCCCTGACACAGCATGCAGACGGCCCACCCGCTCACAGCGCCAAGTTGTAGCTGTACTCATCCTCCATGTTCTGACTAACCCAGAGCACGACGCTGCTGAGCCCGACCAGGGCGTTGGCGACGACGTTCTCGACCCCCATGCCCATCATAGGCCACTCGACCCCCGGCACGACAAACTTGAGCACGAAGACCGTGACGCCGCCCGCCATGCCGCCCGCCAGCGCGGCAAAGCCCAGGAACAGCACGACGCGGGCCTTCCACGCGACCCCGGACCCGCTGTACGAAAACGAGTCGGCCGACAGCCGCGCCTTCTCCACCGAGTTGATGATGAGCATCCCCAGCGACGAGAAGATCAGCGGCAGCCAGTCGACAAAGGTCACGTGCACGTCGGAGCCGTTCAGGCCGGACTTGGACCAGACTGAGGCGTCGAGGAGGACGTAGAAGGCGAGGGAGAACTGGTGGTTGCCGCGGTGGGGCGTGGGTCAGCTTTGCCTGTCTGCCGCTGCGCTGAGCACAAGGAGGGAGGGGCCGAGAGGAGCGAGAAAGAAAGGAGATGTTCCACTTCCATCATCCATCCAGTCTCCCTCCGAGGGACGCGGTGCTTGGTCAGGCACTTACCAAGGCGCCGGCGCTGTAGACGCCTGCGTTGCGGGCGTAGACGCTGTTGAGCCACTCGGGCTTGCGGAACTTCCAGAGGCGCTCCTCGGACATGGTGGCAAGCGTGGATAGGGATGAATAGCTAGGCGAAGAGACAGGTCTTGTACTGGCGGGTCTGGTCGCTCGAGCTGGATTGTGAAACCAGAGACGGTGCGTAAGATCCCCTCTCGGCAGTGACGGCTGGCTGGCCGGCTTGATACGAAGCCTTGGTGTGTTTGTAGCGTGGATAGGAATGTGATAAGTTAAGTCTCCGTCAAGTTTGGATTTCTAGGATTGGAAGTCGGCCGAAAGTCGGATGGTTCGTCGTCGATAGGGCGGGTTGCTGTGCTTGGAAGGCTGAAGATGACGACTGAGCTTGGAGGAGCTTCCCCAGCCGCGTCAGGCTGCCTGCCGGGCTGGACCTGAACCCTGGCCGAGGCAGACAGGGGCCATGCGCTGGATGCTCATGCGGACCACTGATTAAAATACCAAGGTGGATTTGGGTGTGTGTGTATACTACATAGTATGCCTTGCACATGCGAAAAACAGCATTTATTAGTCGAGCTCTACTCACGATTGCATACTTGGATGAAAAGGCCGAGATGCACTGTTCCTCTCGCAAGCTACAACTGCAGCCCATGGGCCCCAGGAGTATCAAGTAGGGTGCCAAATCCCAGTAATACTCCAGCCGGATTAATACCACCGCGGGTGGTAATGTATCGATGCTTGTTCAGGGACTGAGGGCCATCATGAGTGCTCCGTACGGCTCTAATCACTAGCATAAACAAATGTCTCCATAGACTATGGTCTGGCTCTGGTCTACCCCGCTTTGAAAGGCACAGACAGCAGAGCGACGTAAGAGGGTGAAGGCTCCTCAAAATGACGGTTTATTGAAGTATGGTGGCTCAGGCCCGCCCGCCGTCGATCGCAGGTGTACTAGATGACAAGTGCGAAGCCGTCGTTACCACTGGAGATTACATCCCTCTTCCCGGTTACGTCCCCCGACTGCTTGTGAGCCCCCTCTACCACACCTTAAGAGATTCTGGTGTTTTCGTTCCTTCCGACCGCCGACGCCTCAGGCAGACCACTCCAAATCTAGGACACACGGCGTTCAGACTACTTCTTCTTCCTTGAATGCGTAATTAATGATGAAGAATAATCGGTGCGACGGTCGGACGGCCCACCGCGCGGTGGGCCTCGTCGATTCCCGCCGGAGGAGTAATATACACAAAAACAAAACCCCACCTGGCAGCAAAGAAACGCAGAAGACGGGGTTTATTAACTGTATCCTTTCGCTTCGAAAACGGCCGGTGCCTGGCCAAAGCAGAGGCAGAATGCAAAAATCCGGTGTCGGTGTTCGTACAGAAGGCGTGCCTGAAAACCAACGCATCCTTCAAGTCATATGGCGGGTGTTTCGAAATCAGACGGAAACCTGACAGTGGCTTCCAATTTCTTGGCCAACAGTCGCGGGAGGGGTGATGGACGCGCGAGGGCCTGAAAGACTGAGAACGACTTCGTCTAGGGTCGAGGCTTCGTCATAACGCCGTGAACGCCAATCCCCTTGTGCTGGGATATATATGCTCTTCCCATTCGTTGCAGGTATCATGTTCTTCATCGCGGAATTCCCATTAGATCTCAATCTCCTTCATCGCCTCTTCCGTCACCATCGGCTTCTTGCCGTTGACCTTGGCCGATTTGGGCGACTCGGAATCCGCGCTGTCTGAGGTTTCGCCCTTGGTCAGGGCCGCAAGTCTCGGCGCGCTGCTCTCCTCGCCGCTGACCCTCGGTGTCTCGACCTCCACGAGCTTCTCTGGCTTCGTAAGTCCGTTGGGTGGAAGTTCCTGGAGTGAGGCCTCCTCCGTGACGCGAGCTAGGGGACTCGCCTTGCCATTCGCACGCATGGGGCTCGCCAGGGGCGAGCTACCGCTTAGACGGTGGAGTGAGCGGCCGCGCACCTCGCCGTTAGGCTCCGTCGGGCTGGTGTAAGGTGAGCCTGGTCCAGTCGGGGTGCCGGAACCCGGAACACCTGATTTCCTCTTCGCAGCTCGGGCTGCCGCACCCCGGCCGTACTTCTGATCCATCCTCCACCTCAGAATATCGAAATAGCCCGGCTCAACGCGAGCCGCCTTAAACTCACGCAGCTTGAGCTCCTGGCTGTCCTCGTCGATGAACCACTTGCCGCTGTTCAGATCGTCCGCAACGGTGGCCAGGAAATGGGCCCAGGAGCGCGCCACGACATACTTGGTGTCGTAGTCTCGGCCGAAAAGAATGATCTGACCCCAGCTGCCCTTGGGACCGGGTGCGAGATCGACGGCCAAGTTGTTTCCACCCCAATCCCTAACAAGAGGGATCCAGGCGGGGTGAGCGTAAGCCTTGCGGATCGTGTCAGCGGGGACAGATTCCTGGCGAGCTATGAGAGTTTCCCGCCACGCAGTCTTGTCCTGCGGGTTGGGGCTGGGGGCAGACTTGGAGGACGAGGCCTCGCTGCTGCCTCCAAAGGCCTTGGAGGGAGCGACTGGCTTCACGACTGCCGAGTCGAGTAGGAATTGCTGGTTAACCGTGCGCCACTGATCCCAGTCCTGGATGATCTCTTCACAATCGAGAAGCATGTTGCTGAAAATGATACCGGTCGGCATGCCGCCTCTCTCCTGGCCGTCGTGGACCTGGAGGGAGTCACGGACATCGGGGGGTAGTGTGCAGTCCAGCTGGTGTTCAAGCTCGTTCAGATCGTTGACAGTGCATCCCTCGCAGAGCTGGTCCCACAGCTCAGGGTAGTTCTCTTCGGCCCACGAATCGATACGCTTCCAAGAGTGAGTTACGGGTGGCGCGGGTGGCTGACCGTCCTGAAATGACTGCATTGGGATCTCTCCGACCGGGCTCTGCATCTCGAAACCATCGGCAGTGTTGGACCGTGCAAGCTGGGAACGCATGCCAGGGGAGTAGGGCCGGCCCCCGCCGGGGCTCTGAGGAATTGCAGGCGAGACCGGGGCGCCGTTGTATGAGGTCGAGCTTTCGAGATGGGTCAGGGAGCTCCGGGCGTTGTAGTCGCCGTAGGGGGATGTAATATCTGCTCGAGACTCGGAGGCGGTGGCGACTGATGTGAGGCCACCCTCACCGAGAGGGACGTGGCGACCAGATCGGTATGGAGAATCGGGACCCGAGTCTGCGTTGTTATCTTCAGCGAGCGCTCCACGGAGCGGTGGGGAGAGCAATTACGTACGTCTGTCATAACTGGTCATTGTGTGCCAGAAGGACTTGAAGGCTCCGCTGATTCTGTTTGTTGTCAAAGAAACTGGGTCAGCGTGTGTCTCGCCAGGGCGGTTTCCGGGAGGGCTGGGGGGTTGACATACGGGTTCGCCATCCTGGGCAGCTGTTCAGCGGTGTTGGCACGTCGGACCGGATTGCTGGGCAGGAGGGAACGCGGGTGTTTTGTCGTTTGCAGGAAAAGGGGGTTGGGTTATGGTGGCCCAGGCCCAGGGAGAAAGGAGAAGGAACCAAAAGAACGTGGGTCTTTTCGTCACCGTTGGTTGCCCGGTGGAATTTACCCGACAGTAACTCGCAGCGACCGACGCGGTCAGCAAGGGGGGCGGCTTAAAAACGAAGGTTGAAGAAAAGTCGCCGGTGGGCCAATGTGAGGGTCGTGTGGGCTACAGAGATCAAAGTGCACGATGTACGGGTTCGCGGTGGAAAGCTGCGAATTGAGTTGACGCCTTCTCGCGTGTGGCCTAGTGTTTACCGTAGTTGTACGTTGGTCGGCTTTTTTGGCGCCCAGTCGGCGGCAGGCGTGGGCTTGGGGAGTGGACGTTGGAGTGGGCGTTGGATTGGGCGGCGGGCGGGCGACGCTTTCTTCTGCGTCTTCTTTGTCTTAGCGGGAACGGGAATGTGTCGCAGGCGTTCAAGTGCTGCTATCCATCCATGCCAGGGCCCAATCTAGGAGCGAGTCAGATTGGCTTGGTCTTGGTCGATGTTCCGTTTGTGTCTCTCTGGCCTGTCGGGCTGTCGGGCTGCCTGGCCGTCTGCCTGGCCAAAAAAAAAAAAGGGAATAGAAATCCAAAACGAGCGTTGGACTGACAAGTAGAGACAAGTAGACAAGGCAAATGCAGACACGGACGCGGACACGGGCACGCACAGCACACTCTCCGGGGCGAGTCGGTCGGTCTTGGAAAACGATGGTGAAGCTGGGAGTGTGTGCGAGTGTGTCGTGACAAGAAGAAAGATAAGAGAGAGAGAATCTGGATGGGAGGGGACTGATGAAGTCCTGCTTGGACGTCGGATCCAATTTCACGGAAAATGCAGACTGCACAAGGCCTCTCTTGTAGTCTTCCAATGAGGGCCGGATGGGAAAGGTGCTGGTGGTACCTGACTGACCTGGGGCGTGGCCTGCAACCAGCAGCGAGCACCCCAGAGCTTCATCCCTTAAAAATGGAAGCACCTCACTACGTACCCCCTCCCCCTCCTCTCCAATCTAATTTTCCCTGCCATTATTATCAGGAGGAAGGGGCGTTCAGCACACTATCGGTACGCAGCACGGCAGCAGTACCACGCCTGATAGTGACCACCTGGGCAGATAGAGGGGATCTATTGTGCTGGACTGGCAGAACTGGCAGATACCTGTGGCTTGCCCGCACAGCCAGTCGTGCCCATGCCATGTCCCTATCTTCAGCACCAACAGCCAACCTTTTGCCACGTCTGCCTCGTAATTCCTCTCACAGACCTCACGGTCTTCCACACCACCTTGACCACCAACCTAGACCGTAGCAACTCTAGTAGAGCCCGGCGACTACTGCACTGCACCTGCACTGCCTGGCCGAGCTGCAGAAACTTGAGAGTAGCACCGCGGCCTGTCGACGACCTCGGATTTTTGGGAGATACGCGTTAGCAGCAGAAGTCTCTCTGTGGATGTGCGTGTGGGTGTGGTGGAATCCTGCTGGTCCAATATCTCACGAGCAAACATGCAAGGGCAATGCCTGCTGAGCGGCCTCCCTGCAATGGCGCGAACGAACGTGCAGTTCCTGACTCTTGTTTCCGTCGTCGACCCCAAGACGTCCTTTGTCCCGTTGTCTGTCCGCCTATCCGCCTTCGTCCAGCAGCCAGGCAGCATGACTCCAACATGCGGTATTGCCTTCCAACATGGAACAGACAGCAAGCATCTGGATATCCTCACAGGGCCCGGTCAGCCAGTCCACAGTTGCTGCTTGCCGCCCTCCACCGACTACCCCTAGCCCCTGTCTCTGGATCATGGGCCCGGCCCTCGTCTAGATGGAGCGTTGGATGGGAAGTGGACACAGCATTTATTGGACAGACCAGCTCGGCCAATCATGGCCGTGTTTCGTCGCAAATGCCGTCAGGGGCACCAGGGGGCGAGGAACCCCCCAGCCCATGCCGCTTCGGCGTTGCCACACTGCACTACCTCCAAGGACCACCCACCAGCTACCGCACCATGCACAACGCCGCCTAGGTACCTAGGAACCTACCTACAGTCCGTATGTACCTCACACTGCGAGCCTGCGCAGTTCAGGTACCACCAACTCGCACACAACATCATCATCAACAACAATCCAGACATCCTTTATTATCAGTACGCGCACGCCCACACCACACACCACAGCACACCACACACTGACACTAACACTCCTTCACTCACACACTCACTCCTACACAAGCATATAATGATTGGCCGCCATCCCGTCGTGGGGTCTGGTTCTGTGCCCCTGCTGCGCCCGATGGAAACTTGCATTCCCGCGTCATACCGAGACACTCTGGCGGGTGTTTTGTTCTGTCGCCACCTCAGCTTGTCCCCCGGTCCAGTCGTCTCGTCCACTGGTCCCCAACCACCGGGGAGCTCACCTCGTCAGCTCGTGTGGCCTTGTCCAGGTGTCACTGATCGTCCTGGTGCGCCATCCCAAGTCGTGGATATGAATGAGATAAAAAAAGACACGCATGCAGGATCGACCATCAGATAGACGAGCTTGGTTCCCCCATTGCCCCAGCAAAGTCTTGGTAAGAAACGGCTGGGCCTCCAGAAACATCTGCCACGATGCCACAGCGACCATAATTGCCCCCAGCTTCTCTGTGTATACCCCGCACTCCGCTCTTGACTGCTACCAACATCAACCTTGGAAGCGTTGGTCCTGCGGCCGAGCCCTCTCTGGCCGGTGACAGAAAACGTGGGCTAGCCAATATGCGACCTCCGCTGCACCTCCCACACCCCCGCAAGGATAGGCTGGCAGCTGCCGGCGCCGCCTGCCTGCAATCAAGCTTGCTTGTCAGGTTGTCATGCAGACTTCGTGGGAGGCCAATCCGTGCCGTTCCATGAAAGATGAGGTTATATCATTGCCAGGCCGGCCCAGGCTCTTGCCCACCCTGGCTATATCGCCATTGTAATATCCGACCTCGCTGAGGACTGAAGGCTATCTACCCGGGTGTGACTGTCTGGCATGGCTTGCAGCATCAAGAGTCTTGGGCTTGTCATGCCCAGCAAGCACCAAGGTCTTTGCAGATCCGCTCAGTCTTGAACCCAATTCTCCCACTCCTATGAATCAGTGTCCTTGACGTGTATTTTTCCATATGTCTCAGGACACCCAAAAATGTAACAGGTCACCTCGGGGCTGGAAGAAGTTGGTGCAACCTGACGGACTCCGTCTTCTTCTATCCCGTCACAGCTCCGCGCTGGTGTGAGACGCTGTCTGGCTGTCTAGCCCCCGTGCAAATAATTGTCCACGCCGTTTCAGAAAAGCATGCTAGAATTACGTAGATGCGGTGCGCCGGCTTGACTAGCAACTGGCGCCACCAAAAAGTAACAGATCGATACACCGAGGCAGCTAGGCAATTACCAAAAGCAATTTTGGCTCCCGCGGCCCTGGAAAGTCCACAAGTACGGAGTAGGGCTTTTTTTCACGCCCTAGACAATTGTGACATCTAGCCCGTTGAACGTTCTCGACGTTACCTGATCTCTTCAAGTCTCAACGGAGTGCGGCGATGCCCTCACAGACGGCCCCTTCAACTCCCTGATAGTACTCCGTCTATTTGTATGGCTTGCCTCTTGTAGTATTGTAGAATCATCTCCTGTGGTCCTTGATTGGTTGGCTCAGACACAATGCGTGTGTAAGATTCTTCCGAGCAGAACCGAATTGACCGTTGCATCTTGGGTTGTCAAGCAATGGACGGGAACTGAGCGTCCTCATGGTCTTCGACAATGTACAAGTACATTCATCCCTGGTGTACAGTATCATCGGTATGCATAGCCAGCCTGTATCTCCCCAATAGACGAGAGCAAGCCCCAATTCATTCAATGCTAGTATATGTGTTCACTCGACTGTGGAAAGGCATCTTGTCATTGGTTGCTCTGGGTGTCTAATTTTCTCGCTCTCTTGGGTTATGCGTATATGTTGACGAGGACTCTTATTCTGCGTAAATCATGCATCATCTGCACACCATTAGCAATCTTGAGAGCGTTCGAAATTAATTCTTTAGCGGCCGCTGATACTCCAGATCTGTGAAACTCCAATGCTTCTTCACATGACACCTGCTTCAAAAGTTTTGGTGCATGGTCCAGTTTGACCAAAAACGACTCTATAGCTTCTTCTGTTACAGGCTATACATCTTCCACATTGACAATTGGATATTACTTTGCCTCCGAACAATAAATGGCCGATAGTGTTTGAGCTCCCGATCAGGCGACCCTCGAGGTCGGTCAAATGGGACGTGATGAGGTACGTGGACGGAGTTGGCTCTCGGAAGACATGTGGGGATCCTGATGCCTCGTCAAAGAGATATCTGGCCGTTGACTTGGGTCGATTATACTACATCCATTGACCTTTTGGGTGTCAATCACCACCCCCAGTGAAGCCGCATCTTGTCTCTGAATCAGTGGCTTGTGAGAAAGCAGTCAAATGTGACTGTAAGGATGAGGTCTCGGACCAATTCCTGCAAATGCAATACCGATTGTTAAGAATAGAATGACGCTGGAAAGTGAAGCTGCCTTGTAGGATCGCACATCCTAGTTACTGCCATTTGTGATGTCTCAGAGCTCAGGCTGATAACGGTGGACCATGACTATCAGGGGCATCCACGAATAAGTTTCGAGCGCAAGATGCGGTCTGCTGGATGCCCAGTATTCAGCAACTTGTCAAAGAAACACCACGAGCAAAAGCGTAACTTGGGAACCAGCCGTGACGATAATTCGTTGACCATTGTCTGCGGGCGCTTCCCCCGGGCCCCACATCTGACCGAGCTAGAAGATGTCTCGCCTCCCGCCTCTTGGCTAGCGAAAGCCAGCCGTTTGCTCTTACTGAATTTGTTCTGGGACTCGACATGGTATACCATCCCTCTGACTTTGTATTAGACTACCTAGGCAGTCTAGTCATCATCCGCCGTGCTTGGCTTCTTCTTCGTCCTCGTCTTCTGTCCGCCCTTGAAATGCTTCTTGCTGTTCATGCTCAGCTGCGCGTCTCTAGGGTCCAATCCCTTCTCCAGCGCAGCCATCGTCCTGGCTTTCCTCCCGCTCAGCTGCCTCCCTTCCGCCTGCCCCTGCTCAGAATATTTGAAGTTGAACGGCTTGTTGATGTGCCCAGCGTTGCCGCTCCCGGGGCCGAAGAATGTCTTGTCAAGGTTCTTGGACTTTGGTCCGGCTGGCATGTCCATGACCATGTCCATGTCCATATCAATAGATGCCCCGTCGTCTTCAGCGACCGACATTGACTCCATGGCGCTTGCAAGAGCAAGCCGTCTCTTGCCGGTCAGATGCGACGGGTCGTACAGCTCGCTGTTGAACTCTCTCGCATCAAAGTCTCCTGGAGGAGGCTCGACATAGAGAAGCTTCCCGTTGACGTAATCCTTCAGGATGTACCTCGCCGCACGAGATTCGTCAGGATTACCTTGGCCTGTGGTGGCGAACCCTCTCGCGCGGGCATACGCTCTCAGCAATTCCGACGCCGTGACTGTTCCGGTACCACCCTCCTCCAGCGGCCTCATGTTGATCGTGATGCCGTACAGTGCCTCCAGAAAGCTCTTTGGTATCCTCTTGGCCACCAGAGCAACAGGGCCGGTGTACTCACGCAGTTGGTCGATGGGCAAGACACCGTTGCACACGAGCTCCGCCTTTGTGCTGGCGAAGTTGGCGAACACAAGACCAGGGCAATCGCATAGAACGACGTTTTCACTCAGGTGGATCGTCTGGAAGTGCTTGGTCTTGCCGGGCGTCGCCGACACAGACACCTTTTTGGCACCGATAAGAGCGTTGATGGTGGAAGACTTGCCGACGTTGGGGTACCCCACCAGGCCAATTGTCAGCTTCTGCGTTCTCTCCGGATTCGTAGGTGCGTGCTGCAGGAAGATGCCTTCCAGCTCATCCACGGTCAATATTCTCGTGTCCTCATCATCTTGGTCAGGTGCAATAGAATCCCCGGTCAAAGGGAGGTTAGGGTTGTCGCCTGCCGCCTTGGCTTCTTCCTCCTTCTGCTCTGATGCCTCACCCGCCACCTTGGAACTGCTCGGTTGGGGCTCTTCGTCGGATTCCCCGTCGGAATCTTGCTCTTCCTGCGCCTCATTGTACTCCTTTGCCAATTGAGCGGAGAAGAACCTATAGGCAATCTTTGCACCCTTCAGGTGGTTTGCCCAAGCTTTCCGCTGCTTATATGTCATCATGTCGGCCTTGTTGATGAGTAGCAGGTTCTCCTTGCGCCGATCCACCTCCTTGACATACTTGTCCAGGTCTTCGGAGCGGAACATCAGAGGATTTCGGGCATCGACGATTTGGACAACCAAGTCCGACCTTTCAATGACACGCCAGAGCTGGCGCCAGACCTCCAAGTTTCGCTCGAACGGTGTCATCAGAAGATCGTGGTTCTCCTGCAGCTCTGCAAGGCCTCGCCTCCAGTCGAGAAAGTTGCCCCGCTCCATGGCATCCAACTCCTCGGGCGTGGTCGACGCATCCCATTGCGGCCGCCTTGGTACCGTCAGCTTGTCCTTGTTCTCTTTGTGCTTCTTCGATGTGATACGCTCCTCGGCTGACGATAGCAGGTATGGGTTCTTCTGGTCGGTGTGGATGATCTTGACGTTGTTCATCTTCTCGGCCGTGAAGTCGGTCCCTGCCAGCTCCGCGGTCGCCAAGAACTCGTCCAGGGCGCCTTGCTCAGTGACCGATCTCATCTTCACCCAGCTCGCCTCTTCACGGTCATTTGTAATGTACTCCTCGCCGGTCGCGTGGTTGATGCGGGTGACTCCAGTGCCCTTCCTCCGGTCTTTGCCCTTGCCCTTGCCGAAGCGGTCGTGCATCAGGGCGTTGCCCAGGCCGACGCTTTTCTGGCTCTTTGGTTGTCCCATCGTGATTCGGTTCCCAAACGGTTGATTTCGGGGTGCAAACTTGGGTGTGCCTGTGTGGTCCCCTGGCCAAAGAGTGATAATTTGCCTCTCTTCTAAAGGGGTGAGGACGAGGTTGGGGGAGTGACAGAGAAAGCAGGGTGGGTAGAGAATTGCGGCGCAGACCCCTCGGATAAAAAGTGACGAAATCAGACTCGGCTTAGAAATTGGGGTCTGTCGCGGGGCAAAGACTTTTCGAAGCCCAAGCAGCGCTACAGCAACAAATGCCCCGCGGCGATAAGATAACCGCGCCACTGTAGACTGGAATTTTTGGATTGCGACGGGCAGGATTGCACTGCCTACGAACTTTTTTACAGGGGACTATTTTCATCGCACTACATACACCCTCCTAACCACCTCTCCCTTTCACCAACACCACACCGCTACTGCGTTGTACACGGCAGATCCTTCTTGACGACCTGACTTCTACTCCCCGTCAATTCTCAGCAAAATGCCTCCCTCTAACTGGCAAAAGGCCAAGAAGGAGGGCGCCACCCAGCACTTTACGCTGGTGCACCGGCCCCAAAACGACCCGCGAATCAACGATGACACGGCACCGTCAATGGTGCTGAACCCGACCCCGGGCAGCTCCAAGGTCAAGAAGCTGAACGATCTCGCGTCGGAACTGGGGTCAGATGCCGAGAGCATCCGGGACAACGAAGGAGAGGCCGCAAACTTCGGCGTGTACTTTGACGACACCGAGTACGACTACATGCAGCACCTGCGCGAGATCGGAACCGGCGGCGGAGACGCCGTGTTTGTGGAGGCAGAGGCGCCACGGAACAAGGGCAAGGGGAAGCACAAGCAGTCTCTCGAGTCTGCTCTCAAACAGATGGATCTGGAGCAGAAGTCTGGAGAACTCTTCGACGAGGATCTCCTCCCATCCAAGGATTTGCAAAGGTTGAACTACCAGTCGCAGCAAGATGTGCCGGATGCCATCGCGGGCTTCCAGCCCGACATGGATCCTCGCCTTCGTGAGGTTCTTGAAGCCTTGGAGGACGACGCTTATGTGGATGACGACGACGACATCTTCCAGACCCTGTCGAAGGACGCCAAGGAGCTGAACGACCACGAGTTTGACGAGACATACGATGAGTACGAGGACGATGAGGGCTGGGAGTCAGACGGCACTGCGAAGCCCACGAAAGAGTATGCAGACGACGAGGTACCAACTCTTGTGAGCACGGCCGAGCAGCCGGCGAAGGGCCCCTCAGAAGACTGGCTGGAGGACTTCAAGCAATTCAAGAAGGATCAAAAGGAAGAAAAGAAGCCCACAGGGCCAAAGCAGGCGGACGGCCTGTCTTCCATATGGACAACGACAACAATGGGCGGGCGGAAGAAGAAGAGAAAGGGGGCCCTCACAAACCCTTCAGCCTACTCCATGACCTCTTCCTCGCTGGTGCGAACGGAGCAGCTGGACATCCTGGACGCACGGTTTGAGAAGATGGAGGAGCGTTACAACGACATGGAGGATGAGGGCTCGATCGTGTCGGGCATGTCGTCGATGTCAAGCGTACAGGGCCCGATGAGACAAGATTTTGACGGTATTCTGGACGAGTTCCTGGGGAACCACAGTATGCAAGGAAAGAGGCGCATCAAGCGAGGGAAGGACCAGAGCGGTCTCCAGCAGCTGGAAGAAATCAGGAGGGGTTTGGGACCAGCGCGAATCCGAGGTCGAAACTCGTAGGCACGCCAAGAACGTCTAGCAGCATCTCATGATTGAACGATAGCATGGCTTCACCATGGTTGGCCACCCTCTCAAGATACCCAGTTTTCATGGTCTTCCCCGCGAGTTTTCCAAATATCTGCGTGTCCTTCGCTTTCTTGTGCAAGTGTGTTTGCTCAATTTTCATTTCATCGAACATCAGACACCAATATACCAGGTTGGGCTCCAGCGTGTATAGCTTGAGCGCTGCTGAAACCTCATCATACTGCTGGATCAGCAACGCACCCACGAAACTTCGAAAAACGCCGCTTGTGACACGTGGTACTGGCGCACTGCTTCCGGAACTCTAGCGAAACGGAAAAGCCATGTGAATCAGTTTGAATAAAGGGAGTGGACAATGGCGGAAACTCGGCGTAGGTCATGCCCATGGTGGTCAGGCCCTGCTTCAATCACAATGGACGCCCCAGGAGCGATGTTGCAGTGACCATGACTGACATTAACCTGTGCTGCGCGACCTGCAAGAAGAGAATACGATGGAGGACAATAGGGATTCGTCCGATGGTTCGCTGAGTGAGATATTGAGAAAGGTCCGCCGCAGGAACCGCGCTAGGCCCAAACGGGAACAGGTGGCCGGCGGCGAGCTTGGGACACCAGCTACCAGCAGCAGCAGGGGCCGCGATGTCAACTCCTCCAACGCCTCGCTCCCTCACCCTCCAACCCGCAACCCGACCCCCCCGCGTCGCAACAAAGGTCGGCCACAAACTGGAGCTGGTGTTCAGACTCAAGCAGTAATGGCAGGCCTCGGTCAAGCGCCTGCATTCGGAGCGCAGGCGCTTTCGACCGACGCGACCAACCGATCAGTCTCGCCATTTGGAGCTCCGTTCAATTCGTCCTCGACCTTTGGCCAGCCACAACAACAGACTTCGGTCTTCGGCGCGCCCGCGCCCGCGACAAATAATGCCTTTCAGCAGTCACAGCAACCTCAAGCCTTTGCGTTCCCGAACAACACCACCAATCCGGCCGCTGGGAACAATTTCGGTGGCGGCGGAGTCTTTGGTGCCCCGAATGTCGCGAGCAACGGCGACGTGACCAGCAATCCGTTCGCGACGGCGACCACGGCGCAAAACCCTTTTGCGATGCAGACGACGCCGGGCGCGCCATCAAATCCCTTCTCCAACACTCCTCCTGCATCGACGCCGGCCTCCGGGTTTGGAACATCATCCAACCCCTTCGCTGCAGCCACATCGGCCAACAGTTTTGGCGCCCCTTCCAGCACCACGAATGGATCATCAAGCTTGTTTGCGAGGCCAACTGAAACTTCACACCAAGGGCCAGCTCCCTTCGCCGGCGCTGCAGCAAACAGCTCGAAGAGGAAAAATGGATTCGGGGACACTGGTGCAATGAAGCGGCTCGCTTTTGACTCGACGAACTCTTTCCAGAAACCACAGACGGCCTTTGGACCGGGCTCTTCAAGAAATGATTCCGTTGGTTTCGGCGTTAAAGATACCAGGAAGAACCGCAACGGATTCGCCGACTACCTGAAGGAGAGGGAGGCAAGCGGCCTCGGCCCGAAGACAGCACGAGCGAACAGTTTTGACATCAACGGCGTCCGGAAATCCCCATCCGCGTACGAGAAAGAGATCCGCGACCAACTACGCAAAGATAACCTCAACCCTCCAGCATGGCCTCGACAACCAGGGAACCCCGCAAACAGGCAAGCTATGGAGGATCACCGCGAGAAGTACAAGAAATACGAAGGGCGTGTGCGTTCGTCGTTAATAAAGGCCGGACTGATCGACGATCCCGAAGTGCGCAAAAAGCTAAGCGATGCCATCGATTTCAGGGGTATTTGTCAGGATATGTGTCCCGAAGGCGAGAAGGTGTCGCGCATAGTCGAGTACGATGTAAAAGCGGCAGAGAAAACCACGAGTCCTGATGGCCTCGAAATGTGGCCGAACCCAGATCGAATGATCAAGTCGTTCAAGCGTTCAGCAGCTGGAACCGACTCGCCTTTGCCAACTGAAGTCCGTTCGCCGGCTGCGTTGAGACGAACGGTCGACTACCTCATTGACGACTTCTTGAGGTCCGATGAGAACCTGCCCTCGCAACATAACTTTCTATGGGATCGGACCCGGGCGATACGAAAAGATTTCATTTTTCAGAACGCAATGTCGGCCGATGAACGGACGGACCAGATATACTGCTTGGAAAACATCGCCAGGTTCCACGCCGTGGCTCTTCACCTGTTGTCACAAGAGAACTTTGCAGCCGAAGACTTCTCCGAGCAGCAAGAGCGTGAGCAGCTGGGGAAAACGCTGCTTTCGTTGATGCAGGTGTACGACGAATGCAAAGACATGGAGGGCGTGCGCATGGAGAATGAGGCTGAGTTTCGAGCGTACTACCTCCTCTTCAACGCCCACGACCCGTTTGTGATGCAGCAGATGCAAGATTGGGACGACAAATTCTGGTTCAACTCATCTGAAGTCCAGACCGTCGTCACGCTGATCGAGGCAATGCAGAACGTCTGGAACGGGCGTGGTCCGCTAAGGCCTCAGGTTGCCCTTACGACAGGCTCTGCGTCGTTCACTACATATTTCTCCATTGTCGAGGACCGCAAGGTATCGTACACCATGGCCTGTTTTGCGGAGATACATTTCACCCAGATTCGTCGCCAAATGCTGAAGGCCATACACAAGGCATATGGGAGAGTCAGAGATGGCCCCAAGGACCTCACGGCCAAGGTGCTCAACAGTATACTTCGATTTGACACCGAGGAGCAATGTGTGGCTTTCTTGGAGGAATTGGAAATGGAGTTCTCATCCGATGGTGCAGATGAACCCTACCTTGTGGTGGAGCGCAGGAGGAGCATTCCGGGGAAAACCATCCGCCAGTCTTTTTCTGGGGTGATGGTTGAGCGCAAGCGTGGCGGCCGGACGCTGCCAGAAGTCATCCACATGACCGTCTTCGAGGAAGCCTCTGCATCCGCTGAGGAAACTCACAGCCCTGACAGCATGTTCGTAACGCAGCCTACTGAATCCCCAGCATTCGGCACAAGTAGGGAGCAAAAGTCGAACAGCCTTGAGGTCAACTTCTCTGACGATGACACGCCCTCATCGTCTCCACAGCCTCCTCTCAAGACACTGTCGCCATTCCAGAGACCGCCGACGACAAATGGCTCTGCCACCTCGAATCTGAACAAATCAGTTCTGGACTCGGCGCCGGCGAACCCGTTCTCCCAAACACCCAGCAATTCATTTTCCCAAGGTTTCAACACGAGCGCTATCCCTTCAACAGATAAATCGGCCTCAAATGTCAAGCCTTCAACCTTTACTTGGACATCCAATGCGCCCACTGACAATACTCTCAACAATCCTCCATCGTCCGAGTCCGTCACAAAGCCTGCGACAGAAATGCCCAAATTTTCCTGGTCGACGACCCCTCCTGATACTACGGCCGATACCACGACCACTGAGAACGGTTCAGGCTCTGTGTTCGACTTCTTGAATAAGCCGACAGAAAACAGCAAGGCTACTTTCATTCCTGATGCTAGCATGCCTACCAGCATATCTTCCAACTTCTTTCTGCCATCCACTTCGGCGGGAAACCAGGCCGCCAAAAACGAACAGCAGGCGCCGGTCCCTGAATCATCTGAGACAAAGCCCTTAGGCTTAACGCCTACAATCCCCAGCGATACGGTTGCTGCGCTGCCAACTAAGTCACTTTTTGATATGGTCCCGGCTCAGACGCCTGCAGAACAATCCGCTGAAGTCTCACAAGCACCGACATCACCTTTATTCGCAAAACCATCCCAAATGTTCAGTCCAGACCCGCCCACGAGCAGTCCTCTAGCACCCCCACAACCTGCTCCACCCAAAGACCTTATGGGGGACTTCGCTAATTGGGTGGTGCTTGGAGACCATGGTTTGATGGAAGATTTCCAAGAGGCTCTCGTCACACACCTGGTTCGTGCCGTCTTTGACCAGCACCAACGGGAGGAAGAAGAACGCAAACAAAAAGAAGAAGAGGATAGGTCCTGGGCACAAGCTCGGAAGTTCAGGAAATACAGTCTGAGGGTCCGGTTCTTTTATCGCTGGCGGGATATTGCCAGAAAACTAGCTCTGAAGCGTGTTGGACGCCACAACAGGGCTGCAATGAAACAGTACAGAGAAAAGAAACTGGCTGAAGCGAAGGCAGCAAAGGCCAAAGCAGAGAAGGACGAGCTTTCTCGTACCAAACGACTTACCGGCCCGTCGTCTTGGCTAGACGAACTGGAAAAGGATCGAGCTTTGAAGAGGGCCAGGCGAGAAAGCATGTCACTTGATACCTCCAGAAGAGCCAGTATCACCTCAAGCAATGCAGACGCCCTGCTTGCTACCGGTATCTTTTCGGGCATGGAGAATCAGCGGGATTTGGCGGCAAATTGTGTCCGGGACGACGATTCCCTTTACGACGCACTTGTGGGCGTAACCATACACCCGAATACCAGCCAACAAAGCATGGGCCCTCCAGCCAGGCCTAAAGACCCTCTCCGGTCTGTCCGCGGCGCTGCTGTGATCAAGCCTCCCCCAAAACCCAAACTCAGCAAGAAGGCCCAGTATCTTCAGGACTTGATGAGCGGCAAGCGCCGGGAGGACGACCTTATCAGCTTCAGAAGCAGCGACTCTTCGCGCATGGCACGATCGGTTCCCTCCGGTGGGAAAGTTACCAATTTCTCTCGGTACCAGTCTTCATCACCCCGCTCATCAGCTGAGCCTGAGCGACCCAAGAATGGGCCGGGCAGCGGCATCAAGTCATCATACTGGCTGCTTCGAAGTCGGGGACTGTTCGCCACGCCCACTGGACATGTCTTGTCTGACAAGGCTCCCCGTCCAGCCATGGGGAACACGCACGATGGTGGCTCCCAGTACTCCGGAGACTCAGATGCCGGCGACTTCGACGACCGCGTCCTGGAGCAGGATGGCGCCTACCGTGCAAGCTTGGGGTTGACTGGTTCTCGCCGGAGCACCTTCAGCGTCCCGCAATCAACCGCAGGATCTCCCCCACGACACAGTTTCCTGAAAGCGAAACCGTCGATGGCGAGGCAATCACTTCCCGCTGGCATGTCGGCATCGTTGCTCGCTTCGCAGCCCACAGATATCGACGTTGTGTCTCAGACAGGCAGCGCGGTTAGCACCCTGCAACAGGACGCCGAGGAGAGCTTGCGGGAGCTGAAAAGGGTTGCTGCCGAACTGGACAGCGAGACAGAGTGGTATCGCGAGCAGAACAAGCAAATGTCTCAGGGTCAACAAGCCTTCGGTGCTTAGAATGTGAGCAAAGGTGGAGAGACTGACATGTGCGGCGGTTCTCAAGCTGAAGATGAAGGATCAATACGTGTACTACGCCCTGGAGCGGTCGTGCGTGACAGTGAAGGCAACAGGTGGGCAGCAGAAAAGGTTGCATGTGGACATAGGCAATGATCTCATGCTAACGAGCAGCGAGATAAATGTTGAGAGGCGCCAGGTCCTTGGGAAGAGGAAGGCAGCTGCGATGGAATAGCAAGGTATCCTTGTGCTTGACGGCACCGTCTGAGCGAGGAAGGAAGATAAGGGACACCAAGGCGGCATGTCAGTGCAAGTGCAGCTTTTTTCTTTCGATTTTATACACATGAGGGGCACGGAATCAGTATCTTCTCTTGCATCCAGCCAGGCGTTCTTTCGGTCACGGAGTGTGGGACGGAAAGGGGGAAAAGGTGGTCATTTTTACCCAGGGATAGGCACATGTGCAAGTTCGAAGCAGGCACAGGCCCATAAACGGCATTCCGCACCGCATCCCATTGCAAAACAAACTGAGCCGAGTCAAACCAAAGTTAAGCGAGCATTGGGCATTGCGAGCATTTCCTGTTTTTGTGGTTCTTTTCGTTCTCTCTTTGTTGGGTTGGTGTGATGTTTTCCAGGCATAGATACCCGAGCACTATGTCCACAATGGCGAAGAAATTTGATCTGCCCACCTTGCCCTTTTCTCAACGATATGAATTTGTGTGTGTGTGTGTGTATGTATGTCTATCTACATATGATGCTCTTGATTATGACATGGGCTGCTGCTCTGGTCACCTCCGCTTCCAGATAAGAGGGCAGCGTTCAGGATGGAGCATCTGTACAAGCAGCATCATACCAGTATCTTCCTCAATGAAACGCAGCACCCGCTTCCGCGCGTCGCCGAGGTCCTCCCCTTGCCTGGTGACAGGGTCCACCCGCCAGTCCCTGAACAACGCCGCAAGGGTAGCAACGGCCTCAACCTGAGAGAACTTCTTGCCCGGGCAGTCACGAATCCCGTCGGACCAAGGGAGGAACGTCCCACGGACGGGTGAGATGAACTCCTCGCCGTCAATATCGCCAGGACCGGCGGCGCCGGGCTTGATCCACCGGGACGGCCGCCAGACGAGCGAGTCCGACCCCCAGTACCTAGGATCGCTGTGGACAGAGGCGTGGCTGGGGACGATCATTGTCCGCGGGGGGATCAGCAGCGTCTTGTCGCCTACCTGGAGCGCGGGCGAGCCCTCGGCTGTCCACTTCGCCATGCCGACGGGCGTGTAGAAGCGCAGCGACTCGTAGACCACGGATATGCAGCGCTTCAGACGGGGGAAGTCGGCCTTGTAGTTCCAGTCTGGCTCCGGGCGCCCGCCCAGGACGTGCTGTATCTCCTCGTGGATCCAATCCTGGACCTCGGGGTTGGCCGCGAGGAAGTACATCACCCATACAAAGGTGTGCGCCGTGGTGTCGTGGCCAGCGAAGTTGAGCACGAACACTGTGAGCTCTGGCGTTAGCACAAGCGACAAAGGGCACGTGCATTTGCTGGTTACTGCCAACCAAGCAACACACTTTCAGCCTTTGACGAGAAAAGGAATCTTACGGTTTCCGTATATCTCCCTTTCACTCAGACTGCCACTAGTACCTTCGTGAGAAGCGCGCACCAGTGAGTTCATGAGATTCCGGTCGGACGCAACAGCCTGGGAGGCATTCATCTTGCCGGCCTCGAACAGCTGCGTCATGTACCCCTGGAACGAGGTGCACGCGTGATGAAGGTTTCTGAGGTAGCGAGGGAGCCAGGGCTTGGCGAGAAACTTGGTGCCCATCACCATGATCACGATGCTGTTCTCTAGGATGGTCTGGAGCGCATCCTTGTAGCTCAGTGAGGTGCCCTCGACCGCGACCTTCGCCTCGTGATGGCCGCTGAACTCATACGACTTGCCGAAGCCTACCCTGGACATCACGTTCAGAGAGAGTGTGCGGGTGTCGTGGGCAACCGTCTCAACGGACTGGCGGGAGCCCCAGTAGCGGCCCATGTCAACCGCCTGGGAGACGCTCTCCCGCCAGACGATTTCGAAGTTCTGGTCGATGAAGCAAGATGCTATGAGCTTGCGCATCTTTTTCCAATCTGCGCCTTGGGCCTGGGGAAGCCGATTAGTGTCGTTTGCCTGGAAGTTTTCAACAACTGCGTCTATCACTTACTGTAGATATGTTAGGCCCGAAGACATCGAGCATTGCTGTAAGTTCAGAGTCGTGAGGGAAGTCATTGTTCCGTTTCAACATGGCTGTAATGTCGTCCGGATTACCCAGATAAAGCCAGTTCCTAGCTGGTGAGCACAGCACGAAGGCGTCGCCCATCTCTTGATGGCTTTTCCATCTCAGCGGGATCTCGAAGCCCATGTAGTTGTATTTGGTGATATTGTTATCACCCAACCCGAAGGGTAGCCTTCTAAGCAGGGCCACGACCTGCTGGCTGACGATTGACCATAGTGGATTGATATGATCCACGGGGATTATGCGTACTGGGATACCGAGCTTCCGGGCGACTAGGTAGTTGCGCAGCAGGCAAACCAGCGAGTGGAGTGTGAAAGCGAGAGTGAGAAGTGGAATTACCACTGCTAAGGACGTGAAGAGACCCATGATACTGCCTCGGAATGAAGATGAGTGAATTTCTGTGGGAAGCACGGCCTAGGAGGTGTGAAAGACAAAGTGCGCGACACTCCAAAAGGTTCAGGATCGGCTGCCGGAAATTCACGCATTCCTCATCTTGTTCAACCTCCAGGTCAAGAGTGTGCTCGGTAAGGAAAAAAGGAAAGAAAGGGGGAAAATGGCCAGTCGCGACCAACGTACGTTGATGAAAAGTGTCACGCCCAACCGTCGCCGAACAATGTGGATAACCTGAGTGACGCCAAACTGTTAGATCCATTTGGGAGTTAGGTTGGTAGAGCTGTGCCGCACGAGTGCAGGGAACTGTGGGGCGGGTCTTAGTACAAAAGTGGCATAGGTGACCCAGGGAGACTAGCTGGTGAGACGGTTCTCGCGAAGTTTGGCAGAAGGGCTAAAGTGTCTGTTTAGAGTCTGAATTACTTGTGACTGGAAGAGGCTATGAGGGCAGCGAGGCTGCAAATAGCTTCAGAAGGTCTAAGACTAGCCATTCCTGTGTTACAAGCCATGCGAAGAACTCAAACGTGGAATCATTTTGTTGTTTTGCTTGTGTCATGTCTGTCTTTAGAAACAGACAATCAGCACCAGCACTAGCAGTTTAAAATTGCTCTCGTCATCTATAGAGTTTTCGTTTCGGAATAGTACATCGCTTTTAATTGTATCTAGGAGAACCGGCTGTGTCTCTATGTGCGGTAGTCACCGTTAATCGTGCTATGGAAAACGATGGTTAGTATCTGAGCAAGCATCATGCGTCGCAATGTCATGCAGAGATAAAAAAAGAAAACGATTCAAGAGATACTCACATATACTCGTGGCTGTAGTCGCAAGTCCAGTATTTTGCCTCCTTGTCCCCAGTGCCCAGCCTGACGAGGATGTGCAGGTCCTCAGCCTGCAGGATCTCAGAGGCGCGTGCCTCATCGACGGTCTCGGGCTCACCGTTGACCAGGAGCTTCAGCTCGGCGGAACCATCGGTGGGCACGAAAGAAACGTTGGTCTTCTCGGGGACCACGACGGCGTTGGCGACCTCATCCGCGGCGGCGGTAGCCGAGGCGGAGGAGCCGGGCTCAGACAGTAGCGAGTAGCCGGTGGCGCACAGGATGCGGCCCCAGTTGGCGTCGCGGCCGTACAGGGCGGTCTTTACCAGGGGTGAGCGGGCGATGGTGCTGGCGACCTTGCGGGCGGCGGCCTCGGAGCTAGACTCGGTGACCTGCACGGTGACAAACTTGGTGGCACCCTCGCCATCGCGGACGACGAGCTGGGCAAGATCGGTGGCCAGGGAGCGGACGGCGGCGGCGAGGGCGGCGTAGTCTGGGCCTTGCTCGTCAGCGACTTCCTGGCCGCCGGCGGCGCCGTTGGCCAGCAGGGCGACGGTGTCGTTGGTGGAGGTGTCTCCATCGATGGTGATGGAGTTGAAGGAGCAGTCGACGGCGGAGCGGAGCAGGGAGGGGATGAGAGAAGACGAGACGGGGGCGTCGGTGGCGATGACGCCGAGCAGGGTGGCCATGTTGGGGTGGATCATGCCGGCGCCCTTGGTCATGCCGGCGATGCGGTAGGTCCTGGCGGGGTCCGAGGGCAGGGTGAACTCGCGGGAGATGAGCTTGGGGAAGGTGTCAGTGGTGCAGATGGCGATGGCGGTGGACAGCCAGTGGTCAAAGGTGGACCCCAGGGCGGCGTGGGTCTTGGGGATGCCGTGGGTGATCTTGTCTATGGGGAGCCTTCAGGTTCACGAGGTCAGCGGACATGTGGCGGGTGGATGGGCGGGCAACAAGCCAGGCGGCATGGCATACCTCTGGCCGATGACACCGGTGCTCATGACGATGGTGGAGTCTGAGGCGCCGGTGACACGGTCGGTATGGCGGGACATGGCCTCGGCATCCTCGAGGCCACCCTTGCCGGTGACGGCATTGGCGCAGCCCGAGTTGATGACGACGCTGCGGACGCGGTTGCCGGTGCGGGCGAGCAGGTCGCGGCTGAAGGTGACGGGGGCGGCCTGGAACTTGTTCTTGGTGAAGACGGCGGCGGCAGCACAGGGGTGGTCTGAAGTGATCAAGGCCAGGTCGGGCTTGGTGGTGTTGGCGGGCTTGACGCCGACGTTGACGGCGGCGACGCGGAAGCCAAGCGGGAAAGTGCCCGACTTGGGCACATACTTGAGCTTCTTTGCCGGGATCTCGAGCCCGTGTGTCGCGTAGGCCCGTGACTGGATCCTGGAGGCCAGCTGCCTGGCGATCCAGGCTGGGCGCTCCATGGCGACGGGACTGCTGGACGGTATTAGTATTGGGAGAGGAGGTATTTCTGGGCGTCGTGATTGTACATACATTACCTGCTTGAGAGAAACCAGCAAGACCAACCACGCACCACGAGTCCTCTATGAATCAATTGACAAGATCGCTCGCTCAATGGCTGGTTCATATGCTGTGGACCAGAACAAGACTCACCACGGGAAACCCAGACAGGAAACCATGTATAAATGATCCCCAGGGTCTATGCGCGAATGAGTCCCCAATTATGAGCAACACCAGCTCCGTAATCGCTCAGATGCTCTGAGCTGGGGAGTCCCCCATGCAGCCTTGTCGACTGGACTGGCAGACTGGGTCCTCGATTGGCCCGTGCAGCCTCAGAAAATTTTATATCTTGCATATCTGAATTGGAGACCGCTGCTCTCTTTCCTTCCTCCTCACCCAAACAACTTCTTCCTCATCTTGATACCTTCCAAGCTTCCTGTCTTTTACAGCTCTCATTGCTCTTTCTCGATCAAGCAAGGGCAAGGTTGAGGCAACTCGATGCTACACGGAGTCTTGTGCGACTACGCCTGGCCAGACCTGAGACCCCTTGGCCCTTGGGGGCCTGAAAAGACGTGCGACCACAGTCCTCAGACCATGCACGAAGGCAGAGCACAGATGGCAGGCGCATGCCTTGTGTTCAATTCTCTGCCGAGCCTGCTTTCCTGCTTATTAGCGAGTTGTCACTACACGCTCTACTGTGGTGCGAGATCCTTTGGATTTTCCAGGTGAGTCGAGGCAGGTAGGTAGGTTTTCCAGCCCAGCCAGGCCAGCCGCCTCCTCGCACAGTCTGCGCTTTGGGTCCAGCTCGCCTGGCGAGCACGGTCTCTGCACTGTGGGGATCCTGGTTGCTAGCTCCCCCAAAGCTCCTTTGCCAGCCAGCAGCCCGCCCCGCCTCAGGCCTGAGCTCTGCTGCAATTTTTCCCTACTCATCCATCCATCCGCTTGCCGGCTCCTCGAAAGGCCACCTCACCTCACGACAAGCCAGCCCGACGACAAGGCCCTTGACACCAACAGTACAACCAGCTTGTCTGTATGATCTCCTGCATTGCCTAGCTTACTGGCTGGGGCAGCTTCGGCCACGCAAATAGTTTTGCACTCCTTCTTCTTTCCCGTTCCTGTTCCAACTTGTACTCTCTTTTCTTGTCGCGTTGCGTTGCGACTGTCCCGCCTCTCGCCGCCATGGCCGACATCATGGATGCCTACTGGCGCGCGCCAGCCATTGCGAGGTAAGCATTCTCCAGGTGCCAGCCATTTGGGTTTGGCTCGCGCGACAAGTGTTGTTGACACGACCACGCGCAGAACCTTCGCGACCGGCGTTCTCGTCACCTCGATTGCCTGCCACATGCACATCATGCCCTACGCCTGGATCTACTTCCACTACTTGGAGCTCTTCCGCCTGCCCCCCCAGATCTGGCGCCTCGTCACCAGCTTCCTGCTCTCAAGCCCCCAGCTGGGCATCGTCATGGATACATATTTCGTGTTCCAATATGCGAGCCAGCTCGAGACAGCCCACCCAAAGTTCGGCAGGAAGGAGGACTTCCTCTGGTACCTGGTCTTCTGCGGCGCAGTCATCATTGTAAGCCGGTTCTGTTTCCCCACTGCGCTTCCCGTACCCCCACTGCACACCTCTTATATCTGCCCGGATAGTGAAGTGCCTCTACTGCTATCACGGTTCCTGGAAAGGAGGAAGATTACCCCTGCACTTCGGCCGGTCCATCATTCGCAATACCTAGTTAAGGGCCGGTCCGCGGTGTGGGCATGGTGGGATGTCTTTATGGATGACTCGGGTCTTGATCTCCGTGGACCCGGGTGGTTTTGAGCGCCCTACATTACTCCAACACTACCACCAGCTGCTGTCCTGTTGCACCGTTCATCAGAATGCGGTTTGTGTTCATGGCTAACAGTGTCAAAAGGTGCTTGCTCAATACTTCCTCGGAGGCGTCTACTTCCTGCAGGCTTTGATCCTGGCCATGTGCTACACCGCCACCCAGGACCAGAGAGGCCAGAAGGCTGGCTTCTTCTTCTTCACCGTTCCAGCCCAGCTCGTCCCTCTCTGCATGATGGGCGCCAGCCTGCTCATGGCAGGCCCCCACGTCATGCTCCTGCAGCTGACCGGACTCGTCGCCGCTCACCTGCACGACTTCCTCACCAGGTTGTGGCCCGAGTTCGGCGGCGGCGCAAACCTGATTCCCACCCCAGCCTTCTTCACGCGCCTGGTCACCACTCCTCGCTTCATGCAGCGTGAGTACGGCACAGCCATCCGCAACGACCCGAGGGCGGGCACCACCACTGGTGCGCAGGCAAGGGGCCCGCTGCCAGACTCCTGGAAGACGAGAGGCTCCGGCCATCGCCTTGGTTGATCGAAACACTTAGCATTAGCGGCGCCATTCCGATGATGGTCTTTGAAAATATTATTTGTGTATTTCTGGCATCAAGCCTTTGACTGTGGACTGCTTTACCACGTGGTTTCCGATGAAACAGAATGCCTGCCCCGGAGCTCATCACAGCTGTGCAGCGCGCACGTTGCGGATGTCCCCGACTTTTCCATGCTCTCAAGCTCCTAAGCTCCTATGCAAAAGACCGACTTTGTCACAGAAGACCTGGCCGAAAATATCCCATGAACCGAATACCAGAACGCCTTGCCGAACCCACCGCAGGAAATAAGAGATCTCCCCATATAGAAGACGAGACAAAAAGGAAACACTGCACAGGTCAGAAAGTCTAGCTGATCTCACCCATATAGGTAACTCTTCCCACTACCGATTGGCACCTCCACCGACCGTCCTCCCCGGTCAACCATTTGCTCGATGATGCGGTCTTGGCCGCGCGCTGGGCCGAAGACCGCCCCCGGCGCTGGTGGACGCGTCGAAAACCGACTGCCTGGGAATGCAAGCGGGCCCGAGATGCCAGCGCCAGCGCCGGTGCCCACGTCGTCGGGCACCTCGAGCCGCGGTGGCAACTTGCGGCTGCCCGGCACGCGGATGCGCGGCACCGATGGCAGGATGAGCGATCCGATCCTCGGCGGCGGCGGGAGCGGGGACCCATCGCCAAGGCTAGCCGCGGTGTGATCTGGCGATGTCGTCCTCGAGATGTGCTGCAGCGACGGCGCGGGCGTCGCCCGGCCACCAACACCACCCTGCGGCATGGACGCCGCGGAGACGGGAGGCGTGGCGCGAGCGCCGGCCAGCTCAACCTGGATGTTCCGCGCGATCTCGGCGTTGGAGGCCGGCGTGGCGCGCCCAGGGACGGGGTAGGACGACGACCACGACGGCGCCGCGACGGGCGGTGGCGGCTGGGGCACCTTGGGGTCCTCGGCTGCGTTGAGGTAGACCTGGATCGCGTACGAGTCGGGCTTGGCGCCGCCGCTGCCGTTGGTGGTGTTGTGATGCGGCGGTTGCGAGGACGAAGTCTGCGTGCTCGACCGCACCGAGGCCGGGGTCGGGTTGCGGCTTGGCCTGGCGCCCGGCGGGGGCGTGGTCCGGCTGTTGCTGTTCCTGCTGCTGGTGCGCGGGATGTAGGCCGGGTGCGTCGGCAGCGAGGTGGTGGGGAGCTGGCCGATGGTGTCGACCTGCTCGTGGCTGGCGGCGGGTTGTGGTTGTGGTTGTGGTTGTGGCTGCTGCGCGGGCGGGCTGATGGTCACCAGGGGCCTGCCCCTGGTCTTGCCCTCGAGGCGGTCGTAGTACTCTGCGTTGCTGGAGTAGTCGGACGGGAGCGGCTCCGGGGTCTCGGACACGGAAGGCTTGTAGTCGACCGTGTACTGCGGCAGCACGTAGCTGTGGTCGGTGGTGATGGACGCGGGCCCGCTGCCCGGGTCCTTGTAGTAGAAGTGCTGGGCCTGGCCGTACGGGTGCGGCAGGGCCCTGTCCTCGCGCTCGTACTTCTTCTGCTTCAGGCAATACACCACGAACAGCGCGATGGCGCCGAGGAACAGCGCCGCGGCCCCCAGGGCGATGCCGACGATAGCGCCGGTGGTGATGACCGGCTTGTCTTCCCCGTCGGAGCCCGCGGCAGTCGAGGAGGTGGAGTTGATGGGGAAAGCCGAGAAGATGTTGCCGGATATGCCCAGGGCCGTCCCTGGCGGCGGCTGTTCTCTGCACCCGGCTTCAAGGGCGAGGAGAACTGGTGCAGGGTCAGCCTGGTGTTCAGCATGTAAGACGGCGACAAAAAGAAGCTCACAGTTTGCGAGGTATGTGGAAGAGCTTGACTGGAGACAGGTCACGCAGTCGTCGAGGTTTGCCCCTTCGAGGACACCACCGTCGGCTTGGCAGTAACCGTATCCCGTCGCATTCTCCGGCCGTAGGCTGCCATACTCAAGGGCGCCCTGCAGCGGGGCACAGGCGCTGTTGAGGTCACACGGCGTCGTCGTCGTCGTGTTGTGGCTCGGGTAGTCGTAGAGACATACGGCCGAGGCAAAGCGCAAGTTGTCTTTTGAGTCCCGGATGTTAGAGACCAGCTACAGTAACGGGGATGTCAGGCTGCATCGCCCTATGGCGGCTTACAGAGGAACCAGGCGACATCGCTCTCGTCGCCACTGGATGTGTCGCTGGTCTGCAAGCAAGTGATGCAGTTCTTGAACTTTTGCCCGTTGGCCGAGGAGAAATAGTCAACATCGTTGCACACTATGTCCGAGGAGTTGATCGCCGACGCCGCTGTCCGCACAAAGTCGACATCTGCAGAGTCGAGGCAGGCGGATGCGCATGGCGAGTCCGTGGTCACGCCAAAGGCTGTTGTGCTTGACAGGAGGTGGGAGACGACGAGGCCCAGGGACAAGGATGACAAGAACATTTTTTTTTAGAAGTGAAGCCGCCAGGTTTCGAGTTATGGCATGAGTAGTGCGGGAGGAGGGGAGGGATGTGGGAAGGAGTGGTGATGTCTATGGCCCCCAAGACATATCCATCCGAGTTCCCATGTACGCAAGCCACTTGGATCTTGGTCGAGGCCACCTAGATCTGGTTCAAGACGAACCCAAGACTCGGCAAGATCGAGGTAGGAGGGTCCAGACGGAGGAGGCGGGACGGCTGAGAGCAAGGCCCCAGGGTAGGAACCGGATATGGGCCCATATAAGACTCATATAGAGGGCAGCAGGCGGAGGTCGGGCGAGTTGCCACGCACGCGGGTCATTGCAGCTTGGACATATTGGACAGTCACTCTCGGCTAGCCTACCGGGAATAGAGGCAACCTTTTGTTTTTTTCCTTCACAAAAGAGTAATTACCGGCTCTGGCCTGCAGAAAAGTCACGAGCTTGCGGCGTCGGCTGCCAGCCAGCCAGCCCGGTGCTGCTACTCGGGTGTGTCCAGCTTCGCAGGGACCTTCAAAGTCAACCAACAAGCTCTACGGGCAGCCAATGGGCGGCGGGGGGCAGCCCACACTGGCAGGCTGGTCGAGCATGTCGTCGCCGGGGTGGGCAGCAGATTCATAGGGCGAGCCAATGGCGAGGGACCCGATCAACGGGGCGCGGCGCGAAACAAAGCTTGTGGGCGGCGTGATTGGGCGGGGGCGGCAGGGAGAACGGGCGGCGAGAGAAACATCTGCATGCAGGTCATAGACGTTCGTTCGTCTTGTTTTCCCGCCCTCGTGCGCTAACAATCTGGAGGCGGGGCGCGACGTGAGTGGTCGTGCAGACGCCGGCCTGGGATACGGCCGTCTTGTTTCCACAGCCAAATGGCTGGATGTGCCCACTCACGCCACTCGAGGGTGGAGAAGGGCGAGCGGGCTGGCGGGCTGGCGGGTAGCACCCACACCTGGCCACCCCGGCGCAGCTTGACCGGGTCGCAGGGATCAGCTACACATCGGGCAGGTGCTGTTGTGCTTCCGCACCCGTTTTGGGTCTTTTGATTGGGCTTGTGGGCTGTTGAAGGGTGGTTGAATGCCCAGGTGCTTTCCTCGCCCAGTGCATTCGTTCCCCACTCGCAAGACGTGAATACATAGTAGGGACTTTTGGGGGGTTTTCCCCCTTCTCTCTCGCTGTTCACGTCCTGTTTTCCCCCAGTCGTCGCGGCTCCTTGGGCCAGTGAGGGCCAGTCTTGCTTTCCACCATGGCGTCTGCTAGGCCATGTGTCGTGCAGGACGACGTCTCTCGTCAGGCTCGTCTGCTGGCCGTGCCTGGTTGGGTGGTCGCCCGGGTGTGATAGTGGCTGCATCCGCATGCTACCACAGTACTGCATGCATTACGAGTACCAGTCGCCAAAACTCTGCCCACCTCCAGCTCTGGCCTGACATCCTGACAGCCTGACAGCCTGAGGGCCTGGGGTGGCTGGTCACCCTGCCGGGCCCAGAGCCTATCCCACAACTTCTCGGCCCGGGCTGTCCTTCCCAAGACTCTCGCTCCGTGGCAGGCCTGGGTCCGTATTGACCAGCCATGATCCGATCGCCGCCCCGCCTGCTTTGTTATTCTCAGGGTGATCGGTCATCTGTACAGGCCACGGCCCATGAGGTCAAGGCGGAACCCGCCCGACTGGACCTGGCATCCCCGTTGAGGATCCACCGTCATTCTTCGTCTTGGAGCACTGCACGTCTAGCTGGTGCGCAACAAGGCTGGCGGCTATTGTGGTGGATCAGCCCCGGCCTGCCCTATCGGCGGGTCGCCGTTGCAGCAGTTCAGAGCGGTCACTAGACACCTCAAGTTTATTATCGGCCTTCATCGCCTGGCATCAGACGTTGCCTTACGTGTCTTTGACTGGAGAGGTTGTTCTGCCAGCTCTGTACCTAGGGATATGGGGTGGGAAATCAACACCGTGACACGGCCACAACTTTCGTTAGGGTGTGGTCCAACACAAGATGCCCCATGTCTTGTCTATCTCTCATTTGCTGTTGCGTAAGGAGTCGTTCTGTGAACCCTTTATCTCGAGGTCACCCTGAGGCGATCTCATAAGGTGTTCCTTCAGCAGATTGTCCTCTAGCTGGTTGGCATCTAGGGTGGTGCGGAGATAGATGCGGTGGAAGCAGAGCTCGGAACCGAGATGCAAGTGAGATGACTAAGTGCAGGCCAGCGTCAGGAGGGACATTGCTTCATATCAGCATCATGATCTTTCAAGGCAGTCACTTCGAAAAAAAAACCTCCTGGGCATCGTGACACGGACATTTTATCACAGACAAGCGTGCATCTCGCCCACGCAGGCAATGCCATTCCTCTAGGCAAGAGGAAGCGAGGCGGGCTCTACCTGCAAATCCAGGTTGGGCCGCAGAAGCAGCAGATCATGGGTCTACCAGGATACGTATCTCAAGGGTATCCTGTCAAATCTTCCATTGCGCCTACAGTCAAGCCCAATGGACGTTGGAGACATGTTTGTGGAACAGTTGGCCGACAAGTCATCAGGTTGGGCGTGAAAGGCTGAAGATGCATGCTGCAGTGCCGTTGTTGGTAGAGTATGAAACATCAAAGCTGGGGATTCTCTGTTTACTGACGGGAATAATAGGGCGGTAAATGTTTCGAAAGGCTGTTGGTCTGCGCAGGAATTCTTGACATTGAGCCCAACTCACGCCAAGGTACCCCTGAGGGTAGCCGTCACTGCTCCTTGCTCGTAAACGCACTTGGAATTGTCAGTGGGCGAGCGTGTGGGCCAGCTCTCCGGGCAGCTTGAGAACTTCCCCATGGGGTTCATCGCGGTGATGTCACTTGTCGAGTCGGGCTGGTGATGTCAAAGCTCATTCTGTCAGATACAGCTTTGCCCGCCAGTCTACGTCCTTTGGATCAATTGGTCGGCGGGGGCGGCGCTTGAAGCTCTCCCAGCCGACGTGTCCGCTGGTCAACTGCGCCTGCAAAAGGGCGGTCACGCAGCCACTTGCAAGGTCAAGTCATGCTGTTCCCGTGCGGCACAGCACCATATATCGAACGACAGCTGGCGGGTAGTCGTCTTTCTCGTCCCGAGATTGGCGTGGCTTGCCTCGGCGCGAGGCTCCTTTGCTATTGTAGGCATAGAGAAATACCCCTGGCCCCCAGCCCCAAGTGTTCAACGAGCAACAGCTGACTGCATATGCGTTGATACCTGCGCAGATCTTTGGCAAATCCCAGTTTGAGAACTGTCGGTTGGTGCTGGGGGAAAGCGGTGCTCGCTGCCCATTGGTGTTCCGACATGGTGGTTGCGCCTGCAAGCACGAAATCCTGTCCCCCCGCATCCCTGCAACAAGGAGGACTACAAAGCAATATGATTCGCGTGGAGGAACTAGACCCGTTGACAGCGCTAAATGTGGGCACATCACTGGCCCGTCACATTTCAACCCTGCTATCTGTTGGACGACTTACACGATATTGGCCATTGGCAGCGCTCGAGCGAAGCTGGCTGGCAGGCTGGGAGGCACGCCGCACCCCTAAACACACCGCGGGTCCCACAGCCCACTCATCTTCGGCATGGAGCCGCCGGGTCACCCTCGCCTATCCTGCCTTCCTCCGTCCGTTTCCTCTCTAATACCTAACATATCCGGAGTGCATAACGTAACGCCTTTTAGGCCCGTTCCGAACATCTTGTGTCGCCTTGGTTTTCTCCGCCTCTGAATGTCTTCGGTATCGGCAGCCTTGGTGTACAGTTCGAGCTGGTTTCGGAGTCCTCGAAGACATATCCACCCAACCGTGGGGATATCGTCCGCCTGTCAGGGTCCTTTGCTCCCCTCATAAACCACCAGGAGCAAAGCCGAGGGTCTTCGCACCGCGACCACGATCATCATGAGGATCGCTTGCCTCCAGTTCGCGCCGCAGGTGGGCGATGTCGATAACAATCTCAACCGTGCGGTGGGTCAAATTTGGGCATCTTCAAGTTATGGTACGACTGCGACTAATAAGCTGGAGCAGGACTCGGTCCTCGCCAAAGCCAATCCGGACGATCTCGAGGGATTGGACTTGCTCGTTCTTCCAGAACTCGCGTTTACTGGTATGTCAGACCGCGGAATACGTGTGCTGCTCGGCCACATGTGCATCCAAGCTGACACGAACTTTCGAAAAGGATACAAATTCGACTCTTTGCAGCACATCTCCCCCTACCTTGAGCACGCCGGATCTGGGATCAGCTCCTTATGGGGTACGTGTAGAGCCCCATCACCTGGGCACTTCCCTTAGCGCATCAAATAGGATGCATCGTCCGTTTTTCGTGTCAATGGTACTGACATATACCACCAGCTCGAACCACTGCACTCAGGCTTAACACAAACGTTGTCGTGGGATACCCTGAGAAGGTAGACGTCAGCCCGCGATGGCCGACCTCTCCGGAATACTATAATTCCTCCATAGTTGTCGACGGAGACGGGCAGACTATTGCGAACTATAGAAAGTCTTTCTTATACGCCATAGACGAGACATGGGCGCTAGAGGGCAAAGACGGCTTCTTTCAGGGCGACCTCCCTGGCTTGGGCCGGACCGCTATGGGCATCTGTGAGTTCAACTGGACGTTGGGAACTTGGGTTTATGCTAACAATTGTGTGTCAGGTATGGATCTCAAGTATGGACCACATCCGCTCGTCTCATTGCTCGTGAGATGTAATACTGACCGATGTCTTATTTGACAGTCCGTACAGATTCGAGGCTCCTTGGCACGCTTTCGAATTTGGTTTCCACATTATCGAAGTGCAGGCGGACCTGGTAATCATCAATATGGCGTGGTTGACGCGTGAAGACGGCCGCATGTTCAGCCGAATGCCGTCCGAGGTCAGTTTCTCCCAAGTTTCTGCTAATCATGTTCATGGTCACCTCTCTGGATGTGGATGAGAAAATTTACTGACGACGGACTCTGCAGCCTGATATGGAGACCTTAACTTACTGGGTCCAGCGCCTCGAACCAGTCATTCGTGCAGAAGGCGAGCATGAGATCATTGTTGTCTTCTGCAATCGCACCGGCTTTGAAGACGACGCAGTTTACGCTGGCACCAGCACGGTACTTGGTGTCGCGGACGGCGAGGTCAACGTCTATGGGATACTGGGCCGTGGCGTCAAAGATCTGCTTGTGGTGGATACAGACGACCCTCCTTTCGCCAAACTCGTTCAGCGGGCAGAAGGTGACACGGATACAGCTTCGGTAACTAGTGCACAACGCAAGCTGGAGAATGCTTCTAGACGGAAGCAGCTGAGCTCAACAACCACAACGGAATCGGCTTCTGCGGCACATCAAGGGCAAAGGAAGCCCACACCTACACCAGGTGCTCCAGAAAAGCCCAAGAAGAAAAAGCCGATGTCTCCGAGGATTTGCATACCAGAGAGGAGCCAGACCCAGTCGGCTACTCATGGCACGCCCTTCGAGGAGAGTCCGGGGGTTGCAACACCAACATGTCCCAGCCCAACGCCATTCTCGGACAGACCGATGGTCAATGTGCCAGGAAGCAGGCCGACCAAAGAGCATGTCAATACACCTTTTCCTCGCGATGATTCTACAGAAAGAGAGGTTCGGGCTTGGGCCGGACAGTTCTCGATCAATTCGCCACCCCCAAGCACAGAGTCTCCGAACCCCGACCACTTGACAGAGAAGTATTTCTGGCTGCCAACACAAAGCGCACTGAAGAGTCCCATGGAGATGAGGTTTCCTCAGCACTACCCACCTCCCGCACCCGCCGCGGTCACACCAGTCCCAAGCTCTCTTATCAGGATGCCGCCAAAGGAACGTCACGCAGCAAAATCCCCATCGGTTCCAAAGTCCCCAAGATCTATCAAGAGTGGCGGATCGGGCCAGTCGGGAAATCATGGACGTCAGCAGGAAAATGCATCAGGGCCAAAAGATGGAACCAATCAACCAGATGAGAATGCGCCGCCACGGCCTTCGTCGCCAAAATCTCGTAATGCCAGTCGAACAGGACGCCCCTTGGACCGTCGGGCCTCCGAGTTTGAGCAGCCAGATCTCTCGGATATGATCGACAAATTGGAGTCTCTTGTCAGAAGGCCTGGGTCAGCAATGGATTCTCGCCAAACTGACTTTGAACAGCCACGTCAAGGAAGGCCGCGTTCTCCGAAGTCCCGCAATGCGAGCCGCACCGGGCGACATGTTCAAACGCCGCACCTTGAAGGAAGGGCTGGCAGCATATCCCGTGCCGAGTACCCACTCACGGCCAGCCCTAGCATATTTGCGGAGATTACAGCTCGCCCTCATTCCGCTCTTTTGATGCAGGGAGATGCGGTAGCTGGTCGCGGTTCTTGTGACCAAGGGACTATCAGGCCCTGTCCTCGGGCCGGTGCTCAGTCAAGGAACAGGTCACTGAGTGGAGCAGGCATGAGCCATGCGCACTCTCGGTCAGGAAGCACTTCGCGTGTGAGCGCGGAGCCTGGCCCTCATATCGAGCCTGATGAAACCAGAACTATGGTGTGGTCCGAGCTCTCTAAGATTGTCGGAGAAGTACTCGATCGGCCTCAGTCGCGCGGTGCGAGCCGCGGAAGACAACCTGCTGCAAGCCGTGCCACTGCCGCGGGCGGAATGGGACCCAACAGGACTACACGTTCCGAGAGTCGAGGCCCGCAAGTTATCCCACGCATGGATCAGCGTTTTGCCTCCCAGGACCGTCGAGGAGTCGCTGGTCCCGCCAATGTACGGACCATACCGGCCCCGAATGGTGTCACTTTCCCGCAGTACAACTCAGATGACGAAATCGTTGCCGAGATCATCTTCCGCTCGCAAGGATGCCCTACTCATAGTCAGCTCAACAACCAGGGGCAGTCCACCCCCAGCCAAGCAGGCAATTCAAAGAGCCCCCCATCTTCACTACCGAGGGGTAACTCGTCTCAAGAGAATAGCACCAACTCGCGCTTGAGCCAGCGCAAGAACGGCACCCCCCAAACCCACAACATACAGAGGCAGGGCTCCTGGCCCTCGAAGCCCACCCACGACAGGCGACCTCCACAGCCGGACTCCCTCGGCGTCCACGAGAGCCCACTGGCACTGAGCACCAGGGGCCGCACCGAGTCGAGTGACTCATGCCCTACCATGGATGGCTCGTCTGTACACACGCTCACAACGCCCAAGGGCTCCCCTGCGACGCCACCATCCCGGTTCTTTGAGCCTACGACGCCGAAGGCGATGAAACTCGACCCAGACTTCAGTACTATCCTCACCTCTTCGTCCGACCCGGCTTCCAATGGTAATTTTCCGCACATTGACGCTCATGAGAATGAGCTGCTGCCAGTGGGTCTCGGACTTGCGAGACCGAGAAGTGCTGTCTGGTAGGAGGTGTGTATATAATATGAAGCACTCTTGAATGATGATACCAGGTGGCCACCGCGCCATTTTCTTCTTTTTAAGCGAGGAGTTCTTGGGGTGGCCTCGAAGACTGCTTGCTGAAAAATTCGGCGAGGTCCCATATGTCGTTGCGGTTTGGGAAGCGTTCTTTTATGTGCCTTTTTATGTGGCTTACCTCCTTTTACATCTTTTGGACTATGTACAATACATATGCAGTCATGATTCTTTCATTCCATTTAGGCTTTACTTTATTAAGCGTCTAGATTTATGCCTTTAACGGGAGGAGTCGCCAGTTTCTCCAACTAGAGCTGTTATCCTTCAATGTTGGCATGTTCATATTTACCTAATGCCGGTACATCTGAAATTCGTATTACACGAAGGCCGGCGAGGTGATGGATCAAAATGCATTTGAATGAGACCGGATTATGATGTATTGATCAATCATCTCATTTGAATTTGAAGTCTATCACAAATTGGAAACACCTGGGATGATTCGCCAGATGAGAAAGTTCCAACATTGTTGTTCGAAACTTCTAGTCGTGCTGGGCACAGCATGTAGATAGACAAGTGATTCCCGGTAAATACCCTAGGGTAGGTATTGTGGCAACATCTTCATACCTTCAAGTGTTAGCCTTGCTTAACTAGTTCCGCTTCTATTCCGTATACGTCCAAGGACTAATTGACATACATGGCGCCTCCAACATTTCCAGGTAACCCTAAATTCTTGCTCATGGCCTTGGTTAAATGCAGAAAGTAGTAAGAACTACTCCGCGGATGACCAGATAAGATCCCTCCCCTTCTGCACCTGCATTCGAGTGTCTATCCTTCAGGAAACACAAAGATGAAAAGTTTCACAGCTTGTAGACAGTCATGTCCATCTGAGTCTGCTTGGTCACCCAGCTGCCATGTACTTTCCACTCCTGCTTAGGGCATGCCAATGCCGCATCATATCGTCGATAGAACTCGAATACAAGCTTGGTCAACATTATCATTGCGGTGTTCTTCCCGATGCAGCTGTGTGCCCCCGCTCCGAACTATCACAGTCGCCCAGAATTAGTTCTATCTGCATTTCATTCCAGTGAGGCAAAGAATTCGCGGGAATTTTACTGCACTTACCGAAAACAAATTTCGGTTCATCTCGAGTCTTTCCTCCTGAGTTGCTTCAAGCCACCTCTCCGGTCGGAACTCATTGACGTCCTTCCCAAACACCTCCTCGCTGCGATGGAGAACCCATGCGTTGACTCCAACGATTGTTCCACCAGGGATGTAGTGGCCATCAATCAAGGTCCCCTTGCCCGGAACTTTTCGTTCGATGATGGTGCCAGTGTTAGGGTGAATCCGCAGCGTCTCCTGGATAACAGCATTCCTGCCCAAGAATGAGTTCATCTGTGCTGATAGAATAGCTTATCATCGGCACCGGATGACGACTTACAAATATTCGAGCCCCGACGCTGTGGAATATGTGACTACTGAGCCTGGCGGGCACTCAGTGCTCACAGTCTCGATTTCAGAACGCAGCTTCTTCAGCACGCGAGGATTGCGCGCAAGATAGTACCAGATTGCTCTCAAAGTGATAGCTAGAACGTCGTGCCCGGCCGTCCTGAAATAATGTTGTCAGCGCTAATATCTTCCCTTCACATGTCAGGTACTCACAGGTTTATAAAAATGGCAGCTATGATCTCTCTGACTGACACTTTATCCGGACTCTCCCGATGGAGATCCAAAAATCGACTTAACATGTCCGTCTGTTTTTCGAATGACTTCCTCCTGGTCTCCACCTCTTCCAGCGTCAACTAGCCAAAGTGTCAGCAATTAAATCACCTCTTGGCTACAGGATTAGATTCTGGAATACCTTCAATGCGGGTTCTGACTCTTCTGCTGGAGATAGTGATCGAAGTCTGCCCAGTAGCCACTGAAGAGCGGGTGCTTGAGTGAACTGACATACTCATTAGTGTGATAGTTCTGGCTGGAGGCAAAGCAACGTACCAATCCTACAAGGACGAAAATTTGGTCCGCTGACCCAATCATAGATTTCACGTCCTGGCCCGACTCCAAGAATCCCAATGGCTTGGACAGATTCACTGCACTGAGGCAATCGAACGCATAAAGATGCAGCCATAACGACATATCGAGTGTCACATGCCCGTTCGGTTTCGTTCGTTCTGCTAGTTGTCCAAGGAACAGACTTACGCACCGATCGATGTTAGGCTCGAAATCTTTGACTGCAGTCCTCGTGTAGAGACCTCCAATGTTGCGTTTCAAAGTGGCGTGACGCTGCACATCTCTGAGGGAAAACAGATTCTCCAGTGGCTCGTCGGCGTAGGTTGGTGCTCCGACCTCGTAAAAGTTTGACTGTGCACAAGATCAGCCGTCATCCATTCGGGGCTTGATTGATGTCAAGCCTCGGGTTTGGCCTTTTCATACCTTCGGAAATGCCTGCCTTGCAGTGTAAATAGCCTGGAAAGCCGCTGGGCTACTGAAAGAGACGTGGTTTGGGCCTATCCGCACTACGGGGCCAAATTTCTCGTGAACAGCAATATTCCATCCTGGCATGTCCTCTGCATACACAGCTCTGAGCTTCCAGAGGTTGGATATGCTGGCGGTGAAGGGCCCTGGGATGGACTTTAGATGTGCCCGGTATCGAGTACGCAATAGTTGCAGACAGCAACCCAAAATGATTGTTCCGAGTATTGCCGTATAGAATGCCATGCTGAATTCTTCAGTCAATATCGAGAAGTAATCACGGGTTCGGATTGCAGGCCAACAAAAGGCAGGCTATTCTCGTGAGTCGATCACTTTTTTGTGGCGGTTGAGCAAGAAGACAAGCTGATGCCGACTGTCTGTCTGTATTAACTCCCACTCGTGATGTATGATTGTCACATCAACTGAGTGCCAAGCTTTAAGGCACACGGGACGGACACAGGACGGACCCTGGAACCATCACATCCTTCTAGACTGTGCATGCTTTGGTGCCAAAACTAGCCCACCTTCGAATGGATGGCTCCAGGGCCTTGTCGGAGCGCACAAACCCTTGCAGCAGTACACCAGCAGATGAGGTAACCATCCTGGTCCCCATTCCTCTGATCATCGCCGCAGCTAGACTGCAGCAAGGATCGGAATGCCGAGAGTAGGTGTATCCGTACCTACAGGCGGCCAGATCTGTGACCAGGCCGCCTTCTTCAGCCTCAGTCATGGTGGCAGAGCCCACGCAGCAGCGTCACCTGTCTTACTACTCACTGTACTCCGCGCATTCCTTTGAACGCCCTTATCGAGCCTGACACTGGCTCAGAAGACGTCATCCCTAGGATCCTTTCAACCGGGAGCGAGACCCTACCATGCTGCTGTGACCAAACAACCTGGGAAAGTCTAGTGTACATCTATGTGCCCATGATTCTGGCCAGTCCTCAGCTCAGTTTGACCCACTTCTGCAAGCACATTCTCGATAAGGCGTGGTCAGGTTCGTCATCTCGACGACGAGGATTTCTAAAACCGGACTTATCCGTGTAACGCTGGAGCCTAGTCAATCTTTTAATGAGCTTTCTTGTCTACCACCATGTTCTCTTGACAATGCTACTGTGTGGACAATGTACGATGTACGGAGTAAGCCGCACTAGCGGCCATTGTTGCAAGGAACAGGGTGCTTACTTCGGCCTGCGACCCGTTGTGTCGACTGGCCCAGGAAATACCTCGGCTTCAGAGGACAGGGTTCTTCCAAGTGCCAGATGTGCCACTAACACTAGACCCAACGGTCCACATAGCCACACTGCGGTCAGCCATCGCCAACAGCCGCTCACTAATGAGCTACAGACCTTGGCCAGTACCTATTTGGGCTAAGACAGCTAATCGCTCCGTGGTTCCGAAGAACAAGGATCAGGAAGGATTTCAACGCGATGGGACTGGCATCAACTGACTGCCCTGGACTATCTATTTGTGGAAGTATACCCGTGAGACGAAGCTGGCGGTGGCTCGGCAAATTTCGGGGGCCGGCGCTTGGATGCGCTGATGAAGCGAATGTCTTGTGATAGAACTGTGCCACTGTGATGAAGTGGTACAGTTCTTGTTGGTTGGTCTTGGGTGAGGCTGATGAAGTTACCTATGGACATGGCTGTAGAGGTATATACTGGAAACTTAGACGTGCAACTCAACCATCAGGAGCTCTGCGAGAACAAGCGGACGGAACACCGTACCAGTCGAATCACACACTCAGCCATGTCTCGCAACACACTAGCCGGCTTCATTCACTCCATTCTTTCCTATCTCTTTCAGCTTCGCAATCACTCCTGGCCATGGTCAACAGCTCAGAGCGAAAGCTACGTAAAGGCAAAATCTCCATTGCCAGCTCCTATTGCGTTCCAGAACGTGTCCCTCGGGAAAGGATCCGCTAGCGAGCATCTAGACCGAAATGCAGAGTACTGGTGGGATTCATCCGGATATGCCTTGTCGGTTCTACTTGAGAGGGCAGGGTACACAGACCATGCACAACACAAATTGCTCGACTTTTTCTTGACCGTCATCCCAAGTCTGGGTCCTAGGCTATCATCTACGAGTCCCCCACGATGGAAAAGCTTCATGACAGACAATCACGTCCCCATCGAGCTGAGTTGGGACTGGCGAACGGACGGCGAGCCCCCCAAGATTCGATTCTCAATAGAACCGGTGGGAGTCCACGCAGGAACGCACCTCGACCCGCGCAATCAGTATGCTTCTGCCCAACTCCGGGAGACGGTGGCGCGGGTTCTACCAAATACGGATATGGAGTGGCTGGACCACTTCCAGTCACAGCTCAACGGCAAGGCTGTCAAGGACATGGCCGAGACAGTAGAGGGACACATGTCAAAAGAGTTCTATGCCTTTGACCTCAACGGCAATGGCAGCATCATGGCCAAGGCGTACTTTTTCCCCGGGTTCAAGGCGAGAGCAACGGAGAAGAGCAATTTTGATATCATCAGGTCAACTATCAGCACAGCGCCCGGCTGCTCACCAGACAAGTTGGAAGCCTTGGCTTGTTTCCAGTCGTATGTGCGTGATCCGTCGACGCCACATCTCGAGATGGACATGCTGGCCATCGACCTGGTCGGCCCGGTGGAATCTCGCTTCAAGATATATTTCCGCATCAGGGACACGAGCTTTGCGTCCATCAGGAACACAATGACCCTTGGAGGCCGTGTACAGACGCCGGAGATCGACCAAGGTCTGGGGGATCTTCGTCGACTGTACTGCACACTGGTGGGAGCCGGCCAGGGTCAAAGGCAGATGCAGATGATTGACGAGAACGTCCACACCCAAGACAAGGACCACCGCACAGCTGGAATACTCTACAATGTCGAGTTCAAGTACGGGAGCAGGAGTCCCAAGGTCAAGGTATACCTGCCTGTGAGGCATTTTGCGCTCAGCGAGGAAGGGATAATTTCCACGCTTGACGAACACTTCCAGCAGACGCAACGCTCATGTAGCTGGAGGACAAATATGCGCAACTACAGGGAGGCGCTCAGGACAGTATTGTAAGCGCTTCCTGCCAACCTTGCCATGAAGAGTCGTCTGGACACATTTAACTGACATTTTTCCAGCTCCGCGGACACGCTGAGGGCGCATGATGGATTGCAGACATATCTCGGCTGCTCTGTTAAAGGCAGAGCTGGGCTGCGGCTGGTGTCGTACATCAACCCTGGGGCGTCGCAGGGCACGGGAGGATGCGGTTGTGGCGAGCCCTAGCCGTGACAGGCAAACGGGCAAGCGGGCAAGACATTAGTGTAGGATTCACTCAGCTCGGGCGGGTCTCCGGAGTAGCGCTCGGCGAACAGGGGCAGAGGGGCTTCCGATCCTGCTGAGAGGCTTGGCAGTGCCACACCCGCAACGGGAATCCTCCACGGGGGTCCTCGGGCTCTGGCTGGCTGGTGGAGCAGGGGCCATGTTGGGCCCACGGTGTTCAATACTAGTGTATGTACTATATAGTAGTAGATCTCCTACCCGGCTCGGTACTCAAGTACCTACTCAATCAAGCAGGTAGTTCGCAGCCATCGAAACGCCCAGAGTCGACAATGTTACATGTGTATTAGGAGCCGGAATCCGGACCCATCAACAATTGCTGACTGCATGTGGCCGAGTGGGGGATCAGCATGCGTGTCCCACAGTAAGCCACTCATGGTCATTTTACACTACTATGTAGTACTTGGGGGCAGGACCTGGGACAAGGATTAAAAGTTAAATGTCAGCACGGCAGCTAGGCAGCCAGGCAGCCTTATATTGTGGTCACCAAAACAACGGAAGCCACCAATAAGTGGTATTAGCACTTGAGCTGAGAACCCGGCAGCCCTGGGTTGGCAGGTTGGATGCAAGCATCATTCGACTTCACGACACAGCTTGAGCGTTGCATCAAGAGAAGAGACCGACGACCCCGGCTGATGGGCTGACAGCATGTTCCAGGCCTCCAAGCAGTTGAGCCCACCGCTGCGCCTTCAGGGTGCACGCGAAGGATTCTGTCTAGTGGCAAGTCTGCGTTGCAATGGAAAGAAACCCCCATCACCAACGCCGGCTCCCTTGAGATATCATTGGCCATCCTCAGACATCATTTGACTATCATTGCTCGGCTGCCTACTGAAGTAGGCAAAGATATCATCAATCACACTTCATGCCTATGTAACCGGACAGCAACCAGCATTTGAACCCTGCCAACACGCCCATCGGTTCCCATCGGGTCCACTTCGGACGTGCACAGTGGTCCTTCACGGACATCTCCACCATGTGTGCAACAATAGCTTTTAAATACATACATCCAACACTCACACCGGCCAGACTAGGCTGACTAGCAGACTAGGCGCTTCCTTCCCGCAGTTTTAGCGCCAGGCAGCATCCATGCAACCAAGGATCTCCGATCCTTGTGGCCGGCCTCCAAGCGCGCTTGCACAGTATTACCCAGCACTACATAGTACTTTTTCGCGGGCTTCGGCGTCTGCTTGACCTCCCCTGCGTCCCTGCCAGCTGCCTAGACAATCGCCCATGCAACGATTCTTCTGGGCTGACCAAAGCTACTTTTTTTTTTTTTCCCACATGGATCGGGTGGTGCAAGTTCCATCCGTCGGGGTGATAGGCGGATAGATGCACCCCATCGGCGCCGTGATAGTCCACTCCTGCTTGGATTCTCAAGTGCTGACCACGCCCGTCCTAGCATATACCTGAGGGTGGGTACCTTTTGGTTTATTTTCCTTCAGTTGTGTCTGTTAGCTTCGCAGTCGTGTCTTCTGGTCTGTCTGCTGAAAACTTGGTGACTATTCCCGGGCACACACATCTTTCAGAAACTCAGCTTGCTGTGGCTACCAGGCTGTAGTCGTCACATACTGTATCAAATCCTGATCGGGAGCACTACACAGTAAACATGTCTGAAGTGGAGCAGTTCCCCCCTGGTTATCTGGAGGAGGACAACGGTCCACGAGTCATTGCGGCATGCACTGTCATTTTGGTCATAACCACGATCTTGTTCCCCCTCCGCTTCTATGCACGAAGCCTGACACCTGGCCAAAGATCATGGGACGATCATCTCCTCATACCAGCCTATCTTCTCCTCCTCGGCCTGATAGCAAGTGTATATGGTAAGCCAGAACCTCCCCTTCCCATACCTACGGTTTCCAGCAGACTCAAGCGCCATTGTCTGGGGCTCTTGCTGACCTTCACCAGCCGAGGTCGTGCAGGCCGGCCTCGGCAGGCATGCGGCGGCGGTGATGATGGAGGACCCCAGCGGTGGCATGATAAGCCTCTACCTCAAGCTGCTCTACATCCTGGATTGGTTCTACGTGCCGTCCAACATGCTGTCGCGCGTGTCGGTTGTATGCATGTACCTGCGCATCTTCACCGACAAGTGGGCCCGCATTGCCTGTTGGGCCGTCATGGCTTTCCTCGTCGCCAACGCAGTTGCTACCATCATCGCCGCCCAGCTCGAGTGCACGCCACTCGCTTATACCTGGGATAGAACCATTGTTGGCGGCACCTGCTTCGACCAGATCCTGTGGTACCAACTCTCCAACTTTCCCAACATCTTGGGGGACGTCATGATAGCCATCCTGCCCATCAAGACCGTTTGGACACTCAAGGCCTCGACAGCACGCAAGGCCGGGATTGCGACTGTATGCCTTACAGGCAGTATGTGAGTATCATCCTTCATCAACTACTCAGCAATGGGGTTCAATTTTGCTCATGTTTGATTACAGTGGAATGATAGCTTCCTGCGTCCGTGCCAGTGTGTTCTATTTGCAGGAAGACGTGATCAGGAATGACCCAACGTGTAAGTTTGCAGGCCGACACGTGTCTCCTAAGCAACCAGAGTGGAAAGCTGATCAAAATTAAAAGTCTGCGACGAGGCCTTCTCGTGGACAGTCATCGAGTGCGGCATGTACTTCTCGGCAGCCTGTCTTATCGGCATGCGTCCCCTATTTGCCAAGTTCCCGAACTTCCTCAAGACCCACTTCACCGCACCAAATGGCGATAACAGCGGGTGGAGGAGCACCTTTGGGCAACGCAAAACTGACAGGATGCGACTCCCGAGCCACGGAAGGAAGAGCCACTACTCGAGCATGGAGGGCGGCCAGGAGGATGCTGAGAGGGGTCTACGGCATCTGAGCGTGGACGAGAATGCCTCGCATTCGGAGGGAGGCATCCCACTGCCCGGGTACCATGTGCGGGACCCATACGCTGAGTTCGAAAGCGACAGGAGCGAGATACGCATCGAGACCGATATCGAGGTGAGACACGATAAGGGCAATTGGTTGTACAGAGGAAATGCTGGTGACCATGCGCAGGAGTATGTGTATAGCGTGCCTGTACGTGCAAACTAGGCAACTTGTCAGGATGAGGGCACTGTGGGTATTTTCCCTGCAGTCATCGGTGACTCTTTGAGGTTTGGGCTCGTGGACGACCAGTCGATATCTGAGCATGAAATTTATGTCAAGTTCGCACATGCATGTGTACATATGTATATAAAAACAAATAGTTTCCGTCGTATGTTCAGTCATGATAACCATCTTTGCGAATTAATTCCTATGATTGATTCGAAAGACAAAATCGGATAGACGGCTGTCTTTTTTTTCTACTTTTTATATATGTGAATCTTCCCTTTTGAAGAAGAAGAAATAGAAGTGAGTAAGGACGGCGGACATATACGAAGCCCACTGTGAAGGTTACTAATTAGTTGAGCAAGCAATGTCTTCATCTAATTCCATATGCACCTCTTGTCTACTAAATCTTCGACGCCGCTTCGATAGCCCCCTTGTGATCTTCTCCCTTGCCGGCAGACAACTTGGCCTGACGGTGTAACTGTCTCGGAGGCATACTGCCACTCTTGTTAATGGCCTGGCATCTCTTCCACCGGCTGTTTGGCCACCCCTCGTCATCGTTTTGCTTGATGTAGTAGCCCAAGTCCGCCGTAGGATCCCATTCCGTCTGCGATATACCATTTCCTAGGAAACTAAACCTGTTTCTAGTATATTTCATCTCCCAATCGTCCCAGCGTACCTCCCGCATCGCCTCGAGGTAGTGTAGAGTGCTCCCGGGCCAGGTTGTCGGCACACGGCCCCCAATACTGTGATTGTTGTGGGAATTCCGGCAATTATCTGTCCAGACCGCCTTGTCATTCATGAAATCCGCAACGTGAGCTTTGAACTCAGCGCAGACATCCGTCTTGACATGGAAACTGTTCAGCGCGGGTTCCGTCTGGTAGCGGTCGATAAACGAGCAGATATAATCGGCTTGAGCCTCGATAGCAATGAGGGTTGGACCGTTTGAGACGGGGGTGTAGGGCCCCAGCACTGGAGCATTTTCAGCTTCATACACTTCAACGTGAGCAGGTACAAAGGTCCGCTACTTACTGGTAAAAGTATTCGGGAACTCCGAGATGCCAACGCCCATGTATCCCATGATGGATTGAGCCCATTCGGTTTGCAGATTCCGGCCCGATGGCCCGTATATCGGATACCGAGATATGTAAGAAGTGTCAAAGCCAGTGGCGCAAATAGCAACATCGCCATCATGGCTGGAGCCGGTGTCGGTTATCACGCCAGTCTTGGTAAATCGCTGGATGCCGCTGTATACAACCTTGACGTTCTTTTCCTTCAAGGTCTTATGATTTGTATTAGATGGATGTTCAAGAGGGAATTGTTGGGGATTCACTTACTCGCAAGTACTTAAAACCAGACGGGATGACCCGCTTGCAGCCCACAGCAAACTTGGGTATCAGCTGATCCTCTGTAGCGAGATCGCCAACTGCTTTCTTCATTTCGACCTCGAGCAGATCCTTGCACTGTCTCTGCAGGACTGAGCCGCGGAGGTAGATGCTGAATATGCTGTTCATGGTTCTTTCATTCTCCTGCCGCAGCTTCATCACTGTCTGCGGTTCTCGCTTGAACTTCTCGATCTCCTCTGGGCTGAATTGCCCTGCCTCTGTGGAGATATCTGGCAGTACCCACGTAGGAGACCTGACAAAGACTGTCACGCTCTTGACAATGGGCTGGATCGCAGGCAAAATCTGCACTCCAGATGACCCGGCTCCGATGAGTAACACCTCCTTTCCAGCCAGTTGTATGTTCGTGTCATAGTCGGCGCTGTGAGTTTTGAGACCCTCAAAGTCATCAATTCCTGGGACCTTGGGCCAAGCTGGTTTGTTCAGATACCCGGTAGCGTGAACGAGAACGTGGCACCAGTCCTTGAACACTTCACCCGTGACCAGGTTCCTTGTCACAACCTCCCACCGTCCTTGAGTCTTGTCCTCTTTCCACGTTGTTTCCTCCACACAGTGAGACATCTTCAGATATTTCCCAAGACCAAACTTACTCACAAACCCCTGGAAATATGACTGAATCTCGCTCGAGCTTGCGTAGACCGAGGAGAAATCGGCCTTGGGCTCGAAAGAATAGACATAGTTGTGAGATGGAACATCACAGGCGCAGCCTGGGTACCTGTTCTCAAACCAGGTGCCTCCGACACCATGGTTCTTTTCATATATCTTTTCAGGACAAGCAGCTTCAGTATCACTTGGCTGATCGCTCCAGGCAGTCAAAGGGAGGTAAGGGCTCTCTTACAGTCAGGGAGTAATTTCGGAAACACTTTTGCAGTTTGTAGGCAAGACATAAGCCAGAGGCACCGGCTCCCACGCAGATGACCTTGACGTATCGTTCATTGTAGATCGCCTCTTCTCGTGGAGGATCCATGGCTGTTCAAGGGTCGGCACGCTTTTTCCCGGCTTGAATTGATGAGAAGAATATTTGGGAGATCAATCAATCCAGTGAGGATCCAAAAGCCCAAGGGCACGCATTTTGGGTGCTATTAAGACCTGGCAGAGAATAAGACCTGGCCTTAGAATGTCTGCCTGGGTGGAGCGTGATGCGATAGGTACACACGGTGTGTATGCAGAGAATCAATCCTTCGGCGTTGGCCCCCACCTAGTCTCCACTCGTGATGGCGCAGCGAGAGACAGCCCGATGTTACCCAACTAAGTGCGTGTTGGTGACACAGTGATTCTGATCAGGACAGCTGAACGCACATGCTTTGCCGGCCTTATTACTGCGCCGCAGGATGCGACGGCAGCCTGCTGTGCTAGATGCTCAACAGTTGCAAGCGCCAAGGGTTCCACCAATTGAAGTACCTGGGTACTTAAGTAGTGAGTACAGTGCAGCGCAAAGCAGGACTTTGGCCAGGGGCGATCGGGCTCCCAGCCCAAGCCTCGGAAGGGATAGACCTGGGTCAACGTCTGTAACTAAGCAGTTTGTGGATTAACAGGTCAATGTTTCACCCATTGAATACCTAGGTACTTGCTCATGTTGTACTTCTGATCGTACCGCCCACTAATAAACGAAAAGTACTAAAGACACATATCTTTCGCGAAAAAGCCGCGCATGTCCAACAATAAGCCGAATAACTATTTGCCCAGTTATCAACCTCCATCACCGACCAGCAAGTACACACCTCCTGGTCGTCTTGTCATTTTATTCCCCCTCTCTTGAACCCTCATTTCGTGGGCAGCACTACTCTTCAGTCTGCAAAGATGGCGGCAACATTTCTCATCACCGGAGCCAGCGGCTTGATTGGATTCCGCATCCTCCTCACTGCACTTGCCTCTGGCCACAACGTGCGCTACACCGTTCGATCTGAAGAGAAGGCCAAGGTGGTCTCCGAGAACCCTGCCGTCAAGAAACTTGGCGCAGGTGACCGTCTGGTGCCCCTTGTCATCCCGGACCTCGCCGTTGATGGTGCTTTGGACAGTGCTGTGCAGGGAGTGACACACATCATCCATGTCGGCTCGCCCGTGCCGGTACCAACCTTTGACCCTGTTACTCAGATCTATGAGCCTACGTGAGTACAGACAGACCAACCCATTGCCGTCCACTTTGCAGACTTTCAGTCAAAACCAGAACACGAGCACTAACTTTCATCAGTGTCCGGATGTCGGCGGGCATACTACAGTCTGCCCTCAAGTCACCCAGCGTACGCCGCGTTGTCATCACCTCATCCATTGTTGCCAACCTCAGTAAGCATGACACTTGTGCGGATTCGTCTAGTCTTCTGGCAGATTCTGGAACGGAATACCTGGGAGCACATAGCATTCAATTAACATATACTAGACCCTTCGCCAGAGGCATCGGCAGCGGTTGCATCTGCCTCAACACGTGTACCGCCGCCAAGCCCGGTCCCCAAGACGTTTGACAATGTCATGGAGGCCTATGTAGTCGGCAAGCTGGTTGAGATGCGAGACACGGACAATTTCGCCAAGGACCAGGCCAAGAGTCCACACTTCACCATCTCGCATGTTGTACCTGGCTATGTGTTTGGTCGCAACGAGCTCGCGCTTGATACCGGCATGATGCAGACCCAAAATAGCTCCAACAACTTCCTGATGGTTGGCCTCCTGGGTGGCGAGCTGCCATTTCCTATCCACGGCGGCTTCGCCCATATTGACGATGTGGCCGAGATCCACGTACGTGTGGCTCTTGATGAGGCATATGCTGGCAAGGATGTTGGCATTGCAACAAAGGTGGACTATGCCACTATTTTCGACCAGATCAAGGATAAGTACCCTGAGGCTGTGAAGTCAGGGATATTCAAGAAGGGAGTAGTTCCTACACTGCCAGTCGAGTATGACTCGAGTGATGCGAAGGGTATCCTAGGCGAGTTGAAGAGCTTTGAGGCTGCCGTGTCGGATGTGGCTGCTCAATACCTGGAACTGCTGGAGAAGAAATGATGGCCAGGTTGGCCTGAGGGTAGATTGGCGGGGAGCACACGAGGCCAGATCGTGACACAACGCACCCTATGAAATGAGATATGCAGCTCGTAAACTGGAAGACTACCATTAAAAACCAATTGATTGCCTTCAATGCTCACTTGGGAAAGTGCATACATGGTTTTGTGCACCAAGTCAGCTCTCGGAGTGAACTCCCAAGTAACAGCAGCCTTGGAATTTATGCATCATACTGAGCAGAACACTTCCAGTTTGTAGATAATGCTTACAATTTCATGTCGATACCAAAGTCGCCAGAGAGTTCAGACCAAGGTCGTAGTCCCAGCACAGCAAGACATCGGCCTTGGAACAATTTCCGTTCTCATAAATAATCCCTGGTGGCCTCACTCTGTGTCCGTTCACAACACACTCATCCATCAAAATAGGGTATGCAGTCACTTTGGCCCCCTGGGAGAATGATGGAAAGATTGTTTATTTCAGCTACGGAATGAGTGCTGCATTCACAGAATGTCTTTTTGCGGGCGCGTCGAGCAGCTGCCCTCTTCCATCTCAGATTTCACTGAGCAGATGGCTAGAACCAGCTGCAAGGGCCACGCGTAATCGACCATGTACTGCGGACTGAAAATTTGAAGTTGACTAGACTACTCAAGTATCTAGTCATGATGTGACATGCACGACTTTAGGAGCGAGGGAACTGCTAGTAAATGAGGGACGGTGAGGATAACATGATTATTCCGGCAGTGAACATTTGAAGCACAGGATTTAGAGTATAGCCGGGCATAGTGAGGATGGGCTGATGATGATAGCTGGCCTGGCCACATATAGAGCTGCTTGTGAAGTGAAGTTATTCAGGGTGAGGCAAATGGTTGTCGGGTGGTAAAGGTAAAGCAAGCCTCATTTGATCTTGGCGGCTAAGGATTGGTGTCGGTTGGCTAGTGGAGGAACCAGGCGGCAGGACGGGATCTGACAGAATGGAGTACGGCTATTAGCCCTGCCGGCACTTGGGAGCAGCCCGTGTGGGAGCCCGTGTGTCTGGGTCTTGCAAGGCACGCTCCTTCCCGCCCCTCCACCGCACCCAATCAATTCGGGCGCCCGGGACGACCCTGACGGGCTTGACGTGTCATGAACATGAAAACCTCAGGACCACCAGCAGCGCTCTGGAGGGCTGCGCTGCACGGCCCAAACCCTCGCGCCCTAGCAGCCCAACCTAAAAAGGCCCCCGTACCCGTGGCACCCGCGAGACCCCTTAGCTTGTTCGGCTATAAGCTTCGCGCTAGGCCCCGGCGCCAGAACCTCTCCGTCGTTCCTGTCTCTGCGTCGCCGTCCTCGCCCGCGCCCAAAGGTCGGTGTCAAGGGCAGTCACTGCACTTCCACCGCCTCGACATCACCTCGCTGACACGCAACAGGACGCCCCCCAAAGTCCAAGATGAGGATCGGGTGCTTGCAGTTCGCTCCCCAGGTCGGCGACGTCGACGGCAACCTGAGTCGAGCCGATGCCGTCCTCTCCAGGGCCGACCCCGACGAGCTGGACAGCCTGGACCTGCTCGTCGTCCCGGAGATGGCTTTCAGTGGTGGGTCCCAGCATCACTTTCTCACAGTCGCTTCAAGTCCTGCGGCCCTGTCCCGCCGGGGCACCAGTCTGACCACCAGTCTGACCACAACCGCACAGGATACAACTTCACCTCACTCGGCCACATCTCCCCCTTCCTGGAGTATGCAGGCACCGGCATCAGCTCACTGTGGGCACGATCACGAGCCCTCAAACACAACTGCCATGTCGTTGCCGGCTTCCCAGAGCAGGTCGATGTCTCCGACAGGTGGCCCACCTCGCCCGAGTACTACAACTCCGCCATCATCGTCTCCAATGAAGGCGAGATGATAGGCACCTACAGGAAGCACTTCCTGTATATGATCGACGAGACTTGGGCCTTGGAAGGGCCCGGATTTGGCAAGGACTACATCCCTGGCCTTGGCCAGACCGCAATGGGCATATGTGAGTGCTCATACCATACTCTGCGTGGGAAACAAGGGAACTGACGCATCATCCCTAGGTATGGATATAAACCCTTATAAATTCGAAGCCCCGTGGCATACCTTTGAATTTGCCTTTCATGTTCTGGAAGTTCGAGCAAATTTGGTCATCCTGTCCATGGCATGGCTTACCAGAGAAGAAGCATCAACCTTTTGCGCAAAACCGGACGAGCCTGATATGTAAGTCATCGATCCAACTGACACCGTGATGAGGGCATCTCGACAAGCTCTCAGATTCTGACCTCGCGTCACAGGGAGACCTTGACTTACTGGGTGCAACGTATGGAGCCCATCATCCGCGCAGAGAACGACGAAGAGATCGTCTTCGTCTTTTGTAATAGATGCGGTATAGAGGGAGACACGGTGTATGCAGGAACGAGCACCGTCATCTCCATCAAGCAAGGAGAATGCCGTGTCCATGGCTTGCTCCCGAGGGGCCGGGAGAGCCTCCTCGTTGTCGACACCGACACTCCACCCCTTGGCAAACTCATCAGCCGCGCAGATGCGGACGCTGAATCAGACTCACCCCTTGAGGATTCCTCGGTGCAAACGGCGTCCTAGGGTGGCATTCGTCGAACTGGGTCCCCTGACGAAAGATATGATCTCGATCCCATGTACCGCCGCAAGCATGCGCTATGGGAATCTGTGTCTCATACTCTGGATCGCATGCAAATTGTCGATACAAGATCTTGCAGCATCAGAATGGGCAGAAAAGTCAGAACCTTTCACGTTAGGCCTAACAGCCAAGGCCCTCTCATCTAATATGCATGTTACCTGTGAGTTGCCTGTCTCGTATCGACAGCTCTCTCTCACACCCTTGGATGTGTGATGGTTTTCGAGGTATTCATCCTACGGTACGGTTTCGCTGACTCAGTTTGGAAGGGATGTTTCTCGTTCGTACAGGTAGATACAAAGACGGCCAACAAGCCGTGACAATCATGGCCAGGGATGGAAACATCCTGCCCGTTCCTGAGGCACAGGTGACTGGACGAATGGTCCCGGGCTGGGTTGGCTATTCGCTTTGGGCCGCAGACCAACAACAAACAGCTGGTTCGCCGAGGCTTCACGAACGTCATTCCTGGAAAAGAAGCCGACACCGACGACCGAACCCAGTGGCGATGGACCGAAAAAGATGGATGCAGGAACTTGACCATGGTCATGAGTGTCTGGGCCGACAGGCGGCGGTTAGCATCACGGCCGCGCTTAAGCTGGGCAGACGGTATGCACGGCCGGGCGAATGCTGAGGAGTGGCAGAAATAAGGATATGCGTCGTACGAGGAGGATCTTGATGCAGCACAGAGAGTGGGCCGAGAATGTGTAGCTCGCTACAGCTTGTCTCTCGCCGACGCCAAATTCTTCGACCACGCCTGGACTGCATTGCTTACTGTGAGGCAAAGGAAGGTGCCCGCAAACTTGAGATTGCGTTGCAGAGCTTAGCGCTTCCTCGTGTCATTACCCACACTTCAATCCCAGGTCTTCAGACTGTCGATTCACAGCGCTGACAGAAACTGAAGGAAGGAGTCCCCCTCAGCCAGTCAGCGAGTATCGATACGCCAAGTCAGGCTCGAAGCACGGCAGAAGACAAGACCTGTTCTTTCCCCCACGATACAGCCAAAAGACCGAATCAACTGACCTCGTCACCCTGTCGGTGAGATCTGGTGATCCCCCGATGATTCGGCACGAGGACCTGCGTGAACATGGGTTTCACTAGCACTGCAAGCACCATCACTCCCCCAATGCGTCCCAATAGAACGGCGCTTCGAGGTTCACAACAAAGGAGTACATGCCATGCCAAAGGAGAAATGGTCACGCAGGGGGGATGCGTCGTGCCAGAACCGGCTGGTGCCGAGGCAGATTGATTGTCGCGACGTGCTTTGCGGGGGTAATCAAAGCCAACGCAGGAGAGAGGGTTGGTGCTGATGGATAATATTTTGGGGGCCGCTGTAAGTGGCTGGGATGGCAAGGGCCAACCCGCGGATAGCCCAATGAGATGTTGCAGATCTGCGAGATAACTGGGATTTCCTCTGGGGCTTAACTTCTTTGGGTAGGACAAGGTCATGGCTGGCGCTTGCGGCAGACGGCAAGAGGGTTGAGAATGCCCAATCACGGCCCAGGGGCCCCAGCCTCCCCCAACGAGGACCCGGAAGGATGTGAAGATGTGCAGGGGACCTTGCATCCGCATCGCATTGCGGCAGGTGATATTGAAGCTTCTTACTCCTCTGACTGGCCAATTCCTTGTGCCACACCCAAGCTTTTTACAGCACAATGGCCTGGTTCGGGGCCCTCGAGTGGCCGAGTGTTGGTAGCCCGAGGGGCAGAGGGGGGGAAAGGTGTGGCAGGCCGCGCCGAGGTCACGAACATCCGGGCCTCGCTGCCATTTGCAGAGCTGAAGGAGCCCGCCCAGGGGGCCGATGACACCTCAGCCCAATCGGTGGAACGTCGTCTTTGCTCACCCTGCATTCTCAAAGAGTGTGGAGCCCCTGCTGACTGGCATCCACTGCGGGAGTCTGTGTTTCTTGGGTCGGCCCTTGGTCTCCTCTCCACCGCGCGCGCCCGACTTTGCCTCGATGTCACACCAGATCACATTCCTAGATCGATTTTCCACCGCACCTCACCGTTAAATCACAGCACTCGCCTGTAACGCTGGCGCTAAAGTCTCTGACAATCACCAACATCCAGGAGAACCAACACCGTTTTCCCGGGTCCAGGAGGGCTCGGCAGAAGATTTAATATCGCTCGCCGCGCAGGGCGTCGGTGATCTGGACCCCGACCATCTCTCCGCGCTGAACAAGCGTCATGCTCACGGTCGCACCGCAGCGGAAGAATCCCATGTGGCGATAACGGCACCCAAGCTTTTGTGTCTCGCACGCCGCCTTTACTTATTCGGACCCCGCATTCTACCCTTGATTGCTTCTCTCATCGCGCACACACCCTCGCTACCACACACCAAGATCAACCACCAGGCAATATGAGGCCCGCGACGGCTAGGCTGGCCGTGAGTGCGGCGCTCGCCAGCTCGGCGGCTGCTCTACTCGTCACGCCGGACTCGCCGTGCGATACCCAGTGCGGCAATGTCCTCTCCGCGACCACCGGGTCGGACATGGAGTGCGACCAGAACAACTTGGGCAGCGCAGCAGGTACCGTGTTTAGAAACTGCATGAATTGCGAGCTCGGCAGCAAGTACTACAGTACCGAATTAAATCAGACCGATCAACAGTGGTTGTTATACAACTCCAGGTTCGCGGTCTCATACTGCGTGTTCGGTGACCCGGGCAATGAGGACATTGGCGACAGCCCGTGTGTCACATCGTGAGTAACATCCTATCGCCGCTTCGGAGGAACACACGGGTTAACATCAGCGTTCAGACGAGCTTGTGGTGTCCTCAAGAATGCCATCCAATTTGGCAATTTCAGCACAAATGTTGGGGCATACGACTACTGCCAACACTGGGACTTTAGCGAGCTCACGAACGGATGCGAGCAGTGTTTACGGGCCAGTGACGACGACCACCTGGCCAATATGATTGCGCTGCTCCAGGTTGGTTGCCACCAAAAGCCTGTCCCCGGCACGACCGTTGCCGTCGAAGGCGGCATATTCTCCACCACCTTGCTGCAGGAAGGGACTCCGACGCCGGACAGCAGCTGGGTCGACGACACCAACTCGGGCCCGCTCTCGCTCGGCGCAAAGGTCGGCATCGCCATCGGCGGCCTCTGCTTTGCCCTCGCTGTGGCCGGGTTCTGCATCGTGTGTAATGGTCGGCGGCGCCGTCGCGCCTACTTGCGCAAGCTCGAGATGCGGCAGAAGGATGCCGGGTGGCCGCACCCCGGTGGAGGTGGAGGAAGGGGAGGTGGCAATGGCAGCGGTGGGGTGCCGGCTCGCGGGCCGGACATGAACGAGACGCCGCTCAGCCAAAAGCCGCTGCGCGGGTGGGATGATTCGCCGCTGTCGGCGACGGCAACGGATACCAGCTACGGGCGCTACTTCTCCCCGTACTCGTCCCAGTACAACAGCCCCGTCAGCGCGGCCGGCACGCCTGCCATCATGGCGCAGCAGTGGCCGAGCTTCCACGACCACCTGTCGCCTCAGGACTACCACAACCCAGGCCACAGCTTCCCATCGTCCGCCCAAGAGAAGGCCATGCAGGACCAGCATGAGGCCGAAGCGGCTGCCGCCGGGCCGTCGAGTCAACAACCCATCCACATAGGAGTTGCGCTGGGTGGTGACGAGCCGAGCCTGCGGACGGAGCCGTCCAACCCTAGCTTTCGGGACCAGCGCGGGAACGGCAACTCGACCGAGGAGTACGAGCTGCACGAGGTGAGCAGCGCCGGGGGCAGCAGCGCCGGAGGCCCCAACGCGCCCACGATCGGGCACAGCGATAGCTTCAAGAACAGGTTGGCCAGGGGCAACGTCGCGCCGGTGCTGCAGCATCCTGGGTACGGGCGTTATAGTCCTGATAAGTTCCCACCCCCGCCGCCGCCAACACATGCTTAGGTTGGCGGTGCAGCCGGCTGGGAGGACAAGATTTGGACAGAGCCCGTGGTGGATACCATGGGGCCTTAATTGGTTTGATTTGCGGATGTTTCTTGTCTTGTTAGCCTGGAGTTTGGAGTCCAGTACCTAGTGTCTTTAGCAAATAATTAATTAAGCGTCAATACAATCAATCAAAGCATCACAAAGCTCACATCAATATCCCACAGACGACAACATGGTTCCCCACAAGAGGATACCACAAAGTAGGGATCTAAAAGGAGAGTGGTAGAACAATTTGTCACTAATAGCCATGGGGTTGTCAGCCTCGGCCCTCCTAATGGCAGCCTTAGCCATGCCTCAGCTAGTCACTACAGCAAACTAAAGTACCTTACTATATATAAAGAGACTAAATATCTACACTTATAAATATAAAGATATACTTAAGTCTATTAAATAGCTATTTATAAACTATTTATATTTTTTAATTCTATTATTAAATTAAAAATAAATAATTAAAGTTTTTTAAAAAAATAATATAATATATTTTTTAAAAATTAATTTAATTAAATTTATTATATATATTTTTTTTAATAAAATTATAGTTTATATTTATAATATTATTATTATATATTATTAAAAATATTTTATATATTAAATTATTAAATTATATTAATTTAAATTAATATTATTAATTTATTAAAAATTAAAATTATTATAAATTATAAATTATTTAATTTAATATTAATAAATATTATTATATAAAATATTAAATTAATTATATAATTTAAATAAATTAATAAAAAAATATTATTTTTAATTAAAAATATATATAAATTTTAATTTTATATAAATATATATTTATTTATTAACTTTAAAAATAAAGTTATTTAAAAATAATTATTTAATTTATTTTATTTTTATTAAATTAAAATATAATTTTTAAATAAAATAATTATTTTATTATTATAAATAATATTTAAATTTATAATTATAATAATTTTATTATAAATAAAAATAATTATTAATAATTAAATTTATAATTATAAAAATAAATTTTATTTTTTAAAATAATTAATATTTAAAATAATTAATATATTTTTAAAAAGTAATAAATTATATATTTAATTTAAAATATATTAAAATTTATAAAAATTTTAAATTTAAATTTAAAAGTTTTAATTTAATTAAATATTTATAAAAATAAAAATAATTATATTAAAAATAAAATAAAATTATAATAAAATAAAATTATTAATTAGAAATTAATTAAAAAATTATATTAAAAAATAATTATTTATATCTTTAAATATTATTAATTAATTCAATAATTAATTTAATATTTAAATAAAATTAAATAAAATTAAATAAAAAAATAGAAAGGTAGGAAGGGAGGAAAATAAGAAGATAGAAAGATAGAAAAGTAGAAAGGTAGAAAGGTAAGAAGGTAGGAAGGTAGGAAGGTAGGAAAATAGAAAGATAGGAAGGTAGGAAGGTAGGAAGGTAAGAAGGTAAGAAGGTAGGAAGGTATAAAGGTAGGAAGGTAAAAAGGTAGAAAAATAGGAAGGTAAGAAGGTAGGAAGGTAGGAAGATAGGAAGGTAGAAAGGTAGGAGTCTGGACTATCTTACTATAGCTTCCATTTACGCCAAAAGCAATGAAAGGGGCTAACAACCTGCCGCCATCTTTCCGGTGTGAATGGGGGCTTCAACCGCCGAGAACAACAACCACAAGCCATGCGAGCAAAAAGAGGCGAGCAAAATAAACGGGCTCAACCGGGATTTGAACCCGGGGCCTCTTGCAGTGCGCGTCACCCAAAGCAAGAATCATACGACTAGACCATTGAGCCGGTGTTGTGTGTTGAGGATCCGGAAGGCGAATCTATAGACCGTGGGTGTAGCTCGGCGCGCCAGTGCGGGACCGAATCGGGCTAGGCCGCCCGAAGCCGCTAGGCCGCCCGAAGTTGAGTTTTGCGGTGGCCCGTGCTCCCCCACAGTCAAAAAAATTTGGGAAGCATGATGAGAGCTTCTTAGCACCCGCGGAAAACTTGGCCGTCCAATTCCCTCTCCTCCCGTCACGACATCTACACCCCAAGAAGGACAGCCGGTCCTTTTCTCCACCCTTTACAAACTACTCCTTTGGCTTGATTCGTTCCTGTTTCTCGGATAATCAGGATGGCGGACAAGGTTGCGGCCAAGGCCCAAGAGGAAGAGCATATCATCAAGCCTCAGGCGACGACACCAGCCGCCGACACGAGCGACTGGCCGCTGCTGCTCAAGAACTATGACAAGCGTGAGGATGCAACCAGCCAGCCGAATTGAGGATCTGGCGTGCAAATTTTGCTGACAGGCGCGTAGTTCTGGTGAGGACTGGGCACTTCACACCCATTCCCCATGGCTGCAAGCCTCACATGCGAGACATCAAGAGCTACAGTATGTCATTACCCACTACCCACCTGTGATGCCCGTCACCGCTCCAATTACAGTCTTGCTAACTTTTGACAGTCTCTTCCGGTGTCATCAATGTAAGAACTGACCAGCCGCTGATCCAAGACCAAACCCACTGACATCATTCTCCCGCCCAGCTCGACAAGCCCTCAAACCCCTCCTCCCACGAAGTCGTCGCGTGGGTCAAGCGCATGCTCCGCGTTGAGAAGACCGGCCACAGTGGCACTCTCGACCCCAAAGTCACAGGATGCTTGATCGTCTGCGTCGACCGCGCCACCCGCCTGGTCAAGTCCCAGCAGGGAGCCGGAAAGGAGTACGTCGCGGTCGTCCGATTCCACGACAAGGTGCCAGGCGGCCAGGCCGAGTTTGCACGCGCCCTTGAGCTGCTCACCGGCTCTCTGTTCCAGCGCCCTCCCCTGATCTCTGCCGTCAAGCGTCAGCTCCGTATCCGAACCATCTACCAGTCCAAGCTCATCGAGTTCGACAACGACCGCCACCTCGGTGTCTTCTGGGTCAGCTGTGAGGCCGGCACGTACATCCGGACGCTCTGTGTCCACCTGGGTCTGCTGCTTGGTGTCGGCGCACACATGCAGGAGCTGCGACGAGTCCGTTCTGGTGCCATGGACGAGAACAAGGACCTGGTCACGCTGCACGACGTGCTCGATGCCCAATGGCAATACGGTGAGTTACATGCGCGGCACATGCGCGGCAATCCCTGGGTGTCTGACTACGAGACTGACTGGGGACAGACAACAACCGTGACGAGACATACCTGCGAAAGGTGATCCAGCCCCTCGAGACCCTGCTCCTCGGCTACAAGCGACTGGTAGTCAAGGACAGCGCGGTGAACGCCATCACCTATGGTGCCAAGCTGATGTTGCCTGGCCTGCTGCGATACGAGTCCGAGATCGAACAGCACGAGGAGGTTGTCCTGATCACCACAAAGGGCGAGGCCATCGCTATTGGTATCGCCATGATGTCCGCCGTCGAGATGACCACCTGCGACCACGGCGTCGTGGCCAAGGTCAAGCGTTGCATCATGGAGCGTGACCTGTACCCTCGCCGATGGGGTCTCGGCCCCACGGCCGCAGAGAAGAAGAAGCTCAAGGCCGACGGCAAGCTGGACAAGTACGGACGACCCAACGAGGCCACCCCTGCCAAGTGGACGGACTCGTACACCGACTACAGCGCTGCTGGTGCCGAGGCGGCCGCTGCTAAGCCCACCGAGGCCGCTGCTGCCGACCTGCCCCAGACCGTGGCGCCCGCCGCTGTTGTCGCGGAGGCTCCCAAGACCCCAAAAACCCCCAAGGATGAGGGCGTTTCTGACAAGAAGCGCAAGAAGCACGAGGGCGAGACGGCGGAGGAGAAGGCAGAGCGCAAGCGCAGAAAGGCCGAGAAAAAGGCCAAGAAGGCGTCCAAGGACGAGGATGACAGTGATTAAGCCCGTGGCTGCATATCCATCCCGAACAAGGAGATTCTTGATACCATTATATCATCATGGCTGGAGTAAAGCCACCCGTCCACTTGGAGTTTTTTGCTGTTGTAGTATCACGGGAGGGGTTCATCAAAAAAGGGCGTTCAGGAGGGTGGTATAATATTTTTGCATGGACATCGCTTCCTTTGGTTGGGAGAGGCAGTTAAGTTCAGGCCAGCCTGCGCTTGAGGGCAAATGCACAAGGGAAAAGAAATCAATTCTTCAAAGTGTGTCGGAGGATTGCATCCTCGCAAGTGAGACTTGTGGTCGAACGAGCCTCTGGGGCCGGGTTATCCATGACTCGATAGGCGAGGCTGAAGCTCGATAAGGTTCACGATGCCGGCGGCTGTTGCATGCCTGCGGAGGGGATCTCGAAAAGCTCGGGACACGAGGCCATAGCTCCCACGAGGTCCCAAGATAGAATTCTCGGCCGAGGCCCAGACCTCATCAGGGAACGCGCCGTCCGTCGTGAAAGTCACTCTGTCCCCGCCAGCTGCGAGCTACTTGACGGAACAAGCGTTAAACAGAAATCGGTTGATTGGGAGACATACAGTATATGACTGTACTGGGCGCACCAAATGGGAGCAAGCGGTCATGGCACGCGGATGGCCACATGCACCCACATGAGCAAATCACTGTTATTCCACACGCTTGCGTGCTCAGTCCACCCTTTTAAAACCCATTTGGTTTCCTCGTGCGTACTGTGCTCTGACTTTTGGGCTCCTGGGTGCGTGAGCACGTTTGACCCGAACCTCTATGGCGGTTTCTGGGTGGTAGCGTCGTCCATTTCTGGGACGGAAACAATACAGAAAAATGTCGCAGTATTGGCCGCAGTACCCAAGCCAATGGCCCGACCAAGAGGGGCATGGTATGTACACAGAATAAATGACAAGAAGTTTTTGGAACAATCAGGGAAACGAGAGAGAACAGAGCAGAACATGTTCCGGGTCAAAACGTCGTTCGCGCCCCCCCCCCTTCTGTGCCCCTGAAACTCGATACTTGCGAGTCCACCGTTTCGAAGGGCAATATTTTGAACCCCCCACCAACCCTTCGTGCCCTTCCTATCACGAGATAGTACGCCGTTCGCTTACGCTGTCTGCACGCCCACTTGTGCAAAGTGAACCACGCTTCAAGTTTCTCCAGAAGAGTCCCCACGGCGTTCGCAGAAGCCTGGGCGCAAGACAGTTTTGCACCAAATGCCTCGTCATCCGCTCATCCTGGCCACGACAGCCGTCGACTGGGTTGCATTACGAGCCGGGGTTTACGACACTGCCTCGATGTGCGCATATGTCTTTAATTTTACAGTTCGGCACTCGAGTCCTGGGCGCATGTGGCCAGACACAGTCGATGTGTCCAGCCTCGGCCTGTACGCACACTCGCACAAGGGGGGGGGGGACGTCATCTTGAGGGACTGCATTACATTGCCACGGAGGTTCGAGCGGATCGTCCCATAAGTTTCCGCTGCGCTCTCTGTGGCCGTCATCAAAAGATTGGGCGGACACATCCGCATTCGATCACCACAGGCTCGTTGACGATGGGTAGCGACAATGGTTTGCGAACTTCACAAAGGCGGAATAGACTGCATCGCGGAGAGGTAGCTAGGTGGGGATCCGGACATCTGAATAGACACCACTGCGCACTAACACGAGTGTTATGATCGACCGGAGCGTCATAGGAGCACTTGAGCACAGCATCAGATGGTTTTGTTTCGACTGGTGTGGTGACAGGAGCGACACTAGCCTGTCACGTCGTGCAATACGGAGAGCCCATCCGATGATAGAGAAGGGGTGTTGGGTGTCAGAAAATTGGGGTGCGCTATGTAAGTTGGAGAAGAAAGTTTCCCAAGGATCGGGATGCGTAGAGTTTGGAAATTCTCCGACTCGGATCTGGATTCCTATGCGGCTCCTGCACGCAAAGTGAACGAACGCACGCCACGCCCTTGAAAACAGATACCCATGACGGAAAGCGGGTCGCCAGAGAGCGAGATATCGGAGGTGAGGCAGCCAACGATTTCGAGAATAGAAACAGAAAAGAAGAGAAAAAAATCGACATAGACTAGGTACCAAGGGAGGGGATGGGGAAAGACCCGCTTCCCACCTTGGAATCCTTCTAGAAAGGAGGAAGGCGTGCAAGGACCACAGTATACCTAGGCACCTAGGTATAGTAGGGAGATCTTACCCACCGACCAATGGTAGTGCAGAACATCACAAAATGGAAAAAGTACAGAGCAAAGGCTTGAAGACCTCATTTCAGCAGAGCCTCAGGAGGTCGAAACATGAGGGTAGCGGGACCCGCCAGCATCAAAAGGGTGGGCGGGCCGGGCGGCGAGGTGCCCACCCGAGCAAGTCACCCGCGAGTGAGAGCAGGGGAGAGCACAGCTCCTTGTTACCCGTCAGTCGTCAGATCGGTCCGGCTTTTTAAGAGCAGGCAGGGCCAGCCTGGTCCATGGGGGCCTGGGCACGGGCTGTGGTTCAAGGGATCGCATATGCCCAGGTCCTGTTCGCGTCCGACACTAGGAGCTCACATCCTTGGGACCTTTATGCCCCCACCTGTCGCAAGTACGGACGCCTCAGACAGCCCAAGTCGGGATGAACAGCCAGACTCGCCAACGGGGAGAAGTTCCAGCATGCACGTAGTGGCCGTGGGCAAAGGCCTCGAGATGGCAGGGTATGCTGAGAAGGGACTACGGTCGCTCGCCGAAGGCTCCTCCTGTCTGTCCGTGCCCCCAAGCTGGGCACCTGGGCAGTAATATAAAACCATGGGCAGCAACTGCCCACCCCCCGCGAGATGTCGTGCAAGTATCGCATGTCTCTTTCTGAAGGTCGTTCTTGCATATGAGACAGACAGTCACGTCCTCACCTCTGAAAAGCCAACATACGTCCACACACACACACGCACACACAATCCCAGATCAGGGCCGAGCGTCGTCTTCAAGAGCCCTGTCGTCGAGGACTCATTTTAACGCAACAGTCTCTCTCGACTTGATAGATACTCGCCCTCGGCGACCTCTCATTCCTACCTAATTAGACATTCGTTCGCATATGAGAGCCCCTAATCGATCCCAATCCCTTTCCCAATTTTCTTTCTTGGGGCAATCATGATCTCTTTATCAAAAGCATCCTTGGGCGCCGCCCTTGTCAGCCTATCCACCCTCTTGGCTGAACAAGCATCTGCCGCACCCACGGCCGCGGCCGGACTATTCTTCATGTGGGATGTCTTGGAGCCCAAAGAGCCTTCAATAGCCCGGGACTTCCCAGACCCAGCAATTATCCAAGGCGGGGACGGCTGGTATGCCTTCGCAACAAGGCCGATCGGCGGGAGCCAGAGGAACGTCCAGTGGGCAAAGGCAACAGACCCTGAAGGCCCATGGACTTATATTGACTCAGACCTCTTGCCTTCGGCGGGCGCGTGGCAGGACAACAACAACGTCTGGGCCCCAGACGTTCGCCAGTTGGCCGATGGGACGTACGTCATGTACTACGCGGCGCAGCTGCTTAATAGCACACACCACTGCATCGGAGCGGCCACCGCGGCAGACGTCGAAGGGCCGTGGACAGCCAAGGACGAGCCATGGGTTTGTGACCTCGAACAGGGCGGGTCGATTGACCCTTCCGGATTTTACGACGAAGAGACAGGCCGGCGGTTCGTCGTGTACAAGATCGACGGTAATTCGATCGGGAGCGGGGGTAATTGCAACAACGGCGTGAAGCCGATTGTGCCCACGCCCATCATGCTCCAGGAGGTCGGCCCGGACGGCATCACGCTCATCGGCTCGGCGACCCAGATCCTGGACCGGACTGCCGCTGATGGGCCCCTGGTCGAGGCACCGAACCTGATCAAGACGGAGGAAGGCTCGTATGCGCTCTTCTACTCGAGCTGGTGCTACACCGACCCGAGGTACGATGTCAAGTACGTGCTCTCCAAGTCGGTGGAGGGCCCATACAAGAGGACGAGATCACCGTCGCTGGTGGAGACGAGTAATTTTGGCCTGACGTCGCCCGGGGGCGCAACGAGCATCGAGGGCGGCGGGCTGATGGTGTTTCACGCCAACTGCGATGTCGAGGCCGGGGCACGATGCATGTACACTGCCAATTTTACGGTGACTGGCACCAACGTGCTCGTCAACTGATCGGCCTGGCTGCCAGTCTGTCCGGCTTGGTCCGCAGTGTTGGCATCTTGGATACGATACTCGCATTCGCATGGGCGTTGGCATTGGGATTGGCGTTGTTGGGCATTTGCAAGAGATTTCCACTATTGTGTCAAAGGGCGAGGGAAGCGTCATGCTGCCCTAATGAACCTGGTAAAGATGTAATGACAGTGATGAGTGGCGTTCAGGTTTCGGGGACAGGGACATGGTACTGATCGCCTTCACCGGCATGGATCGGGGCATAATGAGCGGTGGCGTATTCGGAAAACAGCAGAATTGGCCGAGCCGGGAGCTTAATCTTTGGGTTGGGGGCTTTGGACGGAACGTGCTTGAAATACCCGTGAACCACATGCTACCTAGAAACACATCGTGATTATTAGAAATACGCATAGATCTCTCCCAGTCAGCCTCGCGGAACGCATGACGTCGATGAAGCAGCGTGTCGTTGCTCCTGTGTCGAATCGTTTTCCTGCCGCCCGCAGCAGCACCAGGAAGGGATCAGCCAGAAGAAAGCCCATTCAAATATGAGAGGCAGGGTGTTCCCCAGAAAAGAGCTGTGCCATCTTGAAGATGAGGTGGGGTTCGGCACGGGTTGCTCTTGTGGATAAAGTGACGTTGAGAACTTCAGCAAAACGATCCGATCGAGTCTGCCGGTCTGCCAGTCTGGTCCTGGCCCTGCTGCAGATCCTCTCCCGGCGTTACAGTCGGGCAGTTCGGGGCACGTCCCACACTGCCACAGTAAACAGCAAGTGCCCCCTGCCTCGCAGCCTGGCAGACCTGGCAGCCACGCTTCCTGATTCGGCTGACTGACAGCTGCGGATGCCCAGGGGTCCCCATGTACACACCTAGATAATCTCTAAGCGCCGGGGTGGACGAGCGACGGGCCAACAGAACGGTCTGGTCCGAGGGCTGAAGGCTAGCTCGGCACCCTCACCGTCACCCATCACAGTCATTGATTCCAATCAGACCTGCCTGGCGAGGTCGCGAGCTATCCGCAGCGACAAATCTTTTCCTTGGGCGGCGTGGTATTTTCCAGATGATTTCTGGGAGTCGTTGACTCACATAGGCACCGACAGGGCACCAGCATTGCCTCAGACAAGTGCCTCGGTGGCCGCATTTCGCGTCATCTCAACCTTCTTCATGAGAACCCTCCCCATGGCTGACCGAAACTGTGGAATCACGTTGACATGACTGGATGCCAGTAGACGAATCATCACAGTCAGGCCTCTCAAAAGGGAATGTGACGGGGCTGTCAAGACCCAATACAGCTCTGGTCGGTCGAGCGAAGACCATCTGTGGGGTCCGCCCCAAAATGCTGATGGATGCACCCAGGGCTACATTGCTTAACCGCCGGCGGGTGGCCAGGCCAATCAACACACACGCCGCCCATGTGCACCTCTGCCAGACCTGCCTGGTCCACCCAGCTCTACCCACACGGCACGCATCTTGGCCCGATCCAGGGCCAGGCACTCGTCCGATGGGTGATGAGTCCCGAGCTGTTGGTCTTTGCGGATTTGGGGGTCTGGGGTCCAACGACAGCCACTACTGTCGGTCTGCATCGCGAAAAACTCTCCCACTGGCCGAGCCCAGAGGGATCACCGCTCAGGTTGGCTCGCCAGCCGCTGGGTATCGTGTGATAGTGACCTCTGCCGACATTAGGCCGCCTTTCCTATTCATCTCAGATGGCGGCGTACAAGGGGGCTGTACGACGTCGATATCATGCTCGTTTCCCCGGAATGCATTTGTTGCTTTGTAGCTGTTCTTGTCTGTTCTTGTCATGCATACCACCAAGTAATCTCGGTTTTTCTATTGTCTTTTGTCCTTCCCGCTTCAGTTTACTATACCTAATTCATTTAATCGCCAATATCGACAGGATCCTCCTGGCTGAGGATACTGCTTTGACATTCATTTCTACCAAGACCACACACGCCGTTTTCACTCGAGACCGACTGGAACGCCATCGATATAGTTCCAGTGAAGCACAAGGTCCATTCAAGTATTCATCATGGCAGTCCGCTCTTTATACACACTACTCGCTCTCTTTTTTTCTTTCAATGTTATCGCCCTTCAAGTAACACCAAATTCCCCTTGCTCCTCCGCATGCCTAGACTCGTCGACACTGGACAGCTCTGATCCGAACTCATCTAATACCGAGTCAACGGATATCGTATGCGAGGATGTGGCTCTGAACAGTACGGACAAGGGCTCCAAATGGAAGCAGTGCATGACCTGTCTTCAAAACAGTACCTTTGAACAGGGTTCAGAGAGCGACCAATACTGGTTCATGTGTGAGTCTTCTATCATGGGACAAAGAAAAAGCAAAATGGCTTGTACCTGACACGGGCCCCTTCACAGATAATCTCCGTTATAGCTTTGATTATTGCGTGTATGGTTTCCCAAATGGCACTGGCTCTGGATCCAACCCATGCGCGACATCCACGGCCTGTGGTGCCCTCAGGTCCGGGCTCGAGGACGGGGATCTGAGCACAACAGGATCACAGTTCGGTTACTGCAACGATGGCTCTGTGACTGGGGAATATTATAACGCATGCCTTAATTGCGTCGGTTCTAGTGGTGAAACCCGCTATATTGCAAATGGTAAGCCAGACAGCAATGTGTTGATAATAGCCAAGTACTCACGCGTTATAGCCCTGATCGCCTTACAAGCTGGTTGTCTCCAGAAGCCCAATACCACAACCGAACTTGGTCTCAGCGACTCGGTCTTTTCCCGCAAGGTTATCGAGATCGTCGACCCATCCACGCAAGAGGAGCCCGCCGATTCCGTACAGCTCGGCACAGCAGCCATCGCAGGCATAGCAGTCGGGGCGGCTGTTCTGCTTCTTGTCATTGCGGCCATCATCTTTATTCGCATCCGCAAGCGCAAGAACCGTGCAAACCTTGGGATAGAGCCCCGCTGGGGAAGGTCAAAAAAGCCACACAAACGGAACTCTTCGTTCTCGTTCCACTGTCGCAAGATCTTGTCCTCGCCCATGTCTCCAAAATTCTTCAAGGACGACCTGACCCCGGTGGAAGAAAACCAACCCTACGGCTCACTGGATGCAGTGACCCAGTCACAGATATCAGGAGTCGATCCTCCCAGTGATGCTCCCGACGGGCGGTACTTCATCGAGACCAGGCAGCGGCCGGCATACGAGCCTTCTTGGAGTCCCCAGGGCCCGCCACCATCCTTCCACAGCTTCGGGCCCCCAGCAATGACCCCGGAGAAGCCCGAGGGGCAATACTCGGTGTCGGCTCCAGAAAAGAAGGGCGTCTCGGGAAAAGCACCCCTTAGCATCGACACTACCCTCGTCGCACCGCCGCCAGCCCGCCAGTCGCCACGGAACGACGCCTTCGCCACGCTCATCACCTCGGCACAGCCCATACCATCGACGCTGCCGCTGAGGACCATGCCATACGCACCTTCCACGCGGGCAAGCGTCGCGTCGACCACGTCGCCACAGTCATCCGGTGGCGGCAACAGGATAAGGCCCAAGGCAAGCAACACCACCATGAGCAGCCAGGGCAGCGGGTACCCGGGCTTGGTGACGCCGTCGTCCGCTTCGCCGTTGATGAGGCAGAAGCACGGCTGGCCCAGCCCCCGCGAGACGGCAGACACGCCCTGGTTCCCGCCGCCACCGCCGTCTGGCCCGCCTCCCAAATCATCCCCGGCCAAGGGCTCACGCAAGGGCTCTGCCGGGTGGGGGAAGAAGGGGACGAGGGACAGCGGCAGCCCGGTGGAGACGCAGCAGATCCAGATATCATTCCCTGCGCCGCCTCAAAGATAGTTGTTGACGCTTGGAAATGTGCAAATATTTGTCGTGTAATGCAATGTGTACGAGTACCTACGGGAGCAAATGTTTCTGCATTTTGGATGCTGGGAGATACCAATCTAGCACGGCGTTTGAAGGATATGATATGTATTGTGGTCGGCTGTATCATATAGTGGCTTTGTACAGGCCACATAATAACAGATTGTTTTTGTACCTGACCTGGGTGTTTGTTCGAGATTTGGTATGAGATGTTCCATCCTTGTTTTCTCATCTTGCTTTCCTAGGTATCTTAGGTACTAAGTACCTAAGTCGTACCCTACTATATCCCATGTCAGTGGGACGCGGCCGATCTTTAGCGGGGAGACCCTGCAGATTGACCTGGCGCCGCCCGCCTATCGCCCGCCACGGATTGGCAAGGATACGTCAGAGCAAGTGATTTTTCGTTGGGCGCCAGAAACACTACGCATGCACTTTTATTTCCTCCTAGACGAGTTCAAGGTTTTCTCTTTCTGCACGTCCAAGGAAGCCACTCTGCGATAGCCGACAGCAATGACTGCCCCAGCCCCAACCCCACGGTGGACGGCGCTCGCGCGCGACACCAACGAGACGAGCATCCAACTGGCCCTGAACCTCGACGGCGGCGCATTCCCACCAGAAACAGACTCGAGGCTCATCAAGGATGGCGAGAACGGGCACGCCTCGCAGTCCAGCAAGTCGCAGACGATAAGCATCCACACGGGGATAGGCTTCTTGGACCACATGCTGCACGCCCTGGCCAAGCACGCCGGCTGGAGCCTGGCCATCCTCTGCAAGGGCGACCTGCACAGTGAGTCACTGCACCTGCCAGCGCGGGCCAATTGACAGGGGCTGACGTCTGCCTCCCTCCACACAGTCGACGACCACCACACGGCAGAAGACGTCTGCATTGCGCTCGGCAGCGCCTTCGCCACGGCGCTGACCTCGATGGCGGGGCTCGCCCGCTTCGGCTACGCATACGCGCCGCTCGACGAGGCGCTCAGCCGCGCCGTCGTGGACCTCTCCAACAGGCCCTACAGCGTCGTGGACCTCGGCCTGAGGCGCGAGAAGATCGGCGACCTCAGCTGCGAGATGATCCCCCACTGCCTGCAGAGCTTCGCCCAGGGCGCCCGCGTCACCCTCCACGTCGACTGCCTGCGCGGCGAGAACGACCACCACAGGGCCGAGTCCGCCTTCAAGGCCCTGGCCGTGGCCATCCGCATGGCCACGAGCAAGGTTCCCGGCAAGGAGGGCGAGGTGCCGAGCACCAAGGGCACGCTGAGCGCCCTTGGTTAGAGTGCGACTGCGGTCAAGGAGGACGTGAAGGCGGCCACTACGCTGATCAGCCTGTCACGAACACCCGTACATTTTAACATTGACCCGAGCGGCGCAATGGGACTCCCTCAGAAGTCCACTCCTGTTTGTGGACGACAACCAAGCGGGCGGCCAGGCGGGCAGCCACGAGGACGGTCGGGCAAATCAAATACAAAATGCCCATATATACCTGGCACAGCTTCTCAAGCTTAGAGATTTGAACTAACAGGCCCCGAGCTTCAGGGAAGTTCTATATTGAAGCATCGCGGTGAGCATACATGTAAGGCTAGCAGCAGCATTTAGAGCACAGGAAATTCGAATTTTGATAGGCAGATCACCAAATCTGTATCAAGCTTTATTTGGTAATCCGCTACATAACTATAGAGTTTGTACAGGAGACTACGAAGGCAATTGTTAATACCTGGTCTCCATCTAGAATACTTAGACACCGTCTTATAAAATGGCTAGTAAATAAAACAAGCTATTACGGGACTGGGTAAACGGTGCCAAGCTGTAGGCTACCCAGTAATGTACGTATCTTTTTCCATATGTATTCTCGGAACGTAGTTGTGTGGCTACTACAATTACACACGGGATGTCCGCGGCCACCCCCCGAGTAGGCTTCGTCTGGTCCGACTCGGCCGGCGACCGGGGGACGGCCTAACGGCCCCACTTTCCCCGAACACTCGTATGACGCACCTGAGAGTTTCTGCGTCTAAGCTCTCCCAAGCTCACTCCTCACCCTCGCCGCCCCGGCACTTCATTCAGATAACTCACGCGACCAATTCCGCCAAACAATCGACTGTCCCTCTCATTGGCTCAATCTTACACACCAAAGGACCAACGTCTGCCGTTCTCTTTTCTTCGGCCCGGGCCCCAGGCCATGTGCCCAAAATGCGGTCCCACGGAGCAATGAAGGATGAGGAGGCGATCGACGCCGCAAAGGAGGCGACGCGGGGAGCTGTCTACGGCGCCGTCAAGTGGGGTGCTTTCGCGGGCATACTCGGCGGGATCGGGTATCTCACATCGCCCCTGTACCGGAGTCTTACGATTCAGTTCAAAGTGTGAGTGGATGGCCGGCTGGGCACGGGGCACTCACCTTTTGGAGGCTGGCCAATTGACCTTTCCCCCTCGCCAGGTACATTCAAATGTCGGGCATGGCGTTTGGATCCATGGTCGAAGCTGACAGCAGGATACGGCAGTATGAGGCCCATGTGAGGATGCAGCGGCGGATAGCAAGGGACAGGGCCATGTGGCAGAAGTTTGAGGAGGAGTACGGGGACGACGACGATGAGTGAGGACCGGCCGTTGACGTTTGGAAGGGAAAAGGATTCATGATGTGTCTCATTATAGACGCCTTGTACAAAGCCTTCATGTACATTATCAGATGTGCCCCAAGCTCATCAACCATTTTCTTTTTGTATCTCGGTCCCTATCGACCGACCTCCCTGAATCCAGAGCCAGAGCCAAGCCAACGCCGTGCCATGCAAACAAAACTGCCCATCAGAGATGTTGATGGTTTCATCATTTTGATTTCTTGGGGACCTCGAACTTCTTGGGGTCCATGTTCAGCTTGCACAGCCGGACGACGCAGCCGCTCAGCTGCAGCAGTGTTTGGACCCCCTCCAGGATCTTCATGTGCGTTGTGCCGATCTCCTTGATGAACTCGAGCTTCGCGTGCTCGCTGAGCGTCGGGATGGTCTTGGTGACCTTGAACATGGTGCTGATAATATCATGGCTCGAGTACCCCAGGTCCCAGAGCTCCCTCAGCGTGTCCAGCGCCGAGTCGACGTTGCCCTCGAAGCAGGCCTTGAGCATCGCCTGCACCTTGATAGGGTGCGGCGAATCCACCACCTTGAAGACGTTGTCGCCCGAGACCATGCCGAAACCGGCCCAGGTAGACTGCAGGTTGTTGATGGCCTGCCGCATATCACCCTCGGCGCTGAAGACCAGTGCCGCCAGGCCGTCGTCGTTGTACTCGACCTTCTCGGCCTCGATGATCTGCATCAGGCGCTTCACCACCTGGCCGTCCGTCAGCCGCGCGTAGCGCAGGATGGCACACCGCGACTGCAGTGGCTCGATGATCTTGTTGGACTGGTTGCACGCAAAGGCAAATCGGGTCGTGTTGGAGTAGATCTCCATGGTCCGCCTCAGCGCCTGCTGGGCGCCGGACGTCATGCTGTCGGCCTCGTCCAGGATGACAATCTTGTGGCGGCCGGCCGGCAGCGTGACCTTCTTCTGCGCGAAGCCCTTGATCCGGTTGCGCACCACGTCGATGCCTCGCTCGTCCGAGGCGTTGAGTTCCAGAACCGCCTCCTTGTAGGAGTCGCCCAGCAGCTGGCGCGCGAGGCAGAGCACGCTGGTCGTCTTTCCGATACCCGGCATGCCACTGATGATGACGTGCGGCATGTTGCCATCTTTGGCTATGATCTTGAGGCGCTCGATGGTCTCTACGTTTCCGACGATGTCGTCGAGGAAGATGGGGCGGTATTTCTCAACCCTGTGCTTTCAGGTCAGCCAGGCATTTTGGGCACGCAGCGTCAGGGCAGCGTGAGGGCAGCGTGAGGCGGGTGGGGGGTTGCGCACCATGGCAGCTCATAGTTGGGGTTGCCGTTTGTGTTTGCTGTCAAGACTTTCTTTGCCGCTGACGACGAGGACTCGCCGACCTCTTCAACCCGTGCAGCAGGCATTTTGTGGTGGGATTGATGGGCGCGAAGAGGGGCCGTGTTGGTCTGTCCAAGGTGCGTGCAAGTTGGTGGGTTGGATTTCAATTAAGGCGCGTCCAAGCCTGGAGACGCGACGGCGTACGGTACTCAGTACCCCGACAGGGGTCCTTGCTTTCCCTTACTACCCCTGCAATACCAACAACCGAGAGATTTCAGCCTCCCTACTCCCTAGCAAACTGGGGGCCACTCCGCACGTTCCCATCCTTGGCGGGCACCATCAGAGAGCTTTCAGGCTTTCTTTGGAGTGGCCTGAGTGACGTCGCAATTGTTCCCCAGCTCAGTTGTTATGGAATCTGGCTGGGCTGTTCTACCTGGTCTGCAACGTCTCCGATAAGGCCATGGGCAAAGAACGGCCCCTGCCTGGGGCGACCAAGAAGAAAGTCTCCGAAGACAAGGTCTCCAAGAACGAGGGCAGGCACAAGAAACACAAACGACTCAATGTCAAGCGCCATGACAGTGATGACGAGAGTTCAAAGGTTGGCCTCAAAAGCCCTGAACTGGCGCAAGAGACTGCGCTGGCTCTCCGTCCGCACTCTCAATTGAGGAGTGGCAGGAGTTCCAATCCAAGTGGATGAACTCACTGTGATGCTCTACTGACGCGTACTGACTTCTCCTGCCATCCAAAGGATCCCAATGAGCAGGAGGGAGGCGTCTCTCTCCTCCAACACGAAGATGAGAAGACTGCCAGTAATTCGCCCCTGTCCCAGGAAGAGAAGAAGCGGCGCAAGAAGGAAAAGCGTCTCCGAAAAGAGGCGCTCAGGGAGCTGATGGAAAACGCTGTGCATCCCTCTCCCACTGCGTCTCGTCTCGACGTGGAAGCTGGTGTGGAGCGTAGGGACAAGAGAAAACGCGATAAACTTCAAGCTCAACAACCAGTGCAGATGGGCCAGACTGAAAACGAGGGAGCCAATCCCACAGAAGGCCACGAGCCGGCCGATGGTGAGGACGTTTCCATGATTGATGCCAAGCAAGCGCCGGCCGAACGCAAGGAACTGCAAGCTCAGTCCGAAGATGAGGACATGGAGGACGGCGGTGCCCTCTTGCAGCCAGGATACACTGCGCCACCCTCTGGAAAGAACCGCGTGGTCAGGCGGCGTTTGAACCTGATCGACCGAGAGAGATTAAGGATTCAGAAGAAGCTGGGTGTCAAGGAGGGCTCTGACGAGAACGCGCAGAAGGTGCAGGACCTCCTGAATAAGTTCATCGTCACTTACGACGCCAAGGCCGAGCGGCGTGAGGTCAGAAAGAACGAGCGCAAGGGGGCGGAGTCCACGCGTCTTCGATGCAGAGCAGGCCACCCCTTCGAGCGGCGTGGATCGCGCAACTAGAAATTGTCGCAGCCGCCAGAACCCCGTAATCTCGACCTGAGAAAGTGCCCAGGTGCTCGAAGCAAGCCCGTTGGCAACCGCACAAAAGTCGCAAGGGGAAAAGACAGTAAATTTCAGCGGCAAGCGTTCCGTCGCGCAGAGATCGCTGGGCCGGAGCCAACTAAATCCAACAAGTCTCTGACGAGACGTGCAAATGATGTGGGTAAATTGGCCCTCCGGCCATCTTGGGAAGTCTACCACACTGGGAAATGGTGAGGCATTCAGCGATGGACCGGCGCATGCAGCCCATAATACGGCGTCGTGCACTTCCTCAGCTCCCGCTGACTGGAAGACATCCTTTCGATACGATCCCGCGTGGAGATGTGGTCGCTGTACTCAAGTGCTTGCAGAGAACATGGAAATACACAATAAATAGCCCCGCTTCCACGCCCACATCCAAGCTCCCTGGATCCCCATGCGCATAAGAGTTGCCAAATAATTCAGATTCGCTATGCCGGAGATTGGAGTGATTATTTACAATTTGGTACAAGTTGCTCGTGCCCTCGATGATCTTATGCGGTGGTGCTGGATGTGTCTCAACCGATCAATCCGAGCATCGCAAAATCCCCTGCCTTATGTTTTGTTTCTGCCGTCCTCGGGCTTCTCTTCCTTTCCACCCTCCGCCTCACTCTTCTTGGAGCCGCTGAAGACCTCCTTGACCTGATCCATGATGAGTGTGCCATAGCCCTCCCCGTTCTCGAGTGTCTCCTTCTCCTTCCTGGCCCTCTCGGCCCTCCAGTCTTCTTTTTCACTTCCCATCCAAATCTTGGAGAAGATGCTGCGGGACGCCATCTCCTTCTTTTCCCTCGCCTCCTGCAGCGCCTTGCGCTCCGCCTCGGGCAGGAGTGCCTCCCTCCTCTCCCTCTCCATCCGCATGAGCTCTGAGTTCCGCTTCGCCTTCTCAGGCAAGCCGCTCGAGAACATGGTCTGCCACCGCCGGTCAAATCGTTGCGTCATCGACTCGCCCGTCCAGTCGTACGCGAGCACGTTGGTCGCCCAGAAGGTGCCGCCCGACAGGACCATCGCCTGCAGGCCCATCCGCCGCGGGGGCATGAATAGGGCTACGGGTCCGAGGATCGCGACCCCTATTGCGGCATTGTGCATCCATGGGGGTGTCTGCGTCTTGGGCGCTGCTGCGTTGTCTGTCGGTGGCTGGGGGGAATTTGGAGGCGACGTTTGCGCCGAGGGAGGTTGTGGTGTCGCCATTCTGGCTGCTTCTGGGTTATTTGGGGATTTCTGTTGGTTGGGGATCGTTGTAGGCTTCGGATGGAGAGCAGAACGTTTTGACAGTGGTTAAGGGTACAATTCGGCGATAGTTGTAGAGAATGGCGATCGAGAAGCTCTCCCATGCGCGATGATCCCAAAAAGCTCCTTATCTTATCGGGCGTTGGGCCCACTTGCTTGGCAGCCACGGCCCACCAGTATTCCATACCTCAAACTTATTAGACCACGAGTCTAAAGTCAACCCTTCCGTCCATGAACGCTCGTCTTGGCTTCACACCCTTGCCCGAAGGTTTTGCTCACATTCTCATTGCACGATGCACCGCAGACTGATGCATGTTATCAGCAGCCTCATTGATCTTGGACGCCTCGAAGATGGCACAATTCTCTAGATCGCCACATGAGAGGACGCGTGTTTCATATGTAACCCCAGCGGTTTCCCCAGCGGGAAATCAAATTGGCTTTTCCTCACCGACAAGGAGAAGGCCCTGGGTGAGAAATGATCAAAAGTTATTGATTCTCTAATAAGAGGGGCGTTGAACCCTTGAGGCCGGTGCATTACAAATTCATGGCGGGTTCGGCTGTCTGCTCGCGATCCAAAACATGCCCCAAGAGGTGCTTGCGTGGCCATCCAACCTGAATCGCCTCCGGAACCGAGTGGCATGCCTGTCTCGGCAGAAAGATGAAACCCATCGACCAATGAGTACGTGGTCAGTCAGTCCAGCAGTTTGATCTGAGATGCCCGTCATGCCTCTGCTACATAGCGTGAACTATTCTGGTCCAAGCGGTGTTTCATCCCGATTTGATCCCTTGTAGATCGCCAAGCTGTCGAAAAAGCGCGCTCGTCTTTTATTAAGTATGAAGAGCGGGATGGGCATCTCTTCTACGATGTTCGCACATAACGTCAGCTTCTGAGAGATAACCTCTACTCCACACAGATCACCAAGCGCTGTGCACTTGCGGTCACCTAATTATCAGTCTTCTCTCATTCTCCTCCCGACATGCTTTGCAAGTCTCTCACCGCACTGGCTGCGGCCAGCCTGGCTTCCGCTGCGACGCCTTCAGGATTTGAGCCGGCCTCGACCACAGAACTGATCGTCACATATAATGGAGTACAGGCGCAAAGTGGCTCTGTAGTAGCCAGGGATGGTAAGTTTGTCGTCACAACAGCCCACTCTCGCAGAGAAAGGTCAATATTGAACCAAATGCAAAGGGACCGCAAGTGAGCCCAAGCTGGCGACGACGCAGCGGCTCAACGGCACCTCGTACGCCGTGCTGATGATTGATCTCGATATCCCGACCAACAACCCGCCACAGACCAACACCCTTCTCCACTGGATGCAGACTGATCTCACTCCCGCGACGGCAGCAACCGCTCTCAACACGAGCGCAGGGAACGCGAATGCGTTTGCGCTGCAGACCGGCCAGACGACAGCCTTTGCGACTTACCTGCAGCCCAACCCACCGGCAAGGGTACCATTATCTCACCGGTACACCCAGATTCTCGTCGATACCACTGGCGTCCAACAGACTGCCCTCGACAGCCTCAAGTCCGCAGCCCAGAACCGCCAGGGCTTCAAGGCACAGGAAGTGCTCACCGCTGCCGGCCTGCAGAACAAAGTTGTTGCTGGCAATTTCTACAACGTCACCAACGCTGGTCCTGCCGCCAATTCCAACTCGTCGTCCTCTGGCGGTTCAGGCTCTGGATCCAGCTCCGGTGGCGGTGAAAGCTCTGGCTCGAACTCTGGCTCGAACGGTGCCTCAGGAAGTGGTAGTCGCGGCGGCAACGGCACTGGTGCTGGTACCGGTTCTGGTAGCAACACAGGGTCCAACGGTACTAGGCCTGGCACCACCACGAACGGGGCCGTCGTCCAAGAATCCAAGAGCATGACCGCCTTGGTCCTTCTGGTCGTTGCGACACTCTTCTTGGGGGTGTAGAGAGGCGGACAAATCCAATGAAACGATGCTAGTGACGACCTGTCTTTACAATGATTGTAATGCGCTGAACTTTGGAAGGTGTTAAAATGCCAGATCTGCAGGCTTCCGGTCATGACTTGTAAATATACTATCACTATTCAAGATAGAATTCAAAAGAACCAACCTTCACCAGTGGCCTGCTTGAACAGGCCGGCATTGAATATCTGTGGCGTCAGGACTACCTAAGTAGGTAACTAACCCTTCTGGGTAAATGGTCATCGCCACGCCCTGCCACTTAGGAAATCCTTCGGCTCGCCCTGCCCATCCCTTCGCTTGGCATTGCCTTGATGTTCTCGACCTAGCGACGAGCCAGGTAACTGCGCTTACTGTGTACATAGTACAATGTCTCCCGCGCGGCAACTTGAATCCAGCCTCTTTTCAAGAACACGGTTTGGATAACTACCTAGGTATACTTAGCTCTCGCAGTCTTCATTCATCCCATGTCCGAGATGAGTAATGTCTTCTGCCCAAAAGCAGCGACACATCGGAGATGGGTCTCGAACATGCTTTGATATCCGTCCGGCAGGTCTGCGATAGGTAAGCCTTGGTCTATTTCCAGACAAATGGCGGACTTCCGTCATCCCATCGGGCCTCACAGTAATTCGTAATATATGCTGGGCTCTGTCCTGGTTGTCTTCGTCTTTTCCGTTGGAAGTATCCACAGCAGTAAGCCCTCCAACAATTCGAAAGGTTGAGTAGCACTCTTCTACGTCAATCTACTCTCGATATCATCCCAAAATCATCAATATAGTCAATCATCATCCTCCAAGCCCAGCACACTACACCACCAGCGCGATGGCGAAGACCGTTGTCATCCTGGGTGCCTCCGTCGCGGGCATCCCTATAGCTCACTACCTCCTTGCCCATACCTCAGTTGTCCCCGACCTCAAGGTCATACTCGTTTCTCCAAACACGCACATGTACTGGGCCTTCGCCTCAGTACGCGGCATTCTCCCAGGTGGCCTCGAAGAAGAACAGCTCATGCTACCGATTGCGCCAGCCTTCAAGAAATACGCGGCCGAAAAGTTCGAATTCGTTCTGGGCAAGGCGCAGGATCTGGAGCCATCCTCCAACTCGGTGACGGTACAAACGAATGATGGAGCAGTCAGAAAACTCCAGTACCACACTCTGGTCATTGCCACCGGCTCCAGCGCCAAGCAAGATATGCCGTTTAAGACGGTGAACACCACCGAAGAGACAAAGGACGTGCTGCACGACTGGCAGCAGCGCATCAAGTCGGCAAAGTCGGTCGTCGTCGCCGGAGCCGGGATCACGGGCGTCGAGCTCGCAGGGGAGCTGGCCGAGGCGTACGCGAAGACGGGCCAGAAGAAAGTGACGCTCATCGCGTCGTCAGACCTGCCTCTGGACGAAGGCCTGCGCAAGGACGTCCGGCAGACCGCGAAGAAGACACTCGAGAAGCTTGGCGCCCAGGTCAAGCTCAATGCGAAGGTGACCAAGGTGGAGGGGCCCGAGTCCGGTCCCAAGACGATTAGCCTGTCGGTGGGCCGGGGCGGTGAAGAGACGATCGAGGCGGACGTGTTCATCCCGACGTACGGGCTCCAGCCCAATTCGGAGTTTGTGCCCTCAGATCTGCTCGACCACCGCCGCCACGTGAAGCAGACCAAACACCTCCGCGCCGAGGGCAGCAACAACATCTTCGTGGTCGGGGACGTTGGCAGTCTCGAAACCCCGCAGGGTATACATACCGAAAACCAGATGATTCACGCTGTGAAGAATATCCAGGCGTACCTAAAAGGCGAGGCCTTGACGGAGTACGTCTTCAGCACTGACCCCTTGTTCATGGCTTCCATTGGTAAGGGTGGCGGTGTCGGCCAGGCAAAGGGCTTCAAACTGTTCAGCTTCATGGTCAAGAAATTCAAGTCCCAGACTTTGGGTACACAAAACTTCCCAGGCTTTGTCGCAGGACAGAAGACCATGACGAAAGGGAAGTGGGCATGATTGTCATTCAAATTCGAAACGGAGTTTCTTCTGGTAATGCGGTTGGCTTTCCAAATGGACTAATACCATGTCTGCGGGGGCTGGGCAGAGACTAATACCATCTGTTTGATACATTTTCTATTGATATCATTAAATAAACCTTGTTATTCACCTCCTATCTTGCTTGACCCATGACTTAGATCTCTTTTGGAACTCTATATCCCGAGATACTCTTTTATTTGGAGATCAACGTGAGAGCTGTGTGGACGTGGCTGCATCTCACTACTAAATTTGTAGGGAGGACAGAGGGTTGTGTGGCTTAGAAATAACAGACAATAGAGCCTGAGAAGGGGGGGGAACGAACGAATCGACTCATGTTCCCGCAGGGCAGGAGATAAAAACGAGCATATTGTCTTATTGTGGTTTCGCTTCTATTCCGTATACGTCCGAGGACATACATGGCGCCTTCATACGGTGGAACAAGGAGTATACATGCTTTGGCCTACATCTGCCTTATCTAAGGCGTACTTCAGCTAGTATATCCTTGGTTCAGGCTCCTCCAATTATACAATAATGGACAGTCATTCGACACTTTGCTTCCTTGTGGGAAATGTTACTAAACAAACAACCACGAACCTTGCAATTGCGACAGCTCACTGATCCAATTCCAGCAGGCGTGATCGTCAGATACAGCCTGCGCCCGATCGTGTTTCCCCCACAGGATCTCCAGAATCCGGGTCGCGTTCGTAGTGTTTGCACAGTGGCCTAGATTCCAGATTCGGTCCAGAGTTCTTGCTGCCCAAGCCCGATCTTCATGTGACACGCTTGCTGCGCCGACGACAAACGTGGGCCAAATCAAACACTTCATGATTCCATCACCCTTTCGCTCAAAGAATTTGTATTCTTCTCTGATTGTATAGACAGAAGGCGGATGGAAGTCAGTCGTAGCGCTCTCTATAGAGCTGCATATGACGCTGCAGGCATACATATCAGCCGCAAGCTTCCAGATATTGCCGAGGTGCAATAAATCCTCATATCTTAGCACGCGATCCATTTCCTCCGTGCGCTTAGCCCAAGCTGATGTGTCGTAGGAACGAATTAGCTGTAGGGTGTCTTCGAGAATCTTGATATTTGTCGTTAGTGTGGAGAAAATTGACTCAAAACGCCGCTGAGATGCAAAGACCTCGACGGATGACAAGATTTCGACCGGGCACCCAACCGGCGTAATGGTCGAGGTCCCTGTTGCCCATGAAGCTGGGAGCGTGGACGCGCTGGTTAGTGCCCCCGGTTTTCCAAGGGAAGAACCGAATGTTTGGAACCTATTCTAGATTAGCAACGAACTCGGAGCATGTAATCCTTGAGTAGGCGTCAATGCAACGTGGCTTACATGGCAGCCTCTTGTAGAAGGTTCCTGGCACAATTGTCCCATTCAGAGTTACCAGCCATGATTCCGGCGTCGAGCAGCCTTTTAGCCCCTTCCAGATGCAAAGTCCAGGTACCAGAGCCATTCTCGAAAACATCGAGAATTATGAGAAGCACGACTGCGATGAGTATGGATTTGTCTCCCAGCGTGACATGGCCTTTGGCCAGTGCCGAGGAGATGAGCTTTAGGCACTGACCTTTGGACCGCAAGTAAAAGTTGAATGGTGGTTGAAGCTTGAGATCTGGGCTTGTCTTGGGCAGTGGCAGCCCCGCCATTGGACAGCCAGTTATGCGTTGAATATAGTGGCACACCGCTACTGTCACGATCGCACTTGATACCACCGGCGAGCTGGCGCAAGTAATGACATTCCGGTAATGGTTGTCTGGGCCATCATGAAAGACAAGAGTGGGGCACACTCGTTTTGAGACCGGAAAGATATCAGCGAGTGTGTACTTGAAGAACGACAGGACGTAAACTCACAATAGTCCACAAAGAATCTGGAGGTATTGCTAAGATCTTGAAATTGCGGCTCGGTCAAAGTCCTCACGGTCAACGCTGCGCTCTGTTTTAGAGACCCATCAGGCCGTGACTCGCAGGGCAAGTCACCAAAGCTTCGGTTCTTCATAGGTCCTCTCCGAGCCACACCCTGGACCCAGGTGAGAGGTTTCTGGTACCCAAGGCACTTTACCCCATGGCCCCAGCATTTTTTGCAATGCGGGACGGCTCCGTCGCACTTGAGACGACGTTTCCTGCAGGTCCAGCACCTTGGCATCCTGAAGCCGGTATAGTTGTACGAAGCTGTCTCCGCAGCACGACTTTCTGCGCTCTAAGTGACGGTTTTCGTGGTCTCGTCTGAGCCCTTGATGGTAAGGATAGAGTCATGGAAGTTGACTCATCCTTCTCATATCAGTCACAATTCAGTGGCACAAGCTGCCCGGTGACTGGGAAGTGAACGCATTTTCTGGAGTTGATGATGGGACCAGCCGATTGGCTTGAGATATCGGCAGGAGATGCTCCAACCCACTCCCTGGGAAACCTTGGAGCGTACTCCGGCTATCCCGCCCGTCCCCAAAAGCTTCATCCCGTACTCGCCACGTACTTCTGCAAGGGAACCCCCCACCACTACTAGTAGTGTTGGTGTCACGCACTCCAGAGGCCCACATAATTTCACTTATTTACCGAATATGGCCTAGTGCGGCGCTCATTGTCGGCAATCCTAGTCGATGGCTTGCAGCTGGAGATATCTCTGCCGCCCGGACGGGTTACACAACAGTGAACTAGGGGAATGAATTGGAATTATCTATCTATGAGATACCTTTAGTCATCAATCTGGATTTTCTTACTCCCAAGGTTTCATCAGGGTGTTCGCCTCGATCTTCTCGTCGAACCGAGGGATATGCGTAGTGTGACACCACGGCTTATTCCCCACCTCCTTTCGGACCGTGCAGGCAAACCGCGAGCACCAGCCATGACGCGGGAACGTGATGTTGATGTTTCCGCGGGTAGGCTCATCAACCAAGCTGCAAAAATCGCCAATGCCAGCGTACTCTCCAACATTGTCGTACAGCGTGGCCAGCTGGATCAGCTGGCCGAGGAATGTTATAGTGCCGTCCACGCCCATGTCCTGATGCCGGATGATGGCCTCGGCCACGGCTTCAGCCTGATCAGTGCTGCTGCCCAGGACCATCAGTACCTCTCTAGCTTTGATACCTCCATAAATGTCAAACGACATTCTGGTCGACGTGAAGTAGGCCTCTGCTGTGCCAATGTCGTGTAGAAGGCACGTTAACGCCCATGTCGAGGACGACAGCGCCTGGGCATGCTTGGGCAGTAGACGTTTCGCTATGACGGTTCCTGAGCCATGAATTAGTAAATAATTGTCCATTGCGGCGGCTTTAATAATAGAGAAGACTTGCCCCAGTAGTATACACGCATTGAGTGGTTGTAGGCCTCTGGGCTGAGCCGCGCCTTGACAAAGGCTTGGGCCTCGCTTACAAGCGCGTCGGAAGGAAACTCGATATCCGTGACGGTGTAGGAGGAACCATTCTCGATCTGTCCCACGGAATCAATAATGGCTTTGGCGCTGGCTGGTACAGCGGTCCAACCGTTGGTTTTAACGTCTGATGAAGACATGTTACGTTACTGGGAAGCAAGGAGGAGTGAAAGAAATGTGAGGATAAACGGTAGGATGTGGGAGCAAGAAGATGGTGGAATGTAGCTTTTGGGTAAATCAGTAGCTTGAAGGTCAGAAGAAGTGTGCGGTCCTTATATATTTGTATTCGGGACCGAGTCTTTGGGACAAGACACCTTGGAATCTGGCGGGCCCGACTCGGACTGTAACATTTTGCCTCATACAGATTGCTGAGAGGTCTTCCTCGAAAAGCACAGCATTGTTAAATCCAGTTGAGGTCTGTATCGACCGCATTGTTTAATAAGCATGTCTGCCCAGTCATGAGCCAGCCCAGACCCTTCATCCAATGGCATGAGCAGCGGGCCGGATGCAGATCATATGCACCCTTTGGGCCTATTCCTGAAGTGGATAATAAAAAACAGCCCTCGGATAAAACCCTGCTAGCGACGCGTTCTGTACTTAGTAAGACGAAGCTTCTGGGGGTCATGAGAATAACTTGTCTTTTATTTTCCAAAAATGGGAAGCAAATCCATGGCATTCGCCGGCTCACCCACAACAATCACCAGCACACCCCGAGCCCACGTCAGTCGCCGGGTCGCCGTTACAGCCACCGAAGCTTCCGCTTACAAGTACTTGAGAACCGGTGAAGACTTTTAGTTTGGCCAGCTCCTGTCGTTCCTTGTGAAAGTAGTACATGTGACCGGAAGCTGGAAACTTTTCGGTCCTCCCTTACACCTTCAACAGCTATAGATTAACACTGCTTGGTTCGCACGTGCGATCAGCCATTCGATCACATGGCAAATCAACTTGCGAATCCGGTAAGATCAAAGCATGAACTCCAAATATCCGGTGCTGTATTATGATGACTGAAATGATCTTCTCTTCTCCAAAAAGGGCCCTCTTGGATTCGCCGGGTTTGCAACAACCTTGATGACATTATCATTATCCATGATGGGAGCTCGTGGTGTGGACAACGAAGGCTTGTTTATTGCCGACATGCTTCTCTTGGCTGGTCTCGGGCTGATCATTACTGCCCAATGGGCGATGGTCAAAGGCAACACATTCTCATATACAGTGTTGAGTGCGTTTGGTAAGGATCCATTCCCCCAGCGATTTGTCTTTAAAAGCAATACTGACATGAACTTAGACTTCTATTATGCGGGCTATGATATCATGCTCCTGCCCCCTCTTGGGATTGTTGAATCGTACGGTGGCCGCACGTCTGAATACTATAATGCGCTTTGCCTATACCTTACAGGTATGTGTATTTCTCAGTCCCTTTCAAGGAACGCGCAAGACAGCTGAGCCCATTCTGCTCTAGTTTGGTCCTGCTTGAATTCAATTTTCTTCCTCGCATCGTTGTCGACATGTAGTGCTGTACTCCTTTCTTCTGCTGAGAAGAAAGAGGTCGTGTAACGTTGTGGTATGGCATAGGAACGTCGCAAATATCATCATTTATGGCGCTCTGGAGATATGTATGTCTGTTTATATAGTGTAGCTCTTGCTCTTCCTGCAGAAATGTGTGCGTGATGGAACATTGTTGCGTATGGAAGACAGGCGCCTTCTGCATTATGAGTAGAATTACACAAGGTATTGGTTGCAAGGGCTCAAGGTGCACTCAAACTTGAAGGCACTGTATGTAATCCACGTTCACAGCACCAAACCAGGTTGGTCTCTCCAGTAGGTTGCTTCAAGGAAGCAAGAAATGGAGACAGGAAGTGCTCTGCCAGAGCGCACAATGCCGTTTTGCCCAGGACTGGCCATGCATTTGAATCGAAAAAAATGCCACCTTGTGTGGAAAATTCAAAAGCTTGACCTGTCAAATCAGGTGTTCAAAGTTTCTCTGTTTGCATGGTCTCATTATTCCTGTTCGTACACTTCTTGCCCACTTGTACGCCTCATCGTGGCGCATCACGCCCACCTCCAGGGCTCACCCACGACCTCGTCCACGTCCACGACCCCTGCCTCGACCGCGGCCTTGCCCGCGTCCCCCACCGCGTCCACCACCGCGTCCACCACGGCCTAGCCCACCAGACCCACCAAGTCCAAAAGGCCCAGCAGCCGCCGGAGCCGGAGGGGGGTTCTGAGCCACAGCAGCGGACGCCGCCCCCATAGCAGGAGCCGGCACGCCCAACAGGTCCGCGACGGAGACGCGGCCCTGGGCCTCGGCGGCGGAGCGGTCGGCGGCGACGGCGCTCATGAGGAGGCCCTCGAGCAGGCGTATGTCGGGCCTGTCTGACGGTCGGTGCGCCATGCACCAGGCGACGGTGGAGCGCAGCAGGGGGTCGTAGTGGTCAAACTCCGGGTCCAGCAGGTGGCCTGCGTACGTCCAGATCATCCTTGTCCTCCCGTCTGGATTCACCGTGATGGGCCTCTGCGTGCAGGTTGGGGGCACGTCGGGCAACATTCTGGTTATCTTTGATAATCACCTCTCGTATTAGTAGGTGGGAAATGGCATGGGATCCGTAGTCTGGAAGATGAAAGACGGGTATGACCTTACAATGATGGTCATGAGACGGCCAACCTGCCACAAGTTCGTGGTCCAGCCGAACTTCCCGGCCACCTCGTCGGCGGCAAGCGACTCCATGCTGTCGACGTTCTTCCACGTCTCACTGAACTGCTCTGGGGTGTGGTACCACATGTTCCCGCGGATCCTACACGCCACCAGCGCGAAGAAGCTGTTGCGGTGATGCGGCAGGAACCTCGTGATGACGCCCAGGTCGCCCAGCTTCACCACGGGCACCTGGTCGTGCGAGTGTCCCGGGGCTGGGTCGGCGCTGAAGTCGCCGATCATGACGTTCCGGTCGTTCATGTCGAAGTTGATGATGCCGTTTCCTGTGGGAACGGGGGTGCCGAGAATGCCCACGGGGACGAATTCCTCTTGTGTCGGGGCGTCGTTGTTGTTGTCGGGGACGAAGCCTGGCGGGGCCCAGCGCCCGGGGTAGGTCAGAGCAACGCAGGCTCGGAAGAGACACAGGAATATCCGCCATATCTCTGAGTCCTTCAGATATGCCTGCTGTGTAGATATCTTGCGGAGAAGGCCCTACTCATCGCTGCTGTCAGCACGCTGTGTACAGTGTATCGACGAAGCCCTGTCGATCATCATAACAAGTACAGAGGTTTCAGTGTGGTAGCCTTTGTGCATGGTCTTCTTGGGGATTGTTGAACATGGTCAAGAAGTGCCCAGCTTCGAAAGCAGAATCACGAGACAGTCCTAGGAATGAGAGAAGTAAAAGTGATTACATTTAAGGTGCCATGTTTCATAAACTCCATACCGTACTGCAGCGTTTACAATCAGTTATCGAGGCCAATCGGTAAAGGGAGGTACAATGTTTGAATACCATTATCGGAATACCAGGGCCCAGACTTTGCCTCATCTCCTGCTCAAACGTGTATTCCAGAGTGAGTATGTCATCCATCATAGCACTGTCATTGTCCCAGCCGGTGTTGATCATTCCGGGCCTCCACTTGCGCTGTGAAAAAGACAACAACACCGGATCAGCCCAAGCTCAATATCTGATGTCCAGCCTCCGAGGCGAAAGGTGACCCCGAGAGACTTGATGGCGCGTGGAGTTAGACCGGGCTGCGCAGGGCTCACTCACCTGGACTATATGCCTCGCCCCGACCATCTTCTTCTCAGCCCACATCTCGGTGGCCAGTGCAGGCAGCTCCTGGCTCCATTTGATGACCAGCCTCTGGCCGGTAAACTCGAGCAGGGCGGCGACGCCCTGAGAACCCGCGCCGAGCACCTTGATAAAGGTATAGCCCATATCCTCGAAGAATCTCCTCATCCTGCCCTGGTCGGTGTCGCCTCCCGTGTCCGACCTAGTGGTCTGTGCGAATGGCACATTGCGGCCTCTACCCACCGGGCCTATGGGGCCTTGGGCATTGAGGGCAGGGTCGGGCCTCGCGGGGCTCCAGTAGGGTATTCGCAGTCGCTGGAAGATGGGGATGCGGGCCTCGCCTGGCCATTCTGCGAGGTGCCTCCAGTAGTTGTCGAAGTAGTCGATTGTTTGTTGGAGGACAAATGTCGACCGGCCGCTGAGGCTCTGCCGGTTGGCCATGTTAGACCGCGGGCGGCAGGTCAGGCTCGGCGAATGGTACCGACGCCTTATATCGATGGCTCACAAATTAGACCAGCAGTCGTGCTTGGTTATAGTCGATCCTCGGGTGAATGGCATTTCATTAAGGAGGACTATGTAGGGATTCTTAATGCACAAGTAGGGTTGACTGTGTGAGACAAAGCAAACCACGCCGGGAAACATTGTTGGGGACAATGACCCGTTTCCGGAAACCTGTGTGCTCATTCTCATTGTACACCTCCGGGTAAGGCCCGGCATTGACGATACTGCTCTGCTTCCTATTCAATTCTGCCACGAGTTTGTCTTGCTTCAAGTTTCCAAGCAGGTGTACGAACTCCACCCTGTAGAGTGAGAGCAACAGACCAGCTACCACACCTGGGCAGTCATGTCAATTCGGTTCGGGACTTGCGATAAAGAAACGATGCTCCGTTTTACAAGAGATTATGCAATTCCGGTGAACAAGCTCAAAATTCGCGCTGCTCGGAGGCCACGAATGCCCTCTAGCATTACGAGAATTTTGAGTCGAAGCCAAGTTCTATCATCCAATGCTAACAACCACTCAATGCTTGATCAGGGATGGATCAAGAGATTATAGTGACATTTCAGACCGCAAGCACAACCTTGAAACTGTCGGAGCGTTGACGGGCTCATTGCGCAGTCCCGGGTTGGTAACTGCACCCGGTCAAGAGGGTCTTGGGCAACTTTAGACCAGACAGAGGCTGAGACATATCCCGAGGGAGTGGGCGAGCCAAGCGGGCGACGATCTGTTGCCGCCGGCCGTGGCTGCAGCATGCACGGCTCAGATCGGTAAGGTGGGGACTGGCTGACCTAACGTAAGTGACCGAGCCTGCTGCCACTATGCTGTTCTACAGTACTAGTCCTTCAAAAAATGCTAGACCATTTGGGTGCACGAATAACAGTCATGACGCAAAGGCTCGAGCAGTGCATGGCGTAGGCCGGGCCGGACTCGGGACTAGTTTGGATCGGCAGAGGATGTGTGTCGTTGGCTGGGCTGCCCCGAGGCGCTACGGCTGTACGGGTGGCCTCTGCCTTGGTTTGTGGTGGTATTTGGTGGCTCATGTGTGGCGACCTGATGAGGGTTTCGAGACAGCTTCAGGCGTGGCGGCGGGTGGGCCGGGCTCAACCGGGCTGTCGGGCTGGCCGTCTTAAGTTTTGGGGAAAGGGTGTGGGCCAAGTGGCAGCCCGGCAGCCCGGCAGTCGGGACAGTCACGACAGAACAGATGTGACGGGCAGACGGGCAGACGGGCTGACGGGCTGACGGGCTGTTGCTGTGGCTCAGTGTGGCTCAGCCTTGCACTTTCCAGCTGCAGCCGGCCAGCCGCCGCCACCGTTGGTCGCCTGCTCCAGAGTCTATCCCTGTTTGGGGGAGATGACGTTGATGCCGTCAGCCCGCCAGAAGGTTGGCACCGGCACCAGGGGGTGGGTGCATCAATGATGGAGGGGTCCAACTGCAAGGATATAGTGCCCTGATTCAAGTGTCGCGTCTTGACAAGCCGCTCGAGCTTCTTGCACAGGGCCAAGCTGCGTGGCCAAGCCGATCTTCCCTCTCCCACCCAGCCAGCCAGCTGCCAGCCCAGTCGTCTTTCTCGGCACTTGGCCTAGCTGCACACTCGGTATGTTAGTACAAGGCAAGTTTCTAGCTGGGCTGGCCAGGCTGTGTGGGGGGCGGCCTCACTTTGGCCGATTTACAGTGCCACACCCCTCCCCCTCCCCCCTCCCCCTGGTCCCTCCAACGTCTCCTGATGCACATGATGTCTGTGAAGTCATCTTGTCTGGTTCCAGTTCCCACCTTTTTACCTCGTCTGTTGCATGTGGCCGTGCCCAGCATGAGGTAACGAGTCCTTCTGTAGGCCTTTGTCTTAAATTCTGTGACACCCCTCCCAAGCTGGCTGAATCCGTCCTTCCCGCCCACTCCGGTATAGATATAACCTTCAAATATCTCCACCCAACTCAAGCAAAACCTTACTCTAGAAAAGAAAAAGACAATTACAAACTCGCCCAACATGGCAGCCGGCGCGGGTCTCTGCCTCAAACTCCTACAATGGTTCAACCGGGGCGTGCAGTTCTGCTGCGCGGGCCTCATCCTCGCCCTCAACTCATATTTCATGGCCGCCATGTCCAACCACAAGTTCACCATCCCCACCAATGTCCGCGCCGTTGAGGGCATCTCCGGGGTTGCCGTCCTCTACACCGCCGCCGGCCTGCTGCTGCTCTGCTGCCTCGCCGGCTTCACCCTGACCTCCTTCATCGCCATCGTCCTCGACGTTGCCTTCCTCGCCGCCTTCATCTACATCGCAACCGTCTACCGGGACGGCGCCAGCTCCTGCTCCGGCTCCGACGTCAGGACCGTCTTCGGCACCGGCGATGCCAATGCCGACATCCAGTCCCCCGAGGACGGCGGCGTGCCCCTGGCAAAGTACATGACCATCTGCCGCATGCAGTCGGCCATCCTGGCAGTGGCTATTGTCGCCATGTAAGTCTCGAATATATATTCACAATCCACCACCATAGCAAGGCATGAAAGCATGAGAACGGTGCTAACACCATCCCTGCAGCGTCTTCTTCGTCGTCTCGGCCCTGACGGAGCTCGCCCTGGGCCGCCACCGCAAGAAGGAGCAGCGCTTCGGGCCCTCGCCCGCCAACAACTACACCTCGGGCTACGGGTCCCGCCCCAAGCGCGGGCTCTTCGGCCTGCGCCGCAACAAGCGTGCCGACACGGACAACCTCGCCGACCCCAACGCCCTGCCCATGCACACCAGCCCGGACCAGGTCCGCACCAGCTACAACACCGAGGCCACCCGCGTCGGCGACGGCAGCTCCTACAACAAGTACGGCGACGCCGGCTACAACGAGCACGGCATGCCCGCCACCCACGCCAACACCGGCCGTTACGGCGACGGCACCTACAACGTCTAGTAGAGACGGAGGAGCCGCTGCTTTGATGAGTCATGAGAAAACTGAACAAAGATCATGCCCGCCATTTCCGGTCTCTTGTTGCAGGGAGAACCGGCTGGGCCGAGAGCGGACGGCACCCGGAATTGTACATGAACGAACAACTGATCAAGGTTTGAATTGATTTGGAATTTTACGACAACGGCGTTGGATATACCCAAACTCCTAGGCACCTGGCCAGGAGCAAACAGAGAGGCTGAGAAATCGCTTTTAACACCCCAAACCCATGGTTTGATGTCATTCCGCCTTGGGGATTGCGAACTTGCTTATTTATTATTCTCTTTGACTTGCATCGGCGGTGATGCCAAACCCAAATATATTTTTAATGAACTATTTTTTATCTGAAAACACGGTCCCAATTATTATACCAGTTGAATGTGCAATTAATTATCTGGATTGTGCACCGCTCTTATGATCACTTTCATTTGAGATGTCACATGTAAAAACAGCCAAGCATCTCTTCCCGCCAAAGGGCGTCCGTCACACCACCATCACACAGTACCCCAATATTTGTAGCACGGGATCGTCATCAGAATTTGATTTTAACAGCCTCCACACCTCCCTACTGATCTCCCCCCTCCACCCGGACACTTACTCTTACATTTACGAGGGAGCCATGGCAACCAACACGATGGGAAATAGCACGCGAGGAAACTCCGCACCCAACCTCACCCTCACCGCCTTGACCCGGGCGGTTTTGCGCCGACAACAAGAGCAAGACCAACGCACCGCTTAGGAGGGTATCAATTAACCATATCTAGTATACCACAAGTGATGATCGCGCTTGAACCTGGCGAGCACGCGAGCAGAGATATACATACTTTCACCGCACCGCCCGCGGCATCCCGTGCTGGCCCCACCCCCCACGCGCCGCTCACTTACAAATACCCACCCACCACCTGCCTACCTGCTGGGGAGGGGGAAACAAGTATGTAACGCAAACAGGACCTTCTTCGGGGCCACCACCACCACCACCACCCGGCCGCAGATCACCCTCATCAGCCCCACCCGGGTATCTCCTCCCACTCGCCGTTGACGCTCTCCGCGGCCCCCATGTCGTCCCAGCTGACCTCGAGGCGCTCCAGCTCGCGCGAGAAGAAGTCGTGCTCCTCGCGCAGCGCGTCGCGCACCTCGGCCGCCATCCGGTCCGGGTACCGCCGCACGTTGAACCAGTGCGTGAGGCTGCGCAGCGCCTGCTCCAGCGGCAGCGCCTCGTCCATCTCGGCGTCAATGTCCGCCCCCGCCAGCCACTCGTCCCGGAGCTCCGGCCGGCAGTACAGGTAGATGGCCGTGATCACCCGCATGTTGGACTGCCGCCACTTACGGCTGCAGTATGGCACCTGGTTCTTGAACAGCTTGAGCGTGTACAGCCGCAGCCGGTCCTGCGGGATCCGCAGGTTCTTGCGCAGCACGTTGGACGACTTGTAGTGCACCAGCAGCAGGTTGCGGTGCGCCTTGTGCTTGCAGATCTTCTGCATCACCCGCAGGTAGTTGATCAGCGTGAAGAAGTTGCGCCGCGAGAAATCCGTGATCGGCTCCGCTGGCAACGGGTTGACCGGGTACCCCAGCTCGTCCACCTCCGGCCTCACGGGCGCGCCGTTCTCGCCCTGTTGCAGTGCTCCGGATGCGTCTCCTGAAGCAGCCTCCTCTGTGGGCGAGCGGCGCCGCTTAATAGGCGGTGGGGCCGCATCGTCTTCGCTCTCTTCTTGGGCGCCCGGTGCTTCGGCTTCTTGTTGCACAGGCTTCTCCGGTGCCCCGGCTCGAACATTGCAGAAGTAGAAAAAGCTGCCTGATGTCAGTGTATTCCGCTGTGGGTAGCATGCCTGGCTCGCCTACCTGTTTTCGATGCGGTCTGCCCTGCTTTCAATGACCTGTTGGACGTCCTGGTGCAGGAACAGCTTCAGCACTAACGGCATGTAATTACAGTCCAAAAGTAGCTGCGCGAGGTATTCGAATTTCAGGACATCTGCACGGTATGCGTTAATCACGACTTCTTCACAACAAGAGATGTGTAACTCACGAGACAACTTGAACCACTTCAAAAGCAGCAGCATGATGGCGCTGACGGCCTTTTGAGTGATCTCACGGGTTCTTGCCGCGTCGAGCTCCTCAGGCGAGGGGTCACTGTCATCACCACTCCCGGCGCCATTAGTACCGTTTGAGCCATCTTGGCCTCGGCCGTTGCCGTTGAGTCTCCCATTGTTTTGACCCTGCATGCCAAACGACCCTTGGGGCTGTTGCGTCATTACGACGGTCCAGTGTGCTATGATGGACTTGATCAGAGTCATGGATATCGACTGCAGGATAGGGAGAGAGTTGGCCTGTCTTTGACGTTAGCTTCAAGCGGGACCTGGAAACATGCAAGCACTCACGTAGAAGCGTTCGACGGCTTCTAGTCGCTGTTTCGTCCTCTCATCCAGGTCTTTGCTCGGGCCGTAATCAACCTCCACCTCCTCAGGCTGGGGCTCCTCGGGCTTGACCAACCCCAGCTCTTCCTTCTCCTCCAGCGTCAGCGACGACAGGTCAAGCTCGTCCAGTATATCGTTTGTGGATTCATCCCAGCCGCGCTCAAACTTGATAAATCTCTCTCGCTCTTCCCAGAGTTGTCGGGCCGCGCGCGTCATCCTCACACGCTTGGAAAATAGCTCACCGGCTTCGAGAATAGATGCCGGGACATCGCCGCCTTCCCATTTCCGAGTGACTAGCATATCTTGCAAAGCAGTGTTGCCCTTACCACCGAGGCTATTGCTGGACTCATCCAGAGGCGGGTACATGAACGGGAAATTTTGGTTGGTCTGGTAATTCTGCTTCTTAACTCCTTTACCGCCGACACCCGGAGAAGGGGGAGGCGAAGGTGCTGGAGTTGCTATGTGGACAGGTTGATGGAGAATAGAAGCACCTCCAGCTTGTGTGCCCGGTTGCGGTGGAAGAATCCCCTGCGCGCCATTGTTCCGGGCTTGTTGACTTGGCAATGGCGGAAGGAGAGAAGTGTTCTCAGCCTCCAAAGGGATGGCAGGCTGCGGTGGTATGTATGCCGGGTATTTGGATGTTATCTCCTGTCGGAAGACATGATAATCTAATGGTGAGGCCGTGATGACATCTCTGTCATCCTTGTCGTCTGACGGGTTCTCTCTTGTGGCCCGTTTCGTCTCGGCAAGCTGTTCCGAACCGCCAAAGACAAGCAGGATCGATTTCCACAGGAGCAAAAATACCTGTGCTTGAGGCACGATCTGTGCCTCATCCCACCGGAGCTTGCCTGTGACTTCTGCGAAGAACTCGACCAGGCACGGGTTCAGGGCGACTTTACAAACAAATATCAGTCGATCTGCTGGCTGAATCCAGACGGAGCAAAGCACTCACGTAGTTGTGATTCGAGGCCTCCAAGTTCATGGCGATTTGCCAAAACCTCTTGTATCATCATGTACATAATTGTCATCAAATTCATGAGCTCATCCAGTGCTTCTTGCATAGTATTCGACTGGTTATGCTGCGCTTCCTCGGGCCTACAGGTATTAGCTGCCGTCTTCTGCCATCCAAAAACTGGACTTACCAAAACGGTTCAAACGCTTTCTTGAGCGCGTCAAAAACAGCCTGCGCCCCACCGACATCTGCAATGAGCCGTACGCCAGTCTTCATAGCCTCGAGTTGGGCAGACGTGGCCACACATCGAGGCCTGTTCTCCGTCCCAGCAGCGGACTGGCCCCCATCAGCAGTGCTGGCCCACCTCCCGAGGGTGATGTACACTAGCCTTGCGATGTTCGCCGACCGCTCCTTGGAGTTCTCTGACGAGAGACATGATAATGCATCCGACACGAAGGCCCTCCTCGTGTCGTCACCAACCTCATCCCAGGTCGTGTCTTGCCCCTGGCTGTTGAGCCACTGCCACTCGAAGGAACGCTGCACCCCATTAAGGCGAACCCACTGCCAGAACTGGTAGACAAACCACTCGTCGATCTCCTCCTCGACCGGCGCAGTGTCCTGGTACTCGAAGTCGTAAGCAGCGGCCTCGGCGTGAGGGAAGTCGGCAACCAGACGTCTCAGTTGGGCCAGAGACAGCGAGTCTGTGGGTGGCTGTAGGGGTATGCTTGCGCTCGGTGGTGGCGGAGGGTCTGACGGCGGAGGAGGAAAGGCTGGAGGGTTCTGTGGCTGAGCATTGCGTTGCAGTAATGGACGAACGGGCAGCACCTGCTGTTGCTTGTCGCCCTTGCTCAAGCCAGCATCCGGCACACCAGTATCTGCGACGTCCGTGGTGGGAGGGTTTGCAGCTGCACTGCCCTCACCTGACGCCCGGGACGGCCAGAGTGAGTTCATGATGCTTCAGTGCCCGGATCGACGCGACTTTGAGTGCTCTCGTTCGGACAGGTTCGGTCCCAAATTGTGGTCATAGTCGGCAGTCAACGGTTGCACTGATCATGCAGGGTGCCCCATTGATTCGGCGGGGGTATATGACTGCTCAGAGGGATCAGGATTGCATGCTGGGCCGCTTGGGTACGAGATCCGGACTGCTGCGTTGCTGCGTTGCTGCGGACGGCTTGATGCGGTTGTTCGCAATGCGATGAACATAGCTCAACAGCTAACTGTAAGGCAGGTCACCCCTGACGTTGGCGCGCAAGAAGGGCAGGCGGTGAGATGCTGGGTGGCGCGGCAGGATGGTAGTCTAGACCCCAAAGCGCCTGCCTGCCTGCCAGGAACACTCCGACAACTGGACGCCGATTGCCACAGGGGACCCATCCCTCGGCAAGAGTCATCATCATCCATCATCACCCAATTTCGAGTCCGAAAACGACTCACCGCGAAGACATCGCGAGCGCTGCTGACGGCCAGCCCAGAATAGTCTGGTCAGACCTGTCTTTTTCTTTTCTTTTTTCCGTTTTACTCACCTCACCGTGGCGACTGTTTGCCATTGCATCTGCCGTAATCTGCCCGAGACTTTAACCACCCAACCTTCTTGGGGACAACCTCTTATGGCACAACCTCCTTACAGCACCGCCTTCTACAGGACAACCTCTTTTCGGATAACCTCCTAGTACCCTCTACGCCGACCTCCTTCCATCCTACAGGATACCCACCCAACTACAAATCATAATTCCTAACCTTACAGAAGACAGCCTCCCGCATCTTTTCGACGCTGCCTTCGTGACTTCCTATGTCTGCTTGCGTCTGGCACTTCTTGACATAACAATCTTTGCTTATGGCCGGTCGGATGCATACCACGCCATCGCTGCAGGCGAGCGCTGATCGATAGCACCTCCCATCCTTAGAGACCTTGCCGCTTGCTGTCAAACAAGGCCTTGGTAACAGCCGCTCGACCATGGATCCTGAGGACCAGAGGGATGTTGAGCTGTCGACCCTGGCAGCCATCTTCCCCGAGATTCAGAGACTGAGTGACAATGACCTGTACAGCTTTGTGCTGGATGTTCCTGTGAACCCAACAAAGGCCGTCACGGTGTTTTTCCCCGCCGCCGCAGAGGCACAGGGTCTCGACCCAGGGGCAACACTGGAAGCTGGGGCTGCTACCACGCGGCCGGACACGAACGGAGTTGATTCTCACGAGCTATCACACCTACCTGCTGTCCGCGTACAGATCTCGCTGCCTCCGGCATATCCGGCAGAGCAGCCGCCAGCTGCCAGCGTGTCAACCCAGCCATCGTGGCTCCCCGCAGACACGGCCAAGAGGCTGGAAGACGACTGCGCGCGCTTGTGGGAGGAGCTGGGTCGCGATCTCGTCGCCTTTACGTACCTTGACCATGTGCAGCAGTCAGCAGACGATGTCTTTGGGCTTGTGAGTGACGTGGGAGCTTTGCAGATCAGTCCTGAGCACAAGATTGCGGTTTTGGACTACGATATCGAGGCCAAGAGGGTTGCTTTCGAGAACGGAACGTTCGACTGTGGCGTCTGTCTTGGTTGGTCCTCCTGGTGCCCTCCCCCTGGAGACTTAACTTTGGATAGTCCTGCTGACCATTTGTCTAGATCCGAAGAAAGGTTCCAAGTGCCATCGCATGATAGACTGTGGCCATGTGTTTTGTACCGAGTGTCTACAAAGCTTCTACAATAATGCCATCAAAGAAGGCGATCTTGCCGCCGTTCGATGCCTAGAGCCCAGTTGCGCGAAAGAGAGAGCTGATGCCGAGGCTTCCAACAGCCAGAAGCGGAGCAAGCGGAAGACATTCATCAGCCCCAGCGAACTTCTTCAGATCCCCCTTGAGCCTGACATGGTGAAACGCTACGTGACTCTCAAGTACAAGACAGAGCTCGAGTCAGACAAGAACACAGTCTACTGCCCGCGACCATGGTGCCAGGGCGCGGCTCGGTCCAAGAAGCGCAAGAAGCCTGAAGGATTCGAGCTACACGAGGCCGAGGATAACTCGGACAGCGACACCGAAGAGGCGCCCAAGGCGGACACTGGGAAAGCTGTCCAGTCCAAGCCCCACGTTGACAGGCTCGCGATATGTGAGGACTGCGGCTTCGCCTTTTGTAGCAGGTGTTATCAAGGCTGGCACGGAGACTTGGTCGTGTGTGCTCCCCGTCGTGATGACGGGGAGCTCAGCGCGGAAGAGAAGGCCTCGCTGGACTTCATCAGCTTGCACACTACGCCGTGTCCTACTTGTGCATGCCCTGCCCAAAAGACGCATGGTTGTAATCATATGTATGCGTCGATTATAACCACCCTTTATACGACTCTTGCTTACAATCTCATAGGATTTGCTACAGGTGCCAAACGCACTTCTGCTACCTGTGCTCGGCGTGGCTGGACCCTTCAAATCCATACCAGCACTTCAACCAGCAGCCTAATGGCAAGATCGGCAGCTGCTATGTAAGCAGCTTCTGGATACGATTTTTACTCCTTTGAGAACAAGCACGCCCCATTTCTAGCCTATACAACAAACACTTCAGAGGCTGCAGTTTCAACACCCCGCGGCCTTCTCTTTCGGTGTTGACATAGAGCTAATTCTCTGGTTCTTTGATGGCTAACTCTTGATGCTGCAGATGAGGCTTTGGGAGTTGGAAGAGGGCGACGAGGACGGCCAGAACTTCTTTGCTGGAGGTCGTGGTGGGCAGCAGGACCCTAGGAACGAGCGGGAGATCGCACTCGAGGAAGCTATTATCGGAGACGAAGACGTCAACCAGCAGCAACAGCCGCCTGAGCCACGACCAGCGCCCCACGAGAATGGGCGGCGGGTGGACGTCGAGCGGGAAGGGCCCCTAGTCCTTCGCATCGATGCAGCCGCGCCGGCTCCAGGTGCAGCACGGCAGCCTGCTCCGGTGGCGCAACCGCGCGGCGGCGCGCAGAACAGAGGTAGAGGCAATCCTGCAGGAGGGGCACGACAGCAAGCGGCTCGAGGGGGGCGAGGAAGGGGTTTCGGCCCACGACAGCACTTGAACCAGGGGCCAAACCGCGGCGCACATAACTTTATTCGACGGGATCGTCACCTCCCCGCGCAGCAATTGCGCGACGAAGCTGAACAGGAGGAGGTCCAAGCCGGAGAGGCGGCCTGGATCAGACACTTTGTGCAGCTCGCGCTCAACGACAATGAGGACCTGATAGAGGACGAGTAGGCCGCGTGGACTGTTGTGCGTGCGTGCTTCGACTTGCCCACACAACAGCTCACAACACTCCCCACCGTCCAGCGAAATAAAACGCTCGGCGACCGCGCCGCCCGGGCAATGTGATAAGGACACCTCATCGCAACTTCCCGGGACGCGCCCCGGGCCAAGGTACACACGTATACTACGACACTACGCAACAATCTCGCTGCGCGGCCCCCGCTCACCGACCACGGTAGCATCGAAACACCAGATCACTCGACCAGCCCCATGGACCGACCCAGCCAGGCGCGAACGAAGGGGGGCAAAAGGTTTGAGCGCAACCCGTCCGATCATTTCCCCTTCCCTTGCCATGCTCGGCCGAGCGACCAGCCGCGTTGACCATGGATGGGCCGAAGACTCGCGCGAGACAGCGATGAAGTACCAAGACCAGATAAAAAGACTTGCCAGCCAGGGTGTGTACTGTACAACCAGACAACCAGCCTGCCAGCCTTCCCCCGTGGCCCGTGCTGTTGACCCGCCCGCGTAACAGCTGCCGACAAAAGGTAATCGAGTGGGCTAGTTCCGGCTGCGAGGCGATCCCACTTTTTCGCCGGCGAGGACAGATCAGATCGAATGGGCGATGCGACGTGGGGTGGAAAGGCTATCCCTCTTAGGAAGCGGGCCTCTTGACGGGGGGAGGCTGGCAAGCGTTGCGAGCTGGGGGGGAGGCAACTTTTGGCTCTCGCACCAAGTGGGGATGGAGGAGAGGGCACGCAATGACAGTAGAATATGGCCCACGGGCAAAGTACAATTGTACATGGTGGTATCCCGTACAATACATTCTACTATGTAGTAGAGGCAACATCAGAAAGTACATTGGCCCAACTCTTCCTGGAGCCCCATGTCCGAATCCAGTTCGCCCAAACACCCCCGCGCCTCGGGCCTTGGTTCATTATCAGGCCATGCTGACGTTGCCCTCCGTTGACGCTCCGCCCGAAGACATCTCCGGGTCAAAGCCATAACATCATAATTATACCCATTAAGTACCTTCGGGCCCGGCCACTGATTTCTGGTTCCTTGCAGGCTTATCCTACCGGGGGGAGGGGGGTAAATTGAATTTATAGTATGATCATTTTAGAATAATATTGACATTCTCTTGAAACGTAAACACACTATTGACATAACTACAGGATGTTCGAATCGTATGACGATTTTCAGACTGACATTATTTACCTATTGACATGCTCTTGACATGCTGTCAGGGGCCTGATATGTAGGCAAAAAGGGAGTTCGATTCCCGCTAGAATCAAGTTTTTTTTTTCTTTTTCGTCCCTAACCTAACTACTTATTAGCTAATTTTTAGCTTGATTATTACTATATATTAAGTCTACGGAGCTACAGAGTTAAGAAAATACGCAATCTGATTCGCTAGGCTGACTTATAAAATTCAATACCGGCGGATTTACAGATTCTAGGGATTCTTGATATGCGTTAACATGATGTCAAAATCTGACATATAATCAACCCCTTGACAGATTTCACCTGTGACAGCATTTTGTTAGCCTTTTGCTAGTATTTAGCTGTAATGTCTAGATTTTGTTTAAATGTTAAATTTTGACATAATTACACGCCCATGTCAGGGACCCCCCCTCCCCCCGGTAGGATGTGGAAGGTTCTATCAACCCCTGAGAAAAAGGGATAGCAAACTATGGGTACGACATGTATGATCTCCATTGCCGACAGCTTGTCTTGTTCACCCGGGCGTGTGAAATTTCAGCGGATGTTGCTCGTTGCGCCCCCTCAGGCTGCTTGCCCCTGTGCCAGAATGCCTGTCTCTTCCTTCCCGATGCTATGCCGAGATCTGAAAAGTCCCCGAAAACACTTGTTTATATTTAACCATGTATGCATATATACGGTACGAAAATAAAGCACACCATGCGGTCAGCACGATTTGAAGGCCTGCCGGCAAGTAGGCAAGGCAGACAAGGCAGACAAGGCAGGCACATCCAGGTCTCCCCTCTTACGCCATCCCTTAGGAGGCGACAGGCTCCTGATGGCTACAGTCGTAGCCGCCTCTGCAACGGCGGCGGTGAAGCTTGCTTCGCGGCCGCCGTCGTGCCTGGAAGCTAGCCCTTTGGAGGAGGCTTGAGGCCCAAAGGGGAGGAGGGATGGTGGCAGGGGCAAAGGGCCCAGGAACCACGGTCGAGATACGGCGTAGCCAAGGTGTATGGTCTCAGGGCCCGCCGCTACTGCTGGCTCCGTTGGCTGGCCCCTCGCCGCTACCGATTTTGTACATGCGCTGCGCTGTTGCTAATGTGTCAACACGAACTCACCCACTCCGTCATCACCTTGATCAAATGTCCGAGGACACCGAATGGAGGGTAGAGTGATGGCGGCGGGGAGGGGGCAAGAAGTGGAAACCGGTACGTAGCATTCCCAAGTCATCTCTCCCCATAAGTGATGCCGTTGTTGGTGCTGATGCTGCGTTGCGTGGAATTCCCGCCGCCCTATACCTTGACGGTCACGGATCGGTGCGAAATGGCTTTACGATGGGAATTGTGATTCCTATATCCCAGTATCCTTGGAAATTTAGGGGGGGTGGGAGGGATGGAGGGGTCAGACCGAGCGCCACCCTGATGTTTAGATCAGGAGACACAAGGGCATGCCCTGCTGCCATGGTCCTGTAGGGATGGTGATCGCACACGTTACAGCGCGCCTGTTGAAGAAATGCCGTCCGGTGGTGGCCTAGTGGTGGGGATAGCCCAGATATTGATGAGCCAGTCGCCGTGCTTGCCAAAATCTCTGCCTCCCTGGTCATCATCCGAGTAGTTAGATGGTGGGGGCTCTCCTCGAAGCATGGCGGTTGACCGACAGAATGATCTTCCGGGACAAAACAAAATCTCCTTCGTCAATCTCTCTCCCTCCCTCTAGTGTGGAGTAACTTCCCGCATTCTGAATGCTGGCAGAGCTTATTCGGACAGTTCAGGACGACTAAGCTTCCCCGAGATGAACAGATCGTCAGCTGTGGGGACAAATTACGGACTGAAACTTTGCCTCTTGCTTGCAGGGTGACAGCCTTGTGAGCATCCGTGCTTGCCATCCTGTACTCCGTACTGTCAGAACTGTACGTCCTCGTTGCCCTCTGACCAACCGGCTCCGAAGTCTGCGGTGGTGATGCACATCAACAGGTACTTGCTTGTCTCTTTCTGTCCATCTGATGTTCTGCAGCTCCACCACGGCGGTCTCGTTCATCGCCTCTCGGGTCGAACTTTCAGTTCATTCCCCGAAATTCATTCACCGAAAATGCTTGGGGTAGATTTCTGCCTGGCCTGGAAATCGATGCGAAGTCTATCCTTGGGAGGAACTCGTTTCACCGGATTTTGCAAAGACGAACCCCCCTCGCTGTCAGTCGGTTTCCCTGGCCCCATTCACACATCATTCTGGCGCGGCAAGCGCTTTCCAGGTCTGCGAGGTCATAGTAGACGCCCACAACCAAAATCGCTTCTCAGGAATTCAACGGCTCCTAACGGCTGGCTGGTGGCCGGGCTAGAGTGAGTGGACTACGTACCGAGTTCCACGGATAGATCCAGTAGCACACGTGTAGTCTGTTCGTCTTGGGGCCTCTAGAATGCGGTACTGCGCTAAAGGAGACAGGCCGAGTGATGGCTCAGCGGAAATGCTGCTATCCAGTCGGCGCCACTTGGCCACAGATGGGTCGGCTTGGCATGTGTTCAGATAGTCCAAGGGCAGAGGTAATAGAGTTCAAGCTAGAGCAAGGCCTGCAGCATGTCGAGGGAGTCACGGAGCACAGACTGCCATTGAGCACAGGGGCTAGGCCCAGTGTGATAGCTCGCTGGTCAGTTGCGGCTGCTGATAGAAGGGTCGATGATGGCACACCCACTCATATGCAGGAAGAGACCCACCATAATCAAGCCTGCAGTTGGCGGGGAAGAAAGACATCGAGACATTGAGACTGAGCAGGTGAAAGTGCAGGTTTGTGGGCCGTCCACTTTGTTTGTTCGGGCTGTCAACCAGAGCCAGACGACAGCTGTTTGGCGAAAGGCAGGACATCCCACAGACAAGAGATCGATGATCTGGTGAAGGGATCCCGCTGCCGCATTCCAGGGCAGCCGCAAGCTGGCTCCCTCGGCCAGCCGCCGCCCCTGGCTTGCTGAGCGGGTAAAATGAAGTCAGTCGAGTCTGGCCCTTCCAGGCTAAAGTCGGTAGTCTGGCCGTGGTGAACGGCGTGCTAGACGGGATGGGTAAGACTCTGGCGCCAGCAACCATGGGTTCCCCAGAGTGTCTAACCGCTATGCCGAATGAGGTTTCCGGGTATGGGGTAGGCCACTGGAGTTGCGTTTTGGCGTCTGACATGTCTGGGTAACACAAGGACGTTGGTAAAGGTAACGATGCAAGCAAGTAGCCGTGTGATTGCAATCTGGTGGGGGTCCAGCTCCAGAAGGCCAGCCGGGGTGTGCCAGGGTGCGCTGCTCCACGGACTGGGATGATTGGGGGCCTCTTGCGCAGGGTGGCCATCGGAAACTTGGAAGCGAAGGTAAGATTTAGCCCATTCTTGTCGAGTGTCCTCACCGGGCCAGGCACCTCCAGGGTGATCACTTGCACTGCCCGGAGAAGGGCTGGCAGGCTGCCCCTTGGGTAGTGCAGGGCGCTATGCAAGACGTCGATGGAAATTGCCCAGCACAGCACAGGACTAGAGACCAGGAACAAGCTCGAGCAGCCACCAGCTAGCACGGAGGGAGAGGCGGCTGCGCATCGGAGCTTGGTGCTGCATGTGGACCGCAGGGCCTGGGTGGAAGGGGAAGAGGGCCCTGCTTTTGCGGTACTGCACGGTGATGCATGCTGCTTCTCCGGGGCGGCCATCGAGGTCGATGGGTGTCGAGGTCACGATGGGGTCACGGCGGACTGCTGGTGGTGATGTGACCAGCCCGGCTCTCATCCTTCTAGAAGCCTTCGCTGGCCCTGTGCTGTGCTGTGCCGTGTGCTTGGTGTTCTTTTTGAGTTGTCTTGACCCCGGAGTGACTGGTCAGCAGGACTCGGCTCCGGTGTGGTCGAGTCTTATGACTGCCGTGGCGATCGCCTTGGTAGGGTAGGTGTGAGGGCGGCATGCTGTCAGGCAGGATGGGGTCGTATGGGATGGGTTGGGTCGTATGGCTTGGTTGTGCCTCTGCCGGAGCGGGCATGGAGGAATGACGTCTCGAGACGGGCGCTGCCGTGATGGCACCGAGGTCGCGCAACAATGCCTGGAAGCGGCAGCAGAGGAATGCTGCGGTTGGGAATAGGGCTGCATTGTTGCAATATCATACATCGGGCGAAGATAGGGTCTGCCCCCCCTCCCCCCAGGTCCTCTCACCTGCGTGTCTCCCTCGCCTGGTTGCCGCGGATCAGAAGGAGGAGCAGACCATCTGCCAGCCAGACGGACCGCCTGCTGCATCTCGGTCTTGCACCTGCAGGGAGCTCTCCAGTACACCGTACGGAGTACACTCCTCTGTGCGACCCTCAGAGCAACGACCAAGTCGTGTTGTATCGCATCTTGTACCTAGGTATCTGCATCTGCGAGTGTGGGGCCGTGAGGCAGAGCTTCTGTCGGCGTTGATTGGTTCATCTTTCAAATCGTAGGCTGTCCTTCCTTCCGCGATCACGCACCATGCCCGATGGGGAAGCAGCACACCTCGGATCCAGTTGTGCTGGCCTAGCCGTCTGGCTGGCCGTCTGGCTGTTCTGGCTGTCTGGCTGTCTGCCTGGTTCATGGATAATGGATAATGGCCGGCGGTATGCACAAATAGTGTACGCTAGATGGGTGTCGCCCCCCTGCCACTTGTTCGACATCCCTGGTTCCTTGATCCTCCCCGTACATGCTGGAAAGGGCCGAGTCGGACTCGATGGTGGGCGCATGCATAGCGACCATATCAGCTGCCTGCGGCGAGTCGTATGATTGAAGCGCAAGTCGAGTCTGC